CATATTAGGTAATTCCGTAAATTTTATTTAAGGAAATAATGAAAAGCAATAATAATAGTTTATGTTTAGTTTAATAAAAAGTATATTATATGTTTATATGGACCAACATTTTTCTCTAGTAAATTTGAGAAGCATTCTCATGATGACACGTGGCTACCAAAACATGTTGTAATGCTTCTCAAATAATATATAAGGGATGAGCTATGTATAGTTAACTAGCAAATCATCAATTAGAAAATAGTTTTTTCATATCTAAAAACGAACACTCGATCATATATATAGAAAACACTGGAACATAAATTAAGTAAACATAAACATGAAGTCATAAATCAAATTAAACCTCTAGTCTCATTAACCGAACCAACGTAACTATGAACAGCACTGTAGCTATCATTACCATCATCATGATCATGATCATATTCATGATTAATACCATCATCATCATCATCATCATTGTTGCTGTTGTTGTGAACCCTAGTCTCCACCAAAACCATCTCTTCACTAGTCTTCTTATTCTTTTTCTTTATAGAATTTTGCTCGGCGATCTCTTGAGAAAGTTTGAGATTCGCAGTGGCTTCCATGGGACCAGAAGATGCATCAGAGTCCATTGAATCACCACCATCACTATCTTCGTCACCACCATCATTATAGTAACAGTCTTGGTCATGATCATTAGAGAGTGAGGCTAAATACATTGTCCATCCAGATTCACAGCTGTGAGAATCCTCATCGGATGCAAAGATCTTTCCAGACTCCATTTTTGTATAATCGCTACTATTTTTAGTGTCAATATAATTAAATAACAGAAGAGGAAACAAAAAGACCCAACAAAAGAGACCAACAAGAAAAAAACCCTAAAGTGAGACAGTCTCCATAAGAAGCTATTTATATATAAAAGCGCGTGTGTATACGCATTTCATGATGTAAGAGGGTTTTTAACAAGTTTTTTTTTTCAGAACAATATATGAGTTTTTATTGCTTTGTGAAAAAAAAGAATTTTCTTTGCCAAAAAGGAACAATGGAAATTACTTGTTTTTTTTTTCTGGAAACCTAAAGATAGTTGAGGTAGGCTGACTTTTGAAAAGATAAGGGGATGAGTTGGGTGGAAGAGATGGAGATAGACATGGAGAAGAGGTTGTATTTAAAACACCTGAGAATTGCTATTTATCTCTCATCTTCTTTCTGACCAAAATACAGCTCACAATCTAATATTAATATACATAAATTAAATAATACAAGACAAACATACCCATCCAATAATTAAATTTCTCTAAAATAACAAAATATTATAGCAAACAAAAGAACTTAACACAATACAATATTAACCACAATTTAATCTTTTCTATTTATAATATTTAAATAAGCTAAACACAAATTAGTCTATGTGTATTTCATAACCTTGCTAGTGTAGATAGAAACAAACATAGTTCACTTAAAGGTTATGTTTTCTGATACTCAAGAAGTACAAAACCATATTTTAACTGGTGAAAAATATTTTAATCAAGGGAGTTACGTTAAATTCAAATTTGCATAATCATATGACTCTTATCATCCATGTTTACGTTGATAGTTAAGAACTAGAGAGAGAAAGAGAGATGAGGGTGTCATAAATGGAGAGAGTTGATTGTGTACAGCAAGAGTCCAGCTAGAAGCCGTGAAAGAGAGAAAGTGAAATCTCTTATCTCTCAGAGGTAGCAATAACTTAAAACTTCATACTCTTTATCTTTTAATGCAATAACCTAAAGCTTCATACTATATCTTTAAACAATATAGTTTTAGTTAGGTGTCATTGAGTTTGTAATATTGGAACTCATCCTTTCACATATAAGAAAAGACGATAAAATAAAGTGCATGATTATAGTTAACACATCGTTGTGTAAAAGGAATGCATATCCCTTCTTGTACACATGAAACGATTGTATTGAAAAGTTGAATCAATGCTTTGGGATATTATATTCAAAGTGTAGAGTATGTACATATACAATGTACCAATACTAATCATTAATCAATGTTATTTGATATTTTGATACTACATTAAAGTATATAGGACAACACACTGATAACGAAGAAAAGTGTAAGGGAAGGATGTTTCTAAGCTGAGGGAAGAATGTTTTCAAGCTTTTTATTATGTTGGGTTTCTGTTATGTTTCTAATATTTGCAATCTCTTCAATTAAATCAATATGGTTGGGGGGATAACATTAATCTGGTGAGAAAATAATTGGAAAATGTGTAAAGGACAGTAAATAAGAAGTACTAAAATTTACTATATCCCTGTGACTTGCGCTGTTCTGTCTTTCTTTAGTTTACTGCTGCTAAGTCCTTTCTCTCTTCCTCAAAAAGTTCAAACAGCTCTTGCTTGCTATGTCACAACAGCAAATTAAATATAATTCTTTCATGTGCAGTAAATTTACCTATATCAGGACTAGTTTAATTCCAGTGCAGGCTATCACTTGAATTTCACAATTCATGATTATTCTGTAATGTCGAAAGAAGTATAGAGTTAAACAAATTTGATTTTTGTAAAAAGAAACGTTATATTATTGATGAGCGTTTGGTATGAAATCTAAAAATCTGAAATTCAATTTCTTATGAATTTCGCCAGTTTTATTAGACAAATTTGGGGTTTATTGGTTAAATATCAGAAGTTTCTGAAAATAGAAATATAGAGCCATAGCGAGTATAAAGGTACGATCATCATTTTTTATGTGGGGAAGTGTGGAACTGTAGATCTTTCTGCTTTAGAGAGTCACAGAAGCCAGAAATTACGTTTGATATTGATTATTTTACTGACTGTGAAATAAATGGTGATCAGACATTTGTCTTCCATAAATTGACTTACACTATTTATTTCTTTTGTTTCCCTGAGGTGACTCAAATCCGTAAAAGTAAAAGGTCGTACACATAGACATGTGGAATGTATATTTCTCAATATATCTTTACATATGAACGAAAAACATTATTTAAATTAGGGTACAACTCCTTCAACAACATGTTATGTCTACGGCTATGTGTTTGTGTAAGTACCCATGTACCTAGTGAACACCGCTTTAGACATATCTTAAATGAACTACAAAGATTTTATTTTATTTTATTAAACAACAGTTTTATAAATCATTAGTCTCAGAAATTGTTTACATCAAGCAATAACAAGGCCAAACCGGCTAAAACATCTGCTGCTTCCATAACAAAGCAGAGCAATGGGATACAACACCATAACATAAGAGCAAAAATAACACATAAACAACGTGCATAGTGACCAGATATCTGTTCTCTCATCGATATCTGCATGGCTTGGGCAATCCCAGAGCTCAGGAGCTCGAAACGGTGCTGAACAATGTTCAGATGTCCATTCCTATTAAAATCAAGAGAACATGAAGACTGTTCACAAGACAAACTTTAAGAAACATCACTTACATAGCAAGTTCATGACCGATCATAAAAGGAATATATATATATATATATACAATACGTAGTAGCGTGATCTAAGAGGCTTGTGATGAGTATGAATAAGGGATGGATATAGAACCTGTAACTGTAAGGCCTCTTGACGGGAGCGGATTTGCTTGCGCGAAGGACGAGCACTCCCAAAGTCCATCAAAATCGCAAGAGGAGGCTGTCCTTTTCTACGTGTTAAAAGCACGTTTCCAGGTTTGACATCGTTGTGAGCATATGGTGGATCCAGAGAGTGCATGTGTTCACAAAGCTGCAGAGGAATAACTTCCAGCAATCAAAATACTTGCAATTCACATGGTTAATAGTCATACAATTAATGACATAGTGCTTATACTACCTTAACAGAAATAGTAGCATGATCAAGGAGAGGAAGTAAATTAGGATGATTGAACAAAGATGAAACACGAATCTCCTCCCGCACCAATTCAAGTTGCTCCTTGTTCTGAATCAGAACTTTCTTCACAGCATAAGTTCCATCACCTACATTAGATGAAAGATGTTAACGAACCAAGCCATCTCAACCAGTCAAGTTTCTTTGACAATGAAAATTGAAGAAACCAATCTCTAGAATACTATAATTCCAGATACATAGTGGGATCTAACAACAGCTAAAGAAGAAGATCAAAATTGGTTGATTCAAAGTCTTAACAATATAAAAGTGGATTCACTGTAATCAATCAGTCCACCAGAACATAAGATGCACCGTGGATCAACAACACAGGATCGAAAATTGTTTGTTCTAAGCTCTATGTGGTACAAGATTTACCGATTCCGAAAAAAAGTCGTACCAAACAAGACAATCATCACCTTTTTTGGGGTCCAATAAAATTTAAATTCCATTTGGTAAAGTAATTTAACAGTTAAACCAGCATAAGTGGTTTACTAATATTAAACCGATCAGGATTTTAGAAACAAAATACAACGGTTCTGGTGCGCTCTCCTGAACCAATTCTATATAACGACCAGGATTATTTATAAAAACCCCGGGAGTGGCAGCAGTATCTTCCATCCCGTCAATAACCGTTGACGGCGACGGAAACAGGCTCCGCCGGCTGCTGCTGCGTAATGCAATGTATGTTTCCTCCAGCTAGAACTATCTCTCTTGCATTCTCGATCCCCACAACCTTCCACAAGTAAGATAAATTAAATTCAAAAACGATTCAACTTCTTTCATTTTCATGAATCAGAGAAATAGAAAAAAATACCGAGTGATGAGGATATGTCTCTGAGAGGACACGAACCGCTTCTTCATCGCGTTTCGCGTCACCGAACTGCGGCACGATTATTCCTCCGTTAGCTATGTAGAAGTTCACATACGATGCTGCTAGTCTTGTCCCTGCAAGCCTCGCTTTAGCTTCACCTTCCTGCAACATTTTGTATCCACCTTTAATTATAAACTCTATTCCAAAAAACATCTCAAAGTTTCAGTTAGAACTCGTTGCCTGAATGATTCCAGAAGATTCTTCTTCAGTCATATAAAGCGGTCCAGGGACGTGGAGCTTGATGACTTGAATCTTCCTACCACGAGCATCAAGTGAGTTTGAGAAAACGGAAAGAGCTTCTACTGATCTTTCGTATTGAGGATCAGTTTCATCGTCTGTCCAAGACAGTAACACAACTCCTGGTTTAGCAAAGCAGCACATGTTATCAATGTGTCCGTTTGTGTCATCATCCCCTGCAGAAAAATTCGAAATTTGTATAATAAGATCGGCTGTTTCTATAGAGTTTTAGTATATATAAGAAAGAGTGACGTGGAGTTTACCGTAGAGACCACGAGGTAGCCAGATAACAGTTTGTACTCCGAGGTATCTCTTGAGCTCTTCTTCTATTTGCTCTTTACTCATGTGAGGGTTCCGGTTTTTGTTTAAGAGACATTCTTCTGTGGCAAGACAGGTACCTGTAACAAGCAGAATAAGCAAAAGTGAAGAAAAAATAAAACTCAGACTAGTTATTTTGTGTTTACAAACCTTCTCCGTCGACATGAATGCTGCCTCCTTCAAGAATCATCGAGTGTTGGAATCTTGGAATACGCTCAACAGCGAGAATCTGGTTGATGGGGAGAAGAAAAGAGCAAATCAGTATTTGAGACATGATGACGATAAGTAATGTTGGTAACAATTTATAAACCTTTTTTGAAACTAGAAGGTCATGACTCCAATCATTATAGCAGCCATCTTCAGCTCCTGCCATTGGACTTAGTGTGTCAAGCAGTAGCTACAAAATTATAGAGAAGAGAACCAGAGAAGCTTACCTCCCCAGGCATTGAAATTCCAGTCGATTCCAGCGATGTTTCGGTTAAAGGAACTGAGCTTTGATGGACTTTTCCGCACAACAAACTGTAAAAACAGAGAGAAGCAAACACGATTAGTAACCAAGAGATGGTAAAAAGATGGAGGGGGAGAAGATAAAAAAAGTCACAGTTGGTCCAGAGTCGCGGAACCAAGAATCATTCATGCTCATCTCAACAACTCTGATCTCCTCTGGAAGCTGTTTCCTTGCATTTTCCCACTAACATTCATGAAAAGAAAACAGAGACAGACTTTTAGAATATCAAACTTGAAGATGCTATATTCCTGGGTTAATGATTCTAACTAAAAATACCTGAGCCGAGCTTGCACAGACTGTCACAGGTTCGAACTTAGAGATTGCCTTTGCAACATCTACAAACACTCTTTGTGCAGGTAGAGCGTTGTGACGCCAGTTATCTTGCCGTTCCTGCAGCCATTTATTTATCTCAGATCACAAAAGCATAATTAAACACTGTTTGATTCATCTAAGTGATCTAACATAATTATATAGTCCGATATTTTATAACAATCAATATAGAAAGGCGAAAAACAAAAAGCTATCGTGTTTATAAACTAAAACCACAGATCTCATCGCTTATCAAAACGTAATCGAGAAGCTAAACCTTAAACAGTTCACGATCAAGAAAATAAAAAACTGAAAACGAAGATCGCATGCAGAAGTTAAACAGCTAGATCCAGTGCTACAAAATCGCCTTCTATATACTTTTCTCTAATCAAGGAAACAAACATTCATTCTCTACGTATATGCAGAGTTAGATACAACAGAGAGATAGAGAGATTATACAGGCCAACCGATCCAGGTTTGAGCATGAGGCTCCCACTCCGCCGGCATGTAAAAGCCGTGATCCGCCGGAGATTCTCGTGACTCCTCCATTCTCGGCTAACTCTTGCGTGATAGGTGTGATTACTAACAAACAAGTCGGATATTTTTTAACTGAATACTTTTCAAGTTTTTATTTAGGAGACCCACGTAATTATTGTTTTCTTTCATTTGGACCCCAGTACTTCACTATTCAACTCTCAATTCCCGACCCCACATACCTCTCTAGTGGCGTGCGGAATCAGAATCTAGACCTTACATTCCTAACAGCTGGCAATCAGAATAAGAATCTTGGCACAAGTTGTACGAATTAGGACAAACTTGTTTGGCAACTCTAGTGTTTTGATATTTAAAGCTGTTAATAGCGTAATTAGTGATGAGATTAATTATCACTGCCTAAAAAAAAGATTCTTTTATGATGCTAAATTACAACCGCTCAAAAATTGTTACAAGGGCCTTAATCTCTCATATCATATTCAGTAACCAAAAAGACACTTTTAAGGCACACAACAAAATCACATGCGTAGTGTTGTTACTTTGATTCTAGTTCCTAATCAGATTACTGAAGTTGAAAGCTCTTTGACATCGTCTGCTACTTGTTCGTAGTCTGTCTTTAGCTTTTGAAGATCTTCTGCGCTTAGTTCACCTTTGGCCGGTTTAAGCATGACCAGGACACAACATGTTGGTCGTTTTGTAGCCCCTGCTTGCGCAAGATCCTGAATATAACATCATACAATTGGTCAGTGTTAGACACGAGACAGAAGATCCATAACTAGATAGATATAGAAGTTAAAAACATGGCTTACTTCTTTGGATGGAACGTAGACGTAAGGAACACCAGCTTCTTCACACAAGATTGGGAGATGGGTGATGACATCAATGGGAGAAATGTTCCCAGCTATAACACATAATCTGCAAAACCAACAACAATATATTAGAACACAAACCAGTGGAATGCATAGTACCATCAAAATTATTTTTCCTGCTAAATTCAGACAATAGAATGTGGGTTTAAACCAGGCCCGCAAATCAACGAACCGATTAGGTACTCAAAGAGGGCACAGACATTTCAAACTCATGATTCAATTTTCGTGTACAGTACCATGCTACATTCATTATGTTTAATCCAGAGCATCGGCTTAATTGCACACGGATTCTACAAACAAAAATCATCAATCATAAGCATAGAATGTGGATCTCGACCAGGCCCTCTTATCAAAGAAAACTCAAAGAGGGCAGACATGTCAATCCGCAGCAAGCTCAGTTTACGTGCACAGTACCATGCTTCCTTCATTCTATTATATCCAGAGCATCGGCTTAATTGTACACGAATAAGTTCATAACAGATGCATTTTCAAGACAGATGCATTACTAAAGATGATCAAGAAAGAACAACTATGACATAGGCATAGGATGTGGATCTAAACCAGGCCGTCTAATCATTTAAACTCAGAGATGGCAGACATGTCGATCCATAGCTCAATTTTCGTGTACAGTACCATGCTACATTCATTATTTTCAATCCAGAGCATCGGCTTATTTGTACACGGCTTTCACACAAAAACTATCATATAATGCACTCAAGAAACAGGGGAATACACGAAAAGAAAACGAACCCTTTTTGGCCACGTCTTATGCTCTTCACCACTTCTTTAACGCCTCTCTTCAAACATTTGTTTCCAGCAGCTGAAAACAAACAGATACATATATCAGATGATATGTTAGTTTCAATAATCTCAGCAAAGGAACACTAAGGCGACTGAGCATGTATAAAAGTGGTACCTTTTTTAATGAGTTTAAATGTCCTCTTCTGTAACTTTTTGCCGGCAAGAGGTTTAGCGATAGGAGCAAGCGAGATAACCTTCTTCTTATTCTCCTTTTGAATCGACTTCTCTGCTTCTGAATCGCTCCCCATATTTAGCAAGCGACTCAGTAAAAGAGTGGCGGAAGTAGGTAGGGTTTATGTAGATTGCTTCCAAGCCACGAGGTTTTTATAGTATTGTAAAACCCTAAAGTCAATATGGGCTTGTAAAGTAAGTGTGTTGTATGGGACAAAATATTTGGGCTTTAACACAGTATCAAATATCGATACACATGTTAAACTCATTACCATGTCTTTTGGTTTTGGATAATGATAGGCTGGCTCAGAGAAACTGAAACACAGCCAAGAACAAATCAGAGACTAGGAATCTAGAGAACTTTGAGAACTCTGAAGACACTAAGGCCTCCTCAATCTGTTCAATCCTATGCCAACGTCCAACTAATTAGTTTGTTGACAAATGGTTTTATTGGTTAAGCGTTCAGAATTACCACATCATCCATGGGTGGAATGCAAAGAGTAACACATCATCCCATGTTAAGTAGCAGACTATTCGTTACATTGGTTTTATTATTTTATAAAGCGTAACAGAGTATTCCATTTGAAGAAACAAACACGAAACTTTCAGCTGAGTTCATGGAGGAACATAACATTAAACGTTTTGAGGAACAAAACTTCTTTAGTTGAATAGATTTTTTTTTTTTTTTTTTTTGCATAAGTAAATCATTAAACACTAAAATGGGGAAAATACAGCAGAAGTCATGAAATAAATGCTATACTGTTCTATCCACCTCCTCATGTTAACAGGTAGAAAATCAATCAGTAGTGAACATTGTTAACACCAAATCAGCTTCCAGCAGTTACAAAAATCAGTACCGCCGCTTCAAATGGGGAATCTTATCACAGGAAAAACTAGCAACACCATAGGAAATAAATTAAGATTATATCTCAAAATCTTTTGAAGGAAATATAAGCTAAGTTAAGTTAATAATCAGTGATAGTGGACATATAGAACTCCATTAATTCAGTATATCGAGTCAAAAGTGATGACTAACAAAGAGGCAACCGCTGGATGCAGAGGTTTATCGATCTATTCATGCTTTTAATCTTTTTTTTTTCCCCTCCCAAATAAATACAAGGAAGAGATCGATGAACCGCTGCCTCCAGCGACTTTCACTCCTTTAGTAAAACTGAAATGTAAAAAAGGAAAAAAAAAAGCATTACCCGATTTGGAGCAAACAATAAATCTCAGATCTGAAAACTATAGTAAAGAAACTAGCCCCAAAGTAACAATAGCTGCTGGATCTTCATTGACTCATCAAGAATAAAACAATAAATCTATGAAACACACATGCATCTGGAGATATACTGGGACACAATGAATATGAGATGTAAAATCTATGAATCCACACACACAGACTGTCAAAACATAAAAAAGAAAGAAACAGAGTGATGATGTTTGAACAAGTCAACTAGAATCTGATGAGATACCAATCTATTATTTTTCTCTTTCATTTGCCTATTGGCAGTACATCCTACCCTCTCTCGCTCTCCCTCTCCATGGATCAGGTTTAGAGTGACAAGTGATAACAACAGAACAACCAATGACTTGTATCCAACTATTTAATTAAGTTAACTCCTTCCTAGTTACAAAACTGCCCAGCCCCTTTAATCGGATGGTTTAGTTATTCAAAAATCAAAAACAGAGAAACGGAGCGCAATAACGGGCCCAGTTAAGGCTTCAGCTTAAATAAGTAAAGGTCCAGTAAAAAGCCCATTTAATTTAATAGGTCTTGCCCTAATCAACTTCCTCGTCGAGAGAGAGAGAGAGAGCGATTAAACAAAAACCGCCGATAAGCTTCCCGTCAACACGCCCGTTTCTCCGTCTCCGTCGTTACTCTGCCTCCATCGTTTGGGATTGCGATTCTGTAGAGATAAACGATGGATCCGATGGATATAGTTGGAAAATCCAAGGAAGATGCTTCGCTTCCAAAAGGTTCGTCCTCTAATCCTTCCTTTAGATAGATCAATTGGTAACGTTTGTTGTTTTTTTTCACTCTTTAGGGTTTTGCGATTAATAATAATATGTTTGTTCATGTTAAAATTAATTTACAGCTACAATGACTAAGATTATAAAAGAGATGTTACCAGCAGATGTTCGTGTTGCTAGAGATGCTCAAGATCTTCTCATCGAGTGTTGTGTTGGTAAATAATAAGATTCAATCATCACTCCTTTTATTTTTAATCATTGTTTGGCTCTTAACTTCTAACTTTTTTGTATATTGCAGAGTTTATAAATTTGATATCATCAGAGTCTAATGAAGTATGTAACAAAGAAGATAAACGAACAATCGCACCTGAGCATGTACTCAAAGCACTTCAGGTTCTTGGCTTTGGCGAATACGTTGAAGAAGTCTACACTGCTTATGAGCAACATAAATACGAAACCATGGTAACACTTATACTTTAATGTCAGAAGACATGAGAATATATATATTTAAAAAACTTTGAATGGGTGTTTGTGAAATTGTTGTGCAGCAAGATTCACAGAGGAGTGTGAAGATGAACAGTGGAGCGGAGATGACGGAGGAGGAAGCAGCAGCTGAACAACAGAGAATGTTTGCTGAAGCTCGAGCTAGAATGAATGGTGGTGGTGGTGTTTCTGTTCCTCAACCAGATCAAGAGCAACTAGATACTCAACAGTCAAATCTACAAAGCTAATCTAATCAAGAATGAAGGGAGGATCCTTTTATTTTAACATTATCCTTTTATTTACTAGCATTTCTCTGTAAAGTGCAAAAGAATCTTCAAGTCTGGGTGTTGATATGCTCTTTACATTTTTAACTTAGATTTGTTTTTCTTTTGAATCTAAAATCACTTGTGATTCATATGTAATTAGTAAGCATTGTTTGCAACTCTCAGATCCATGTGTTTATAAGTTGATTGTTCTAAATGCTGGATTTCGCTTTCAGTTTAGTTATCACATGATTGATCACCAAATCTGATGTAATAGCCTGAACATTAAGTATGTAGTACGATCACCTTATTTGAAGTGGAAGAAATACGTGAAAAGTCCAAAGCAAAAAGAGTTAGGCAGGTCCTGAATTTAACTTGGTCCCAAAAATGAATGAATGAATGGCTTACTAATGAGCCTGGTTATGGTCCACTCAAAAACTGACTTTTAGAAAATAAAATGGAGATGCGGGGTATCGATCCCCGTACCTCTCGCATGCTAAGCGAGCGCTCTACCATCTGAGCTACATCCCCAATGTTTGCTTACCATTTTATTTCATATTACTACAATCATATATCATTCTTTTCTTCATGACTTGTGTAAACCTCAACAATCTTACTATGAGATAAAATGGTAAGTTGATGTAATAGTTGCAAGTTGGAGATAACGGTAATCCCGGCTAGCTTCAATAAACTATTCAAACAAGCATTTCACACTCTTTATGTGCAAAAGAAAAAAAACCTCATACTGGATTGTCTGTAATATAATCGCCATGATCACAGACAACGTACAGCTCTTTGTTTGTTTTTTCCAAATTAAAGTTCAAACGACTCAAGGTAACCTGACATTTGTCTCAAACCAAGCATTTAAAGCCATACGAGAGGGGCTGGAGCACTCCTCACTCACTCTTCACAGAGTTGTGAGTTAGGAATGAGTTTAATTAAACCTCACGTCTGTAATTAATAGTTTAATCTATTACTAGCTGTGTAAATTTTGTTTAGCCAAAGAAGAGTGTGGTTGTAATTAGCCTCTCTGCCCACCTCGCCGACATTTTGTTTCGTCAAACCTATACACTTGGTTTCTGACTTTAAAAGCTGATATTTTTATCCAGTAGATAAAGCAAGCTAGTGTATTATTTATAATAAAGTACATAATTCCTTTTGACCAATCAAAATATCACAATTAATTTCTTAAATTCTATTTTCTTTTTAAAAAAAAAAAAATCGAAAATATTAGTATTAAATATTATTGTTGTTAACATTACTATAAAACTTATTCACATTTTTTAAAAGAAATGCAATGAAAATTATAAAATATTTTTACCGTTGTAAATGTGGAAGTAGAGAAATTTTCTTTTGTGAATTACAACCAAAACATACTTTTGGCCACCAAATGATTCTTTAAAAAAAAATAGCAACGAAAATTAGAAAAAAAATGATTAGTGTCGGAAAAAGATAAATCGATGTCAATTTTCGTTTAGTTGTAAAGCTAATTATTTTTTTCTGAAAAGCATATTCTTAATTTTCTTAAATAATGCAATAAAATTTTCAGCTCCTCATCTATTTTTAAAGTCTCATTAAATAAATAAAAAAAAAACAGGTATAATTCCACCGCTACGACAAGAGAGGAGGAAGAAGGAAGGAGGAGGAGGAACACAGAGATCTCTCTCGTCCGTTTTTCCCGGAAAAATCTAAGTCTCAAAAAAAAAAATCGAATCCTCAAAATCGACTCTTAAGTCCACACACCTCTCTTTCCTTAATCTCTCCCTAAACCGTTCATTTTTGTTATCTTCCCCTCGACCCCGATGTTTGAATTCTGATCAGATCTAAGTTTTGATTATGTTTATGGATCGAGAGAGAAGGCTTTCGAATCGGAACGGGACGCCACAATACAGCAACGGGAAGTTCCGTGATGATAACGTTTACGGTGGATTCTTAGATCGGTTGGAGAATTCACGGGAGAAGAGTCCTTCTAGATCTAAGATTCTTCGGATTCCTTCTCCGACTTCGTCTCCTCCGCCTTCGAGCTCTTCCCCGCCGTTTCCTGGCTCGAATTCACCTGAGAGGGGTTATATTGAGCATCGCGTGTCAAAGTTTGATACTCTCGCCGGCATTGCGATTAAATACGGCGTTGAGGTAGGGAAAAAAGATATTTTGAGATGAGATTAGGTTTGAATTTGCTAAGGTTGTTGTTTAATTAGAGATTGAATGGTTTTGGTAGAAATGATTTTTTTTTTTTGTGTTTATTTTGAATTTAGGTATGAAGAAGAACATATCAGGAAAAAAAAGTTTTTATTTTTATGTTCTGATTTTTATTGGATGGTATTTTAAATTAGAGATTGAATTAATGGTATTGGTAGAAACGAATATATATATATATATATATATATATATATATATATATATATTTGTGAATTTAGGCATGATGATAACACACCTGAACACATGAGGAAAAAGTTTTGATTTTTATGTTCTGATTTTTATTGAATGGTATTTTAAATTAGAGATTGAGTTAATGGTATTGGTAGAAATGAATATATATATATATATTTTTTTTTGTGAATTTAGGCATGATGATAACACACCTGAACACATGAGGAGGAAAAAAGTTTTGGTTTTTATGTTTTTTGAATTTTGATTTTATTTTGTGTTGTGAAAATGTTTTGTTTTTCAGGTTGCAGATGTTAAAAAGATGAATGGGCTTGTTACTGATCTTCAAATGTTTGCTCTCAAGTCTCTTCAGATACCTTTACCTGGGAGACATCCTCCTTCTCCTTGTTTATCTAATGGCTCCTTACACCATGGGTACTTTTTATTTATTCTTTGTTTCAAGTTATTCATTATTATGCAAGTTAAACTTTGATGTGCAAGCAAGCTTATAAGTAAGTTACATTCATGGATTCTTAATTGCGGAGCAGTTTACAGTACCTAAGCTTTTGTCTCTTATTTCTCAAAGAGAGAGTATTGGTTGTGCTGCTTATTCATTATCTTGTGATCCTCTTGTCGTTTATTTGCAGAGAGGGATGTTCATGCCACGAACTTGAACCGCAAAACGATAGCAACAACGATGTGTTTGACTCATTCCAGTCTCTGAGATTAAAATCTTCGGAAAAGAAAGTTTCTCCAGCAATGTACTCGCTGCAAGGCTATTACGGGCTTAAACCAGCAAACAGAACAGTATCTGAAGGAGGATTCCTCGAGATGGGAACTTACAAGACAGAAACCTCTCATCATCTCTCCAGCAACGGTGGTAATCAATACCTAAGACCATTCCCATCCACAAACACTCCCTTAAACCACCACAGGAAATCAAGAAGCTTAGCTAATGCACTTTTCGACGAGGTTAACCAATCTCCGGACAACAACAACACCGCTCAAGAAACGAGTTCCGATAAGTTTATGAGAAGACGCCAAAAATCTGAAGCCGATTTTACATCCCGGACTCCAGAGCTTCTCTTGAAAGAAGAGAACACTAGCAGCAACGGAGGGTTTTTATCAATAGCTGGAAAAGGCTTAGCTTTGAGATCGAAAGCCTCAAGCAGAACTAATCTATCAGCAGAATCTGAGAGTAGCAATTTCAATCCTGTACCAATCAACTTGATGGATGCTCCAGTTTCAGACAGCTTTAGCAGTGTAAGAAAATCGTCAAGTGCATCGAGTCTACAAGATCCAGAGGGTAACAGTAGTAACGGTTCATCATCACTGTCTCTATGGCCGACATCTAAATGGAGTTTGAAACCTGATTTGCTTACACCTGCGGCTATTACTAGCTCAATCTTTGATGGGTTACCAAAGCCTTTAACCGGTCGGAAAAACAAGACTGCTATGGACTAAAAAGCGAAAGGTCAGTTTGTTCTTGTTATTTAACTGTCCCATTTTTTTTTTTGGAAACTATACAAAATTAAAAAGCAGAAGAAGCTACTTTAGCCTTGATGCGGAGTAAATAGATTAGATAAAATTTCTGAGGGAGAAAGAGAAACTTCCAAATTGAGAAAAAAAGTATGAAGAAGGAAGAAAGCTTGTGATAGTGATGTTAATGATTGTGTGCTTTTTTTCCTTCTTTTTTGTAAGTTATAAAATACTTTGTACCATGTGGTTTTAGCGTAGTCCAATTTTTTTTTTCCTTTTTTCCAATATTATGAACATTGCTACAGGCTACTAAGATGTATTCCATGCATTTATTTATCAATTTGTTAAAATTGTTCGTTTGTAAAATTTGTATTACACTGTCACTATAATTTATGTTATTTACTCTTTTTGGGAAAAAGAATAATGCTTTCCAGTAAGTCAGGTTTGAGTTGTCGGATCGTTGACTTTTAACAACGCACCGTGTGAACGTGTTAGCTCCACCGCTCTGAAAGTGCCAGAATCGATCAAACGAGATTATTTGAGAAGTCAGTTTCCTACGCGTCGCGTTCACGTTAACTCTCGCGATAGTTGATTACATAGATACCCTTAATGAATTGTTAGATTTTAAAATTATTATTTTTTATTTAATGTTTTTACCTCTTTCTAAATATCATATATAATAAAAAGGAAATATTTCTAAAATTTTAAAACAAATGTAAAACGAAAATATATGTATATAATATGAATTTATTAAATGGAAAATTCACAAAATAGTAATACTCCCATTAATATATATTTTAAATAACATAAAATATATTTTCTAAATAATAACAATATATATGTTCATGAACATCCAAAAATTTATCAGTTACACTTTATTTTCTAATATTTTTTTAGAATTCTACAAATAATTTGATAAATATTATGAAAATACATGTATATTTAAGCGATAAATAAAACTAATTTGATTTGACATAACTAAAATAAAGAGTAATTTTTCCTACGTGTCGCGCTCACGTTAACTCTCGCGATTGTTGATTACATAGATACCCTTAGTGAATTGTTAGATTTTAAGATTATTATTTTTTTATTTAGTTTTTTTGCCTCTTTCCAAATAACATATATAATAAAAAGGAAATATTTCTAAAATTTTAAAACAAATTTAAAACGAAAATATATGTATATAATATGACTTTATTAAAAAGGAAAGTTCACAAAATAGTATTACCCTCATTAATATATATTTTTAAATAACATCAAATATATTTTCAAAATAATAAAAATATATGTGTTCATGAACATCCAAAAAATTATCAGTTACACTTTATTTTATAATATTTATTAGAAATCAAAATATACTTTGATAAATATTATGAAAGTACATGTATATTTAAGCGATAAATAAAATAATTTGATTTAACTTAACTAAAATAAAGAGTAATTTTTTGAACACATATAAAGAGTAAACAAATATTATGAAAATACATATATATTTGAGAAATAAATAAAATTAATTTGATTTGAATTAACTCAATATACTCACAAAATGAATGACTCGACTGATCTAATTTATACCCAAAATTAAACATCTAACTACAATAAGAACATATAATTTTATAGTAATAATAATAATAATAATCTATTTATATATATAAATTAGAAGTTGAATCAAAACCTATTTTTTTAAAAAATATTAACCAATTATAATTTAATTATTTTTAGAATTTATATATATGCATTAGACTTCAAAATATTATCATTATATTATTTATGTAATTTTGAATCAAACACTTCAGCTTATTATTTATTTCATTTTAAACATAATATATATTAAGTTATACATAATTTAACTATAATATATTTACATATCTAAGAATATATTTACATATCTAAAGACAATAACCATCCGAAAGAAAAATAAGAAAATTAATCAAAGTTTTATTATATTTAGAATAAAAAAATATTATAGCTGAATTCAAAAAATATATATTATCCAATATACCAACTTGATAACCAAACCGACTATTGATCCAAAAAATAATTAAACCGACAATAATATATCTAAAGTCATATGTATAATTAGAAAAATATAATATTTATTAATATAAATTCTACATATAAATTGATTCAAAACTAAAACTAAATATCAATCAATTATTATAAAAATTTACTTTTATGAATATTCATACCCGTGCATGAGCACGGGAAAATCACCTAGTAAAAAGTATTGTAATATATTTTTTTTCTTGTCAACTAAATATTGTAATATATACTTACATTAACAATTAGAATACAAAGCATAAATCCACCGTACTGAAAACAAGCATAAAATTTTGGTAAGTGTAAATTAAATGGAACATTCAACGGCATCCTTCTCACATATATCCAAAAAGCATGATACAAAAATCGCCACCCACAATCAGTCACCGTCGTCAACATTGCTGCACCTTCATCACCGTTATCTACCTGACCACTTTCACTTCTGCTGCCATCATTGCTGGCTCCGCCATGACTAAGAAACGCGAAGTGGTGACAGAAGTGGTTTTCGGCTGTGGATGTAAGAAAAAAACGTAATAGCACAACGGGTACAATATAATCGAGAGTATACTTCTATGAGTTGAACTAAAATTTTGGTTTTGTAGAATTTTTTTCTAGACCGTTTCATATGTAACTAGTTCATTGTCCCAAAACTATAGGGGTAATATCAAAACCAAAAGTACGGACATACGATTATAAAATACGTTACCTAAGAAATCAATTAAGTAGATGATCAATACGTTCTGTTAGATTCCAGTCTTCTATCTTTTATTAGGCTCATGCTTCATTTTCAGCTCAATGTCTTTACCTCGACATTAAAAACTTGGTCAAACCAGGACTCATCTGTCTCCACCACCCCCGGGTTCCAAAGTGTAAACCTAGCTAGAGACAATGCAGCTGAGTGTTAATATACTCGAAATTGAATTAAACATAAAAATCAGGAAGCCTCGTAGAAAACATAGAGACCATGCAGACAGAGATATGAACTAAATCATTCAATATAAAAAATCCACACAAATGCACAAGACTCGTTGTGTCGCGGTTTATTCGCTCAGGTAAGTGAAATCCCAACCAATTAACAACACAATTGTATTTGTGTTCTCCCTTAGACAAAACAAAATCGTATCAGTTTCTCGCAGTTTGCGATCTGTGCTTGCACAAAAGTGAAAACAACTGGTCTTCTCAAAACAATAATCACTGTTGTTTGACACAAAAGTTCACTGTGCGTCACCAGAACCAACATGACTTGGAAAGATATAAATATATTATTAATTCATGGGAGCTGGAAACCGTATAGACTGAACTACAAGCCATACACAAGTTTGGTTGAGAAATATAAAGAGGAACTAATACCTCAAGTCTTCAACAAAACTTCAGAGAAGTAGTGCTTTCAATATGGATATTCTTGTAAAACGCTGAATGAATTTGCGGTTGTTTATACATGCATGCTTCATTATCCTGCTACGGCTCCAGGCAGGACAACCTAGGTTATGCAGAGAAGAGACACCTGTAAAGAACAGCAGATACGGAAATTAAATTAGTGAGCAGAATAGCATCATCATCGCCTTTAGCAGTTATACAGAGGTTTAACAATACGGGTTCTCATACAGTGATCTCGTCTAGGAGGAACTGTAGAGACCACTATATAACTTCAAAGTGACTCTACCCACAGACAACATGAAACACTAAATAAACATGTCACCAATTCGGGAACCAAAATAAAGAGCAAATTAAAAAACCTGCACTTCAATACTTTTGGAACTTAAGTTACTTATCTGTGCACACACTACACTTATCGGGTGTCCATTTTTCAAGATCGTCTCCCAAATACGAGACGGTTACTAGTTTTATGACTCTTATCAGACAGAGTTAACCCAATATATTAGGGCTTAAAAACTTGATATTCGTTTAACTAGAAAAAGCTGTGGAGGTATTTGCATAGTTAAAGGATCTGTGGAACGGAAGTGCTAACCAAATTAGAAACAAGGGCATATACTGTGAAGAACATGATCCGGTGAGAACATTTGTCAGGAAAATTTACAATATAGAGCAGTATCCTGACAATAGTCGAAGAGTTTTGATGCCTCTGGAAGTGAATATACTGCCAGAAAGAGTCTTCCATGGACGAGAGAGAAGTCTATTTCAAACTGTTTGATAAGAATCCAGGAATAAGAAAATTAGAGACAAAGAAGGTGAAACATATTAATGAAACACTAGCAGCGAATATTTTAAATGTAAAAGAACAACCGAAAGGTAGTCTCTACCTTCAAGATGGCCTCCAACGAACCGCAGAAGGTACGTCTGGCCGAGATGGTAGCATCTGCGAAGCAGTATGACCTTGAAGAGCAAATTGAAACGTTAAACAATGCAGGGAAACGCAACAGATCCCAGTTTCATGATGAACGGCTAAAATTCAGATGGATCGAGTTAGATCGTCTCACCTAAAATTGTAGGACCCGCATGCATATTATTAGCAGGAAGTTGATAGCTCGTTGACCCTGAAGGTGGTCTTTCTGGAGGAGGCTGAACGAAACCTGCTGTTGCAAATAAGATTACCAATATCAACCAAAAAGGGAGAAGCATAACCAACTGAGGCAGCATAATTCCCCTAGGTAGACGACATGAACATAAACAAACTGGCATACAAAGATTTGAGATGTTCTCACATATACATACCATTTGTAACCGTAAGAGAGCCTGGAAGTGGGTTTCTTCCATGTATCCAGGCTCCATGTTGAGTATCTGCGCGACGTGCATTTGAAGGCAACCGCCATGGACCATCATTCATAAGTCGCGGCGCATTAACCGGCTGAGATGGGAAAGGGTAAGGGTGAGGAAAGGAGGAGCGTTGGGGTTGTGATTCAATAATCCGGCTTGGAAGCGAAAAGTGGCTGGATGGTGCTGGAGCGAGATGCCTAGTCCCTGCGCTATGTCCGAATGAGGTACTGCTCGGCCGAAGTAGTTGGTTCTGCAATGACACTTTATATTTACAAATCAAAAGTACAAGCCAATGTAGTTTGAGCAATTACAAGATGACTAGATCAGAAAATGAGAAAAATCAGTGTTTACATGTTGCAATACTGGATATGATGGAGGAGCAAATCCTGGTTGAAGGGGTAACGAAGGATAGCTAGGCTTGGACGGTTGAGTTATGGATGATTGAGGTAGAGCTAAAGATTGGGGTGGTGGTAATGGAGCTAGTGGTGGTGGTGAACATTTCTCAGAGAAAGGGGGTAGTGGTGGCAGCTGCGGTGGAGATGATGGAGGTGGAGGCGGGGATGGGGATGGAGGAGAAGGAGGCAGGGGAGGGGGAGATGGAGGCGATTCATGAGGGAGCGGAGGAGAACCCTCTGGAAAAGGAGGCAGCTCAGTTGCAGTGGTTTCACTCGGTGAGTTGTCCTTTGCTTCGATTCCACAGACATACGATGGTTCTTCAACTATTGGCTGATAAGAAACATCTTCCATTTCATGCACACTAATGACAGCCTCTAAAACACAGTGAGGTTTATCATTCAAACTATCATACGAAGGTTTTTCATCCCTTGGCTGATAAGAAGCATTTTCCATTTCACGCACACCATTGACAGCATCTAGAACACAGTGAGTTTTATCACTCGAACTATCACGTGCCTCTAATTTGCTTAACGCATGGGCTGGTTCTTCAATATGTATGTTTTCAACTTCCGGTGATGTGGTTGGAAGATCCTCATCTTCCTCATCCTCTCCAAAAGCATGAGAAGATAAAAATCCAGGCAGCTGAAAATCCACATAGCTGCAGAAAAAAAATCGTTAACGTATCAGAACCGTAATAACTCTGTCTCTAACAACATGCCCATCAGAAATTATATCAAACCGGAAAAAATTGCATACCTCCCATACTCATCAACAAGCATCCCTTCCATATCCCTTATAGGGTCATCTACAGAACGCTCAGATCTAGAAGGACGCCGTAAGGTAAACCCAGCAGTTGCATCGCCACCAGAGGTACTAATATCACCAATATAGCGACGCAGGAGAGAATCTGGAAATATCTTCCTCTCAAGCCACAACCTCAACACCTAGCAGGAGCAAGAGATTATTGACTCTGAACAACAAAAATATGAGAGTGCCCTCAATCGAACAAAGAGCAAAAAACCTTGCGACATTGATGGCGATTTTCACGAGCACCAGTCCCTGATGGAGCCGCAGCACCTAGAAGGCGTGGCAAGGCTGCTTGCACAGTAGGAATATACAACGCGCCAGCTATACCTAAAGAAGATTTCACATGCATCATGATCTATCACGTTAATATTATTATTTACACATAAGCCAGACAGATATAATATCTTTGACTATAAACAGAAAGACAGCAACTGTATACAGCAAGTACCTAAAAAACAACGACTTGAAAAAGGTACTATATCCATTCAGGAGGAAGCTTACCTTTTTGGCTATGCGAACATTGGGTGATCGAATCAACGAGAAAGAACAAGTCTACTTTACGGCGGAAATGAGGCGCACTTTCTAGCTTTCGTATGAGAAGTTCCACAACCTAAAAAAAAAGAAAAACCAAAAACATCAAAAACTGCTCTTGAATTTCACACATCACGCTGTAGATAGTTCTCTCGAAAATTTGACCAAAGCTAAGGTATATATCTAATTTGAAACTTCATTTGCAGTCTATTCTTAAGTTTATCATAGATAACCTGGCTGACAGTCTTAAGAAAGAGGTAAAAAAATCTTGCCGCATATAAGGTAAAAAAAGTTAACTTACCTCACTGGCAATCCCATGCTTGGCACACTGAATTGCCTGGCGTGTTGCACGTCCAATACTTTCCTTCGTTCTGGATAAGGTCTCTATCATTCCCTCAAAAGCATCTCGTGAAATTGCAGCTTCAGTGACAGCATCTCCAACTGACATATGCCCTGAGGTAACTCGTCTCTCTTCGTTCTCTTCAATCTCAGCTTGGTTACTTGATGCAGACTGATTTCCATGACTTGAAGGAGTCGTATCTTCTTGGTGTCCCAGAGTAACAATCACCATGGCGTCGCCAGCAGAAGATGGAACATTCTGAACCATGGAAGGGCTGTTATTTCTCATCTGCGTTTCACCGATGCCAGAGAAATTATTGTCCAAATTCACAGACGGTGAAGTATGTGTATGTGCTTGTTTTCTTTTGGCTTGGGCAGCTGCAATCAGAACCTTCATAGATGAAGAAGAATCTGGAAACCCAGAACTGATCAATTGGGTACTTCCATTTTCTTGATTAACTCCAATCCTACAATACGAAAAGAACACAAAGATTATAACCTCCAAGCAAAAGCAAGACATATCAATGACATAGGGATATAAAAAAAAACATACATCCCAGCGGACAAGTTACCAGAAGTGTCAATTGACACTCTGGCATCGTTCAAACGAGTTGCAAATTTTGGAGTATTTGTTGCTTTTCCCCCTAAACCTGGTTTGATTCTATGAGATTGAGAAGAGCTAGCTCTATCAGAACCAGCCACTGCATCCTTAGAAGAATCAATATGGCATTTTTTTGACATCCCCGCACCAGAGACTTTTCCGGTTTTGTATTGTCCTGCCACCTGATCCTTTGCTGAAACCAACTGAGGGGGCTTCTTAGGAGATCTCAAGACCTGCTTAACCTTTTTTGTGGTAAACTTGATGATTGGTTTTCCCATAGGCGAGGTGTTGGTGAGGCCCTCCACGCTATCTGGCATTTCTGCACCAGAGACTTCTGCAGTTTTAGTTTGTCCTGTCACCTGTTTCTTGAATTTAATCAGCTTGGGGGATTTCTTAGGAGATTTTAAGATTGGCTTGTCATTCTCTTGGGGCAACTCGGTCACAGATTTTCCAATAGGCGAGCTGTACAAAAGGCCATCCACGCTATCAGGAAGTGCAAGTGGAGCCTCCTTGTTATGTTTACACAGCGGTACCTTCCCTGTTTCGGCACTTTCTTCAAATTCTTCAAATCGCTTCACTTTAATAGAAGTATCATGGGACGCCTTAGCACTTTTAGGACCATCAGTTGAAGCTGAAGTATCATTGCCAGCATTGGTATGTCCTCCATGCACCGGAGTCTTTGGATCTTCATCGTCATCTTCATCATAGATATAAACTGCCCTCCGTCTCTTGGGCAGCTGAGCAGCTGAAGAACTAATCTTCCGTTCTGGATGATTTGTTCCCTTTTTATCACGAGAGCCAGAAAAGAAGGAAGATTTTGTGTGCTCAATTGTCTGTTTGTGGCGCCTTGTATAACCAACCAGTTCCTTATCAACAATCTCACGCTTTCGAACGCTAGCAGAATCAGATCCTTCAGGACGAAGACGTTTGCTCTTGGATTGTGTTTGATCCTTAGCATCTTCAGATCGTTGTCTCTTGGCAGCACGTTGATTTTCATCTGCTCCTGATGCAGACTTTCCAATTTCACTTTCAAACCTCTTTTTCTTCCCTAAACTCCCATTATTAGAGCCAAGTGCATGCTCATGCTTATTACTCGAGACTCGGGCGCTTGGTTTCTCTTTAAGCCTTTCTTTTGAGCTTTTACAACCAGCGATATTAAGATCCGAAACCACCTTATTGTCAAAAGATTCCTTTTTACTGCCCTTTAATTTCTGGTTAGGACCAATAGGATTATTATCTGTAGCAGTTCGAATATCAGGTAGACGCTTGGCTCTAAGAACCTCATCTTTACATCTTTTATCCGAATCAGGCTCCAGTGGCTCACCATCCGGGGATGAATCTTCCTCTCCTATGTCAGGCTTTGGCTCCGCACCATTATTTTCGACTAATCTATGGAGACCAGGATCCGCCCTAGAATCAAACTTATCAGAATTTTTATCATTACCAGTGTCTCCATGATCTGTTCCATCCAATGTCTTAGCCTTTGTTAAACTAGCCTCAACAGCATCCAAAACAGCCTCACTGCCTAAGTCATCTGACTTGTGATTCTGCGACTCCTCAAATGCAGCGGAGATTTCCTCAACAGCTTGTGCAAAGTGCTTGACCGTTTTACCTTGACATCTTTTTAACAGTTTATTCTTAGCCTCACTAGTGAACGCTTGAATATCAGGAGGCGCAACAAAAGCTCTGCATCAAAGTATGATTACTTGGTCAAACTCTAATATTGAGAAAACGAAATCACAATCCAACAACAAAGAAGTGAACTTGCAATCAGGGAGGAAAAACTACCAAATCACACTAACATAATGACTTGACTAGACAAAACGCATATAACTTTCCACGTCTGTGATAAGATAAATCTCAAAACATCAAACAATCAGTAGAGATACAGAAGAAGCAGCATGCTTACATTTCCTGTGTTCCAAAGAAATAAACGAAGTACTTCTTTGGGTCTGGCACCTGTTCCCAATCTTCAGGCCGGTCGATCTGAAACACAAACCATTTACTTCAAAGAAATTAAGTAAAATTGAACAAATCCTACGCAGCTCAATCAGAATTAACAGCAATCCAGACACTCTAAACTTAAGAGATACTACATAACAATAAGCTAGAGGACTATATTATGGGTTCAAACAAAAAAATAAGGTTTGCTTAGGCATACAATAAAACCAGCCTTATAGTTTATGAATCCACATTCAAGGAGCAAACATAGCATTAAAGCTAAACCACAAGAACCTTAGAGAAAAAAATCAATCCGTCAATCAACAAAAAGCCATAAACTAAAAGAAAACTCAATCACGAACGTAGGAGCTATAAGGTTAAGCGAGTAGACAAAAGAGTATGCGCAAAACCAAATGATCATGAAGCCGAGCATCAACAACGAGAGAGAGAGAGAGGAGAAGACGCGCACCTTAGCAGGCCAAGCAGGGAAGCCTTTGACTTTCGCAAGAACAAGATCACCTAGTCTCAACTCTCCTTTCCCGATGCCTTTGCTCCCTGTTTTTTTACGGCTAGGAGCCATCGACAACCCTAATTTTGGAGTCACCGAATGGAATCGCCGATTCAAAACAAGCCTAGAGAATCAATACGAAAACTTCGACTCTTTCACAGGAGATTGTTTCCGTCTGCTGATAGACGGAGACAGCTAGGGCTTCAACGTAACGAGCAATGAAGCGAAAACGAGTAGAAGAGAGTGAGGGAAGAGTCGAATCGAAGGGAATTAGGGCAAAAGATGCGAAAATCTTAGTCGGGAGATGAAGAAAGCTATAGGCGAAACTGGGTTTTTTGCTCACGTCGCCGCCTTTTGCTCTCCCTCCCCCCCTTTTCACAAAAACGAGAACGAGATCACTAATTTTTTCCTTTTTTATTTACTTATAATGTGTTACAGAAAAAAAAAATTACTTGATATTCTCTCTTTCATATTAAGTGTCAGTTGTAGATAATTTTTTACTTTACAAAATAAGTGTCGTTTTCGGTTTTTAATGTAAAATTTATTAATTTTATTATATATTTAGTTTTTTTTATTGGTTAAAATATGGTTAAGTGTATAGTTAACTGTGTTTTTATATAGGAAATATGTAAAATTAATTATTTTTTAATCTGTGTACACAATTGTAGAATGACACTTATAATAAAATAGAGGGAGTAGTTACTCTTACTCCATATTGATTAAAATTTTATTTATGTAATTTACGACATTGCATTTACCACTTTTTGTTTTGTTCCTACATATTCTTTTCACACTCTCAAACCATAAATGGATAGAGGAATATCATTTTCTTAATTTAGTAATCAAATGGCATAGATAACATATAAGCAACTGCACTAGAATTTCTAAGACTAAGCGACACAAGCATCCTTGAAACTGCAATTGGAATGGAGAACATGACCCCAATGCTAGTCTTAATCCACTGAAACTATTTAGCTGAACCGAAAATAGTCTTAAGAGAGGATTTGATATGACGAAAAGTAAACAAGGATCTGCGAGATATAACTCCTTTACAGAGATTATCAAACAAATCTCTAACAAGAGCAATGGAGAAAATGAGAGGAAAAAAGGTTTATTACTTTGATTACCAGTTTCTCTTCTCTTTTCTTAACTCGAACTTTTATCTTTGCTTTCATTGCAACATCATCTTTCACCAACTCCAATGTTCTCTCATCAATCACTTCATCGATTATACCAAAAGCTTTAGCCTCTTCAGAAGTCATGAAATGATCCATATCCATGTTCTTCTCAACCACGTCGATAGACTGATCCGTGTGTTTCATGTAAAGCTGATTCAAAGCATTCCAAACACGAACAATCTGTTTTGTATGGATAGTCATATCATTGGTTTGTCCACTGTATCCTCCTGAAGGTTGATGAATCATGACAGTTGCATTTGGGAGTGCCCATCTTTGTCCTTTGGCACATGCTGCCATCAGTAGAGAAGCCATGGACGCAGCTTGACCTAAACAAATCGTGCTTATCGAAGATCAAATGTATTGCTAGTTTGTTCCATAATTGTCATCAAGAATTTTCTTGTATAACAATGTCATAACAGATTTAGATCAAGAAATTATATGGATAGAAAAGAAGAAAAATGAAAAAATGGGATTAACAAAGATGAATGACGAGTATTATAACAAATACAATAATTATTTATATTTTAAAGATTAAACTAAATTTTTCTTTGAAGTTTTAGAAATATAATTTTTATAGATTTTACAATGAAACAAAATTGCATATGTTAAAAAAATGTAACCGGTTTTTAGTATATGATAGAGAGCTTGAGAAATTTGCTTTGATAATCTATATCATCAAATTGTATTTAACTTTTTGGATACACATCCATTTAATTTTTTAAAATTAATTGTGTTTGAGCTTAAATAGTAAAACTGTGGAAGGCTATTTGGTTAAACAAAAATTGATTTGTGATGTCGTGTGAGAAAGAAAAAAATATAGAAACGTCATGTGATGATTATAGAGTCGGTAACTAAGATTTTCGAACATCAAAAAAAATAATGTACTATCAATCATACATAATTAGGTCCACAGGATGAGTGAACAGACATAGAAAACTCACTAGTCGTGAATATTCAGGTCGTTACGAAAAACATATCTGTTGACAACAAAAAATATCCTATTTAATTTGACATTTAATTTTTTATATACATATATAAGAATTAAAAACTTTGATTTAATAGAACATGGAAGATACTATGAAGCTATCGCATAGCCGGTTTTGAATATGTCAAAAATAATTTGCGTTCAAAGTAGATTTTAGTAAACTTTTTAAAATAATAATGGATATTTAACCAGTATACTAAAACAAAAATCTTTACTAGTGGCAGCTGAACCCGATGATTCATCTGCTTTGGCCCATGACTGTCTCTGATCACCCCTCTAACCCATCTATGAAACTGATTAGTTGCAAACATGATCAAGTACTGCGTTTATTCTTCTGCAATGATGAAGATAGATAAGTATTTTGAGGCAAACGAGCAAAAAATGCAGATTAATAGTTACATCTGAGACTTTGGTCAGACAATGTATTAAATGTTTATACTATGTCTCGTTATGTCACTGTCACGAAATTCACATCTATTCAAAACGTGGGCACCAGCCACCCAATAACAAATATAAAACCAAACAACGTTATTTGCGCACTAAATGATTCTTGTAGTCTAATAGGTGCTCTCATTATTGTAACTGTAGGTGCATCCAGACTTTGGAGATGGCAAAAATTATAAGCTAAAGGATTACACGGTTCCAGGCAAGATCGATAAACTACACAAAAGAAAGAAGTAACATGAAGCAACATCAACATCAAATTCTCGTACACGGTTCTCCTCTTTCTGATCATGTTTCCTGTATTTATTTCACCAGTAACTATTAACCATATAGATCATAGGAAGAGGAAGACGCTTATATAATATGTTGAGTTAGTGAGTACAAACGAACAGTCTAGAGTGACGAACACGGCTGCTAAATATTGACTTCCAAAAAACCACAGATAATATACTAATCGATCAATCATCGTTATTAAACGAAGACACTGTTTATCCATATTAAAAAAAACAAAAAAAATTGACAAAACCCATTATAATATAAAAGAAATCGTCACGACAGTGAAACGCGATTTTGCCGGCCAAGAAACCCGTCCATAACGACTTTTCTTTTATACGACTCTGAATTCAAATCCTGCACGTACGCAGAACTGTCGCTACCGCTGCGTTTGCGTTTTGCCAACGCGGCTGCGTCTCTGAGACGAGGTAGTAGATAACACCAAGCGGATGTACATAGAATCGCACATAGTCGACCCCAAACTAACATAATCACCAGCGTCAATACAATGACCGAAATCCCAATTACCGGGTCAAACTTTTCGACCCGTGACCCGCTTTTCTCCCGAGACGGTTTCATCTGTTTCATCTCCGGTTTCACGTTACGGGTTGAGTTGGATATGCGTTCAGGACACGTGTCTTCTCTTGAGGAACCCAACCGTTCGGTGGTTACGACTTGTAAGTCCTTCGGTTTTGTCTGAATAATTAAGCAACGAACAACATGAAGAAAAATTTCAAAAACAAAAATTAAGATTAAAATCATAAAACGATTTATTGTCGCATCAGAAGATTCACAAATGTTTTTAAGGTTTCAAAAACCATATTGGACACAAGAGAAGTATAAATTGTCTGAAAATGATTTTTGACCCAAAAAAAACAAACGTGAATAAATCTTTTGAGATTCTGTGAAAGATACTTACCTCTTTTGTGTCATGATTCACGACGGACTTATCATCAGCCGGAATATTCTTACGATCAGACATACAACTATTCAACGGTTTCTTCTTATAAATTTTATCTTCTACACTTGAAGTTGGTTTCTCTGTTTCCTCGATCGGCGCCGGTTTGATCTCTCTGTTCTTGGAGCGAAATTTAGAACATAAAAGCCACCGATTTGGCTTCTTCTTCTTTGTCTTGATTTTCCTCTCACCATCCTCTTCCGGCTCAACCATCCCCTTGTCGGAGTATATTTTACGGGAAAATCCGAAACATTCAAGAAAATACGAAGAAGACACCTTTCTTTCTTGGGCTCTCTTCACGGTTTTGCCCATTGAAGTCGAATTGAATGAAAGAGAAACTGTGCATTCGTGCGAAGACTTTGAAATATCGCTCGGAGCGGTTGGATTTTATACTATTTATTTATTTTGATAAAAATAATGTTATTACTGTTGACACAGTTTCGAATTAGGGTGACATAAATTATTACATAGAAAAATTGGATTGCTATTTAATTTTGTGAAGCGTGGGTGCATGAATATCACAAAAAGTATGTTATTTCTATTTAGGAAAAAAAAATCGGATCAAAATCTATCCAAAAGATAAGATTGAAATAAAACTATAAGAAACAAATAAAGTGATGAGCAAAAAATACAAGAGAAATGAAACAAGGTTAAGTTGAATAATAACTTCGAATCAGGGTGGCATAAATTATGACCTAGAATAATTGGAATGCTATTTAATTTTGTGAAGCGGGGGGTGCATGAGGATCAGAAAAAGTATATTATTTCTATCTTGAAGATTTTTTTTTTGATCAAAATCTATCCAGAAGATAAGATAGAAATAAAACTATAAGAAACAAATAAAACGATGAGTAAAAAATAGAGAGATTTAGTCTAATACCCAAAATCGAAGTTCAAATTTGTGGTTGTTCATCGATGAACGTTAGTGATTCAAGCCATACAATTACGTTTGGAAATGTCCAAAATGATATTCTTCAACTGATATACTTTCCGCTGGTTAGAGAGAAATCAAAGTCCTATTGTCTATACTTACTTCATTTTTGTCCATATATTTACTAGATTTTTTTAATGGTAAAAATTTTATCAAATAATAATATTTTTGAAAATATAATATAAAAATCTTATAATAGATAAAATAATTTAACATTTGATATGATTGAAAACATAAATTACAATAAATATGCAGTTGTTTGTATATTTTTATTTTCTTTGTAATTATACATTTTATATAAATAAAATAGTTGTTAAAAATTACAATTAATTGCAAAATTTAAACATCTCTAAAATCTACAATTTGTTAGAAATTTGATCTTAGTGTTAGATTAATTGTTAGCGGTTAACTCATTTTGTTAACTGATATATTTTTTTGTTACCTGATAAATTTACTCACTTCGAGAGAGAAATTGAAACTTCGACAATATTTATTTGTTAACATATAATACCTAATGTATGTATTGACATCTACAAATTTGTTAACAACTAACACTTCTGTTAACAATTATGTTACATATATTTGTTAACAGCTAAAACATCTGTTAACATCTATAAAATCTGTTAACAGTTAATGTCTTTGTTAATACAACTGGTACATGTATTTGTTAACAGCTATTACCGTACTATTTTCTATATATATTATTAACGATACATCTGTTAATATTATATATAACAAATAATAATTTGAAGCTTCAAAAAAAAAATATTTCATCAGGTAAAGAAAAAAACAAAAGAAATCAGAAGAGAGAATGACAAGTGAAATGAAACAAGGTTAGATTGAATAGTAACTTCCTTTTTTATCAACTTAAGAACACGTTATAAACAAAAAAAAAAAGGGAAAATATCAGAAATGTCTAAAAGAAACATGAAACATATTAGAAATGTCTTTATCCAACAAGAAACATGATTAAGCAGGAAATATATAAATATTTCTCATTTCTGATATTTTCTATATTTATGATTTTATCACCCCCCCTGATTTTTCAGTATCAATCTACCTTAATGAAATTAGCTGACAGTAAAGGATATTTTTTTTTACAAGATAACGATTATAAAAGTATAGCACATATTAAATTAGATCTGTTGTTGGAAGATGAACTATATGGTCAAGCACATGTCCTTAAGGTAATCGGTATAAGATTGGAATATTCAAAAATAGTGAGAGAGCAAACGTGTCCGATTACATCATGTATTCAAACGAATGAACAAAACCGTGTATACAATAACGAACCACATTATTCAATACGGTGGAAAGATTAGGACGAAAGATTCATCTTGATAAAAATGATTAATGTAATGAAACACAAAGATAAAATTAATAAAACCAAAGTAAAGATTAAAAGAAGAAGAATAAAGTATCGTAGTGTTCACGTTCCTAACTTCTACGTCGGACTTCTTCATTTAACTTTTTCTCGATGACCCATTCAATTTTATTTTGCAATAAAATATGTAAGAGATTTGCTTCTCGTATCATTCTTCGTTCTTCAACCCATTTTGGGCTAGAAACGTCTGGGTCTCTTAATATTTTTGGGCTCAAAAAGATTGTTGATATTTGGAATAGTAAGCAACACAAATTGCTGCGAGAAACTACCAAGAAGTGAATAAATTCTTGTTTGGATAATATATTTATCTATGACGAAAAATATGTAACTATGATCATTGAAAGGTCGATTCAGAAAGTTCAAATAACAACAGCAAACACCAATTAACTAATAACCGCAACCGCCACGTCCGTGATGTGTCATTAGAAAAAAAGATTATCGTAACCACAAATCGCTTATAAAAAAGGCGTTTTGTCTCAGTTTTGATTAGAAGATTTCTAAACAAAGAGGCGAGAGCGTTTGACGATGGAGAAGAACGCACTCTGGCTCCTCTGCTTGCTTGTGTTGCCAGCGTTAGCCTGTGGTTATAAGGAGGATGACCTGGTTACCGGTTTACCGGGTCAACCACCGGTTCACTTCAGACATTACTCCGGCTACGTGAATCTTGGGCCTAAGCAGAAGCAGAAGTCACTTTTCTATTGGTTCTTTGAAGCTCAACAACACTCCTCTCGCCGTCCTCTAGTCCTCTGGCTCAACGGAGGTCAGTCTCTCTCTCGCTCTCTACATATGTACGTATGTGTATCGTCACATATTTGTTATTTATAATCTTCAGTTTAATACTTATCGTAATTTTTAAAGTTCCTACCATCATTGAGTCAAAGCTCCCTAGTCAGCTTTTTGACAAATAACTATCTGCTTTAGACTATAATTAATACAGAATTTTTAAGATGAAGTTTTTAGCGGAAATTTAAAAACAGTTCCATTAAAAATTCCACCCTAAAAAATTCGGTTAATCATGCTCTTATATTATTATAGAAATAATAAATATTTTAACAAAAATATGGCATGTTCATCTAATTTAACGATTTAAACTAGATTTTGACCCGCGCAACCGCGCGGGTGTTTGTTTTTGTTTATAATTATATAAATATTTTGTTTTCACTTGTAAATTGGTATATATTATAGTAATCACATATTTACTATATGTATAGTAAATGTTTTTCAAACATAAAAATATTATATAATAAATGTTTTAATCAAATAGATTGTTTCAAATTTTCTATATTATACATGACTTTCAAACATGTGTTTGTTTCTTCTTCTATATTTTATTATTTGTTAAATTAGTATTTCATTTTTAGATAAAGTAATATAAATAGAGCTTGATTAAATATTAGTGTAATTTAATTTGCAAATATAATATAAACTTCGAAGAAATTTTTGCTAAAAACTAAACTTATAGCTTCATAAATTAATATTATAAAAATTTTATTAAAAAGGAATTTAAAAAAAAAATCTTTTTTTTAAAACAATACAATTTTAAAAATTTTCATCGAAATAAATTTATCTAATATATATAACGTATAAATTTTGTTAAGGTATATAAATATTACATATTAATAATCTGTGATTTTTGTTAATATATTCTGGATGCATTTAACTATTATTGACATATTTCCTTATAAATAATAGAAGATTCCTAAATTTATATCTATTGGCATATTTTGCGTGACTAAGTTGGAAGGTGTGGGGTAATTTACCAAAACAAAATTGTTAAGCATATTATAAGATATAATAATGATAATATTATTAGAGAGTTAATGTAACATAACTTTCTAGTAATAGTCCATTTTTAAAAAAAATCACACATGAAATCAAGTCATGACTTCTGTTTTAATATATAAGATCGTTGATCAGTACTTAATGACAAGATTTTTGCAGGACCTGGTTGCTCATCGATCGCTACTGGTGCTGCGCAAGAACTAGGCCCGTTTCTGGTCCATACCAAAGATGGTAACCTAACCTTCAATGAATTCTCTTGGAACCAAGGTATAACGAACTATTTATGATGTAAAATTTCCATTTAAAGATGATGAATACATTTATGTATTATAATAAGTTGCGTTTACATTTTTTAATGAATCATATGTTTGGACAGAGGCCAACATATTGTTCTTGGAAGCACCGGTAGGCGTTGGGTTTTCATACAGTAATAACTCAACGGATCTTCAAAACCTTGGAGATCAAGTTACTGCACAGGATTCTCTTGTGTTTCTCATCAACTGGTTCAAGAAATTCCCCGAGTTTCGATCCAACGATTTTTACATCACTGGAGAGAGTTATGCAGGTAAAAATACATGATTTACTTAATTTCTGGTTTATAAAATATACAAATAAAACTCTTCTTTCTACAGAAAAGTATAGATAAAATAATCAAAAGTCCGAACTTAGTTTGTTTTGCCTTGATATAATTTTGGTGCTGTATTGTAAGATGTTATAATTTTGGTCTTGAATGACTTAAGTAGTTTTTTAGCTGGATATAAAATATCTTTTTTTTTTTTTGGTATATATTTCATTACATGCATGTCTATGTCTGTATATTCAATTAGGTCACTATGTTCCTCAGCTTGCGGAGGTGATTTACGACAGGAACAAGAAAGTTCAAAGAGATTCTCGCATCAATCTCAAAGGCATCATGGTACGGCACTATGTATACGAGCAACGCTTTCTTTGGGGACAAGAAAACAACGTTTCTTGATACAGAAGTAAACATAATAGTCAAATAAACTTCAAATAAAACCTAACCATAAAATGGGCTTTGGTTGTTGACTGCTGTAGATTGGAAACCCATTGATCAATGACGACACAGACACTGCAGGACTAGTTGACTACGCGTGGAGCCACGCCCTAATATCCGACGAGGTTCATAAAAACATTCATGACTCGTGCCGTTTTGGAGACAAACTAACCCCAAACGAAACGGCACAATGCGTCAAAAGTTTCGAAGGGATGACAGCTTTCGCGGCGATCAATATATACAGTATCTACACTCCTATTTGCCTCTCCTCCTTGTCGTCGTCAAAAAAACATAAACGTGCCATGTCTCATAATCTCCTCATTTCACAAGTACGTAAACATCAATCTTCTTCTAATTTGATCTTGTTGGTTTGTATCAATTAGTGATGAAATTATAAGAATGGTTTGAAATGGTCAGGATATCTGGAATAGGTTGCCTTATGGGTACGACCCGTGCACACCAGACTATGCCCAAAAATATTTTAATAGGAAAGATGTGCAGACCGCACTTCACGCAAACGTCACAAACATACCTTACCCGTACACAGCTTGCAGGTCAGTGTTACATGTTCAAAATTATTTACATACTAAGTTTATATGTTGGTAATTATATGATTGTTAAATCAGAACATTTTTGTAGGTAGCACAAAAAAATTATGATAAATAGCATATAAAAAATTCTAAAATAGCATTATTAAAATATAAAATGATTAATGTATTTCGAACTTTACACACTTACTCTACTTACATACTCTAACAAAATTAAATTTGAATTAGTAAATGCAAATCCAAATATAAAATAAAAAATTATGTTAATTAATGTTATTTTTTTGAAAAAAATTATGTGATATGTTTAGAATTATTTTAGTGCTATTGTAGGTTATTTCTCCTAAATCAATTTTGGTGTATTTGAGGTTGGTTTTAAGAGCACCTCCACCAAAAATTCATATGGGGATTTACACGTTTTTCAAAAAAAAAAACTAAAATAATAGATAGTGATGAACATGTCCATTGAATCCACTTCATCACTGTAACGGGAGTCCCACGACACGTGGCGACCCACAATTGATCTAATTTTTTTTAAAAAATCAAACAGAAAAAAAAAATTAATAATAAAAAATTGAAAACTTAAACTCTAAATGGGGGTTACTAATGGGGATGCTTTAAAGTATGTGTGTGCTTTGTGTATGGTTTAATTAGTACGGTGATAAAGTGGAATGAAGCTCCGACCACCGTGATTCCCATCATCCAGAAGCTCTTGAAGAGTGGCCTCCGCATTTGGATCTATAGGTATTTATATTCTTTGCTTCTTAAAATCTCACAATTATAAACACATGTTTATAAATTATCTAGAAAAACATATAGTTAATTATTACAATTTTTTGGTGACTAGTTTTAATACGATTGGTTTTTTTGGTTATAGCGGAGATACGGATGGGAGAATGCCAGTAACATCTACGCGTTATAGCTTAAGGAAGATGAGACTTAAGGTGGAGTCACCGTGGAGGTCATGGTTCCACAAGAGTCAAGTGGCTGGATGGGTTGAGACTTATGCCGGAGGGCTAACTTTTGTCACCGTTAGAGGTGCTGGTCATCAGGTTCCACTCTTTGCTCCGGCGCAATCCCTCACCTTATTCTCCCACTTTCTTTCTTCCCTCCCTTTGCCTCCCTCTCGCTTCTAATTAACACCATATATGATCCCTCTCCTTACTCATATGTTTCAATGTTTGATTTACGAGAAAATAATATCAGTGTCTCTTTTCTTTTTTGTTGGCTTGTTTTGCAGTTATTATGTTAGTTGTTGTATGGTAATAATGTATTACACTCCCCTATAGTCCCATGTGTATATGAATGTGAAAGATCAATCGAATAAAACATAGAAAAAGCTTTGAACGCCTTTCTTTTATGTTTGTTATTGATGTTCACTTCGTTAAATCTGGGAGGATTTTCAGGTTCCTGACTTCTTGTGATATTTTTTTAAACTGGCTTTTAACAATAAATAATAATGAAACATTTTTTGGGAGATATTAACCGTGGATGGCCCCGTTGAGGCTCATCGATAGAAAATAGTACCGTCGACAGATGTGAGTGTCGTCTCATCATGCCAAATGAAGCTTCTCATCTGATTTATGGTCTTGTCAATGTTTTTATTTTTTAATTATTATTATTTTTCCAAATAAAAAATAATAAATACTAATCAACTGTGGATCAACATATGTCTTGAAGAACCGCGAATAGTATAAGAATTCGCTTAAAAAAAATTTTATTTAATTTTTTTCAAAGATAAATCCTTAATTTTTGTGTGAGATCCATAATTATTTATTTTATCTTTTCTCTAAGAATTTCAGAATTACTGTTGCGGATGCTCTTATACTTAGAAAAATCTTTTAAAACATTAATAATTTTTTATAAATCATATTTTAAGCAATTGATTATCATGTTATTCATATGAACACATATTTTAGTTTAGGAAATCTCACTCACCGAAAGTTCGTAAACAGTAATTTTGTCTTATCATTGGGTCTTTTTATCTGTTACAACATATTCACGGCACTCATGAGCTATAACAAGAAAATAAAAGAATATCATGTAAATAAGAGACTTTAAGGTAAAAAGAAAAAGAACAACACTGTGTATGCCCCTTTTGGTCCAATAAAAATAAAATAAAAACACTATAAACAATGAAGTGGGGCTTTATTTTCTCATCTACTCATTTCGAGAAAGAAGTAACAAGAAAAGAAAGAAAAAAAAAAGGGAGGGGGAGAAAGAAGTGTTGGGCGATGAAGAGGAACGCACTATGGCTACTGCTCGTTCTAATGTTGCCGGCGTTAGCATGTGGTAGGAAACCGGAGAAGAAGGTAACTGCTTCGTCTGGAAGGAAAGAGGAAGACCTTGTTACTGGTTTACCCGGTCAACCACCGGTTAACTTCAGACATTACGCCGGTTACGTGGATCTAGGGCCTCGACAGAAGCAAAAGGCACTTTTTTATTGGTTCTTTGAAGCCCAACACAACTCTTCTCGTCGTCCTCTCGTCCTTTGGCTCAACGGAGGTCAGTTTCTCTCTCACTCTCTCCCTCGTTTACATAAACAAGTTTTTTAACTCTTTTGTTAAAATATAATATTACAAACTTCTAATGTGTTTTTTAATTGAGAATTTCACTGTTTTTAGTGGTTTTTATTAATATGCTTGTTGCTTAACCATACATCACATTAAATTCGTCTAATTTTCATTTGTATGAATATAATGTAAGAAGAAACTAACAAAATTTATCTTGTGAAAAATAAGATAAATAAATTTTCTCGGCTGTTATTTCTCTTAACTACGATTTTGGTTTTAGAGTAAATTTAGTATATTTAAAGATAACTCAAATGTTGTGACTTGTTTTGAGAAAAGATCAACTTGTGCACATTACCCTACCAAGCTCCATCTTTCTTTCCCTCCTTCATGTTGACAATGACCAGCTACCTGCTTTATAATTCTACTTTCTTAACGGTTCTTTTTTCCCCTCAACAATCTAAATTTGTTAAAGTAAATATATTGCAGGAGACAGTAAATGGTCGTTCCTAATTTTATGGCTCGATAATAATGGTTAAAACAACTTTCAACCATTTTGTTTCTTGCTAAATACATGCTTATTTTAGAAGTGATGTCAGAAATAATCGTTGGGTATCAAAAAATATTAACTACATACTGTAACTATTAATTAGTATCACACCAATTTTTAAGTGAGCGCTTCAAGTCAATCGAGCACAATAGTAAATTATTACATATCATGACGCAAAAGATGCTATGTTTTCCACTATTTGTTGTCGTGTCTCTTTTTTTATCCGTCACTTTTTTTTTTGTAGCTCATATGTATATTAATATTTACTGTATAGTGTCTATCACAATATTTCGTGAACAAAGTTTATATTTTTTTTTTTGCTCAACATAAAAAGGAAATGAAAACAGAATTGTAGTTTTGACCCAAAAAAAAAACAGAATTGTAGTAATAATAAATGTTCCAAATTACCTACTTACAATGCCTCACTCAAAAAAAAGAACAAAGCAAAAACGAATGGAAAATGGTACTGGAAACAAAAGTGTAATAATATCAGTTCACACTATTTTCACAAATTTTCGTATTCTATTAAAAGTTTTGGAGATGTATATGGACCAGCTAACTGAGAATGATAGTTTTGGACTTATATATATATCATTCAATTTCCAAATCATGTTTCTAGACCGTTAAAACTTTGAGGTTTGTTGTCTTCACCTCCTTTGCTTTCAAAATTCTAGATAGTCTGCTCTAATTCTGTTCCCTGTTTGTATGCGCACACGGTTCACATTCCAATATCAAGATTTTTAGTGATACGAGAAAGGGATAAGGTTTGAATATTCAAATACATATAAAAGTAGACAAATGACTACGTCTCTGTCTAATAGTTCATGTGGACATTATTAACAGACATATGTGTATCAAAAGTGTGTAATTAGTCAAGTAAACGGGTGAGTGACAGCCAAAAGAAAAAGCCAAGTACCTTTAGTAATCCGATATAGTTTATTTGAAAATGAATTATATGTATGAAAATTACGTTTTATAAGCCAACATAGAAGCTTTTGACTTACATGATGGTTATAACCAGTAACAATAAATTTAGAGGATTTACAAAACTAAATTGCATACGGATATTGAATATGCAGGACCGGGTTGCTCATCAGTAGCTTATGGAGCTGCACAAGAACTAGGTCCTTTTCTTGTTCGCACCAACAGTGGCAACCTTACTTTCAATGACTTCTCTTGGAACAAAGGTGCAGCCATTTTGTAATACAATATTTACATTTTCAACATAATAAAAAAGATTTATCAATGGTTACATTTATTGTAGAGGCCAATATGTTGTTCTTGGAAGCACCGGTAGGAGTTGGATTCTCGTATACTAATAACTCAGTGGATCTTGGAAAAATTGGAGATCAAGTTACTGCAGAAGACTCTCTTGATTTCTTGATCAACTGGTTCACTAAATTTCCCGAGTTCCAGTCCAACGAGTTTTACCTTACCGGAGAAAGTTACGCCGGTAAGTTCTTAACCAATCCGGTTTTAGATTTATTTATTTTTGGTTGGTTTATAAATTGGGCAAATCTCTCGACATTTTAAGTTTTTAGCATAAAAACAGACCTCAAAAATTAAAATGACCAAAATAACATTTTTCTTTTATTTTGAAAATTTTAAAATTTTATATAAAAAAAGAAATTGGAAATCCTATCCCAAAACACCACTCCTCTAACTCTAAACAAAAAAATATATGATTAGTTAACCAAAGAGTAGAAATGTATATTTATTTATTTTCTTATAAAACATATAATTCTATTTTGATTTTTTTTTTTTAAAGTCTACATTTGTGACAAAAAAAAATTTAGGTCTATCCTAAGAAATTTCTCTTATAAATTATACAAATCAACAAAGTTAATTGAATCATATGGGTCTTCTTTTCTCAGGTCACTATGTTCCTCAGCTTGCGGAGGTTATTTACGATAGAAACAAGAAAGTTCCAATAGACTCTCGCATCAATCTCAAAGGTTTCATGGTATGTTACTTGTGACACAATACAACAATGTTTCTTGCAATATAAGTAAACATTAAAGGTATACGTTTGGTGACTACTTTTACAGATTGGGAATGCGGCGATCAACGAGGAAACAGACATGGCAGGACTAATAGACTACGCATGGAGCCACGCTATAGTATCTGACGAGCTCCATAGTAACATTCATAGCACGTGCCGTCTTGAGGAAGAGCAAACGAGCAACGCGACCATACAATGCTACGAAAACATCAAAGCTTTCATGGAAGCTTACAACGATATCGATATATACAGCATCTATACTCCCGTTTGCCTCTCCTCTGGTTTGTCATCTTCTTCTCCAAGAAGACCTAAACTCGTCGTGTCTCCTAGTTTCTTCACTTATCACGTACGTAAACTTTGTACTGCGAAAATTGGCTATAGAGACGATATATTAGTTTGTTGTCATGTAAATGTTTCTCTGATATTTTTTTTTTCAAAATGGTCAGGACATGTGGGATAGGTATCCTGCTGCCGGGTACGATCCATGCACTGAAGGCTATACCGAAAATTACTTTAACCGGAAAGATGTGCAGGTCGCACTCCATGCAAACGTTACAAACCTTCCTTATCCGTACACTTCTTGCAGGTTAGTCCTACTTAAATTGCTAGTACTACAATTGTTGGCTATACATATTTAAAGTTCTTGTGCTCGCAGGGGCCGGTTCGTAATATAATCAGATGAAACATTCGTTTTGGTTCCTAAAGATTAAAATTTTGAAGAACTATTATGTATAAATCGCATGTAAAGAACTATTAAAATTTTAAAGAATTACAGTAGAATTTCTATAAATTAATATACACTAAGTATATCTATAAAATAGTATAATTTTATAGTCTCAAATTGAATTTTTGGTTCGATTATTATATTGATAAATTAATATCTCCTTAAATTAATTAAAAATAAAATTTTGATGTAATCCCAACATTATTAATTTATAGAAGTTTCACTGTATTATGTTCCCAAATTGTTGATTTTTTTTTAATTAGGATTAATTTTAAAATCTTTCTGCCCCAAAACTTTAGATCCTGCCATCTGTGTTAGTAATCTTAGTAAAGATGAACCACTTGATTTACAGTTTGATACTAAATTTATAATGTTTGTGCGTTATTCAGCGGGGTATTAAAGGGATGGGGTGAGGCTCCAACCACCGTGCTTCCCATCATCCAGAAGCTTTTAAAAGGTGGCCTTCGCATCTGGATCTATAGGTATATATACATCATGTCTATGCTTTTCTTTCACCTTTAGTTACTCCACTTCCTGTAAACAAGTTTGATCGGTTAAGTATATTGGTTAATTTAGTGGAGATACGGATGGGAGAGTACCAGTAACATCTACACGTTATAGCATAAAGAAGATGGGAACTAAAGTGGAGTTACCGTGGAGGTCATGGTTCCACAAGAGTCAAGTGGGTGGATGGGTTGAGACTTACGCTGGAGGACTAACATTTGCCACCGTTAGAGGAGCTGGTCATCAGGTTCCGGTCTTTGCTCCGGCGCAATCCCTCACTTTGTTCTCTCACTTTCTATCTTCCACCCCATTGCCTTCAAAACGTTTCTGATCATTACCGCGAAGTGTGGCAAAGTTGTTGGTGTAGTCTTGAAACCGTAGTGTGGTGCTTAATGTACCCCATTGATGTTATGAGTTTATATTGATCAATAAAAACAATTTGAAATTTTCGTTTGTTGGCATCACTTTTCAGTTATAGTCTTCGTATAATAAATTGGAGATTTGTTTTAATTTTTAACCTTTCTAGGCTGATTTATTACACCAAGAGAATATTACTGAATTATTGATTTTAATATTTAGACGAATAGTGTGTTACAAAAAAAAAGAAAATATATTTAGATGAATAGTAATAGAGGCCCTTTAAAAAATAAATCTTTAAAAAGGCCCATAGAGGCCCATTTATACGAAATAATCAATCAAAGCCATGGAGCTGATGAAGGAGTAAGCACTTGAGTCGTGTTGCCTCCCTTTCTGTATTCATCCGAAGAGCTCTTTCAAGTTTTCAACTGAAGAACTTGCGATTCATCGGACATCTATCTTCTTCTCTTCCCTTCGATCCCGTAGTGAGGAGAACAAGAATGGCGTTTGCTAAAATGTTGTTTCTTTTCAGCAAATTTCAGCAGGTGAACTGAATACTCTTTTCTTCCGATTATTATTATTATTTTCTTTAATTTCTTCTGAATATTCATATTCGATACGGGTTTCTCGATGTTGGGTACCAAGAAAGTTCGATTCTTTTTGTAGGATTTTAGTCTTCACCATATAAGATACTCTGCTTCCTGTGAGTTGACTCTGTTTGTAGCTTGTGGGATTTAAAAGTGTATTTATGAAACTGATTGAATCTCAATGAGTTGCTTCCTGTCTGTAGATATAGTTTGGAGATTATTATATGATCAATTGGGATCGTAGATCGTTTTGTAAATGTAAGAAGTATTGATGTAATGATGTGTCTGAGACTTATAAAACATCAGTCTGCTCCAAATACTATCAAAAGTGATGAGATTTGTTTTTTATTTGTGGGGTCTACAGGGTGTTGGTGTTCTAGCAAAGAGTAACACTTTTGCCAAGAATCCACGGCAACTGCAATATGAAGCTGATATTAACAAGCTTTTTATGTTTACAAGGTTTGCTTTTTTTCTTTTTTTTTTTGTAATGAGTTTGCTTTTGGACAAGTTTTTGAACTGTTTCTCTGTTTTTATAGCTATAATCGTTTGGGACGAGATGCTGAGGAGGCTGATGCAGAAGAGATCATTGAGATGGCTGGTAAAGCCACTTTTTCTGAGCAACAGAGACAAGTGCAAGAGAACATTCACTACCAACTCCAAAACTTTTGTGCTTCCATGGACGAGATTCTTCTTCTTCGTAACGACAAAACACATGAACTAAACGAGTCAGGATTAGAAACTTTCGCCATTGGTAAAGATGATAATGTTCCAACTGCAGACAAGCCATGTGAGTCTTAATAATAGTTGTACTCAGTATATGCATTTCCAGTATTTTGTTGTTAGCTTGATTATTTCTCACTTATTCTTCTTCAGCACAGTGGTTCCTGAGACTAAGCCGCTTAAACTCGCTGAAATCTCGAAGCTGTTAAAGGATAGAATTGGGTACACCCTCGAGATCAAACCATCCTTAATACCTCACAAAGACGCTGGTCAAGGTTGTTTCATAGCCGGTGAAGCAGATGTGGGAGCTGTCTTAGCCTTTTACCCTGGTGTGATTTATCCTCCCGGGTATCCAAATGCTGATGTACAAAACTCATATATGATCACTAGGTATGATGGGACTGTGATAAATGCTCAGCCTTGGGGTCGTGGAGGAGAATCACGGCAAGTATGGAACGGCTCTTTCACAATCCCTGAGGTCAGGACAGATGCTAAAACCGTGGAACACGGTTCTGACAAGGTTGAAGGTTTAGCTAATGTAGAAGCGGTTCTTGAAATGAGAAACCCGTTGGCGTTTGGTCATTTCTTCAATCACCCGGGTAAAGATATGGATCCTAATGTCATGGTTTGCCCATATGACTTCCCTATGTCAGAGAAGAGGATGCGAGCTTACATTCCAAATGTAGCTTACGGGAATGCAGGAGAGGCAAAGATGACGAAACTTGGCGGCTTATCGTTTAAGACTGAGAGTGATAGCAGTTTGGATGCTCCTGTACTTAAGACGGTTGTTCTAGTGGCTACAAGAGCGTTGTGCAATGAAGAATTGATGCTGAATTATAGACTGAGTAACTCTGAGAGAAGACCAGAGTGGTATACTCTGGTTGATGAAGAGGAAGATGAAAGGAGGACCTAAAAGTCTCTCGTTTTTTTTTTCTTTTGTTACTCTAGTTTCTTGGGAATGAGATTCATAGTGAGATGAAAAGTTACAACTTCAGGAATAATTTTATCTAAATACAAGAATACAATCAATAAAACAAGCTTATATTTCTCTCAAAATCAAAAAAGTTACAACAATTTCACTTCGCTCTGTCCATGTTACATCACTTCTTCCTCCACTTCTTCAAAAGGCTTTGTTGCCAAAGAAGCCTGGACCAGCACGCGAAAGCAGTTCTTGCCCAGCGTCTTTTCCCATCTTCACCATGTCCTCAAACACATATGGGCCTTTTCTCGAGGTCTCAAGAACTGTCACAAAGATGGAACAGATAAGAAATGAATGATGTTTCCCAGATGAGAATATCACATTGGTATATACGAAGGAATGGTTTCATACCTCTAGTACCGTCAGGGGAAGCAACCAATCCTCTGAAATAGCAGTTGCCTTCTTCGTCCTTGGCAGCGTATCCAGCAATAGGAGTACGGCATGAGCCATCCAACGTTTCAAGAAACGCTCTCTCGCATGCAACTGCTAGTCTCGTTTCCTCGTGGTTCAATGAGGCTAAGTAATTTGCCTACATATGTAAAAACAACAATAAAAACATTGATCATTCACAAACATATAAGAGATACAAATCTAAAGGTCACATGAAAAGTAAACATCTGTTTAGCTCAAGAAGGAAGAATGTTTATTTCAAGAGAGCTTGACATACCATTTTATCATCATCGGTTCTGCAGGCTATTCCAATGGCTCCTTGGGCAACAGCTGGAAGCATCTCATCGAGAGATAAAATAGAGGCCACATTCTCTGTCATACTCAATCTCTTGAGACCAGCTAGTGCTAATAGAGTCGCGTGAACTTTTCCTCCTTGAAGCTTGGAAAGTCTTGTCTGCACATTACCCCTAAAGTTTTCCTCAACCTGCATAGTCAATAAACACTTGTATCAGTTCAGCAAAACATAAATCTAATCCATAAGAAAATACATATAAGAAATGGCAGTCCCACTCACAGTTAATGAAGGATACTTGTGGAGTATCTGAGACTTTCTCCTAAGAGAAGCTGTCCCCACAACGCTTCCAGCTGGAAGATCAGCCAGAGAAGCTGCAGTCAGACAAATGAAAGCATCTCTAACATCTTCACGCACAAGGTTACAAGGCAAAACCGTCTTCTCAGGTAGATAAGTCGGAACATCCTTCATCGAGTGAACAGCTATATCAATATGACCGTTTATCAAAGCCTCGTCAATCTCTTTAGTGAAAAGCCCTTTCCCTCCAATATCAGCAAGCGGCTGAGAGAGAATCTTATCACCAGTTGTCTTAATTATCTCGATGTGAATAGCTCCGTCTTCAGTGAGTTCAGGGTGCTTTGCCTGGAGCTTTGCTCGTGTTTCGTACGCTTGAGCAAGCGCTAGAGGACTGTCCTACACAGTAAAGAGTATATATATAAGCACAAAAAAAATGATAAAAAGACTTCATCAGAAGCTAAACTCAATTCACCACTAATTCAAAATCAATCACAAAACAAAGATTTGGTTACTATAAACACAGAAAAAAAAATGCAGAGATTGTCTTAAGGAATAACCACAAGAACTATGAATCATATCTTTAAACAAACAACTTATACACTATAACATCTACACATATATATAAACTCAGCTAGAGATTAACATTGTTAAATGTCAAATGTCAACTATACCTCAACTATATAGGACTGCTCAAAATCAAGACTTTTAATCAGAAAAGCGGAAAACAAGGCAAACCCATTAGAGTTTAAGCTCTCATGGAATCATAAGAGATTAGTAACTACACGAGAAGCTAAAAAGAGAGAGACTTTACCTTCCCCTTGTGCCAATTCTGATGATAGCAGTTCGTGTCTTGTCTTCCACGGCAACACAAGCTCTAACGAAGCCAAAAGAGCTCTGTTTACGGCGACATTTAGCTAGAGACGGAGATTTGATCTGCGGAAGAGAGAATCCAATAACGGAGACCGAGCCGAGGGAATAGGAGTAGGAGTTGACCGGGGAAGAAGGTTGACTTGTGAGAGAGATCTTGTGAGCTTGACAGAGAGAGGAAGAAGCTAAATCCATGGATTCCGGGTAGCAGAGAGCAGAAAGAGAGATTCTCTTGAGAATTAGAGGGAAAACAAAAAAGAGAAGAGATCAGATATAATTTTGAGCTTCAAATGATGGAGTTGATATCTCTGAAATCTAGGACGATTTTTTGGATAGGATAATCGCCAACAAACACTCTTCTTTATTGGGCCTAAACATGGGCCTATGCTAAGCCTACAATAAATTGGTCTAACGTTTATCCCAAATCACTCTGAGCGGGTCGGGTCTTGATTGTCGGTTATATCAAACTCATTCTTATTGAGCCTTAAAGTAAAGTATCTCATGGGCCTACTAGGCTAAGCTAACAATCTATTGGGCTATCTATTAGCCCAAATAACTGAGCGGGTCGGGTCTTGATGGTCGGTCATCGTCGATAGTGGGAATCGAATATAAGAAGAGAAGCTAAAGCGAGAAACTGAAACAGATCGGATTCTTCAAGAAAGCGCGAGAGAGAGGAAACGATGTCGTATCTTCTACCGCATCTACACTCCGGCTGGGCAGTCGATCAAGCGATTCTCGCCGAGGAAGAGCGTCTCGTCGTCATACGTTTCGGCCATGATTGGGATGAGACTTGTATGCAGGTACCTTCTCAATCTCGAATTTTGATTCGATTTGTAGTCAATTAACTTCGAATTAGCCACTATTGATGAAAATTAGGGTTTAACTGATTTTGATTTTTTTTGGTAATTAGATGGATGAGGTGCTTGCATCAGTTGCAGAGACGATAAAGAACTTTGCGGTGATATATCTGGTGGACATCACTGAGGTTCCAGATTTCAACACTATGTACGAGCTTTACGATCCTTCGACGGTTATGTTCTTCTTCAGGAACAAGCATATTATGATTGATCTTGGAACTGGTAACAACAACAAGATCAATTGGGCTATGAAGGATAAGCAGGAGTTTATTGATATCATTGAGACAGTCTTCCGTGGTGCAAGGAAAGGTCGTGGGCTTGTGATTGCTCCTAAAGATTACTCCACTAAATACCGCTACTAACCGGACTTGCCAAAAGATAAAAACATTTGATCATAAACAAACTCTTATGTTATTGATTCTGGTCATTTGAAATATCCTATGAAGTTGTGGGCTTATATGCTTTGGTGGTTTGTGATTCTGGTTTGTTTGCTCTCTATCGGCTGTTTTGCCATTTATGTATGTGTAAGTGCTTCAAACATTAATTCAGTGAAATGAATTCTTAGAAGCTGATATTGAGTTTATTGTATAATTACAAGGTTCTTTGGATTTTCTGGTCTTATGCAGGGGTTTGAATATTTGTATTTATATTGTTCAGACAGAGTGAAGGTGGATCTTCAAGTAGAAGCTGAATATTTATCAAGATATAGAGTTTCCTTGGATATATGATTCGACAATTCAAAGAAAGATTTGCAAGCAGAATTCAAAGAAAGATTTGCAAGCAGGATACTCAATGATATATCATCGTGTTACCCGAGCTCACCAATATATAAAGTTTGTGCAGAAATCACATCTTCTCTACAAGCAAATGATTAAAAATGGAAGTCAAATAAAGATGAAATTAGTTATGATTAGCAAGATTTTTTAAAAATATGATTAACTAAATAAACAGTAGTTTTTGTTTTGTTTTGAATTCTAGATCAATTAGCAGAACTTTAAAAGTCACCATATTCTAGAAACAAATGGGTTTGGGCTATATACATTTTAAGAAAAGTATTAGCCTTTAAAGGAAGCCTCTTTTGTCAGCTTATGATTCTTCAATACGAAGTTTCTTTTCTCCATTTTCGTCTTCGCCTGCACACACACACACTCTTTAGGGTTCCACAAGCCTAATCGGAGCAGAGCCTGATCTATACAACTAATCATGTCTAGGCAAGTCACAAGGCTCCTCGGATCTCTCTCCTCCAAAGCTCGCCGTTGCTCAATCGCCATCTCAGAAGTTTCTCCGTCATGCCAGTCTCTCACTTCGTTGACCCAATCTCGCTCCTTCGGGTCGGATCCTCATCCTCCAGCTGCCGTCTTCGTTGACAAAAACACAAGAGTCATGTGTCAAGGCATCACCGGAAAGAACGGCACTTTCCACACCGAGCAAGCCATTGAGTACGGCACCAAAATGGTAAAAAAATCCATTAGATAGATTCCTGATGATGATAAAGTTTTGATTTTTATTCTGCTTTTGTTGATAATTTGGTTTAAAGGTTGTGTCTTTATGATAATTTAGTGTTTATGTGTGTGTGTGTTTAATAGGTGGCAGGAGTGACACCAAAGAAGGGTGGAACAGAGCATTTAGGTCTCCCTGTTTTCAACTCTGTTGCTGAAGCAAAAGCTGAGACTAAAGCCAATGCTTCTGTTATTTATGTTCCTGCTCCTTTTGCTGCTGCTGCTATTATGGAGGGTATTCAAGCTGAGTTGGATCTCGTTGTCTGCATCACCGAAGGAATCCCTCAACATGACATGGTAACACGTACCATCATCATCATAACTTCGATGTGCATACTCATGTGGTTTGGCTATCTCTCTGACTTGGAGCTTGTGATGTTTTTTATGTTATTGTTTAGGTACGAGTAAAGCATGCTCTAAACAGTCAGTCAAAAACTAGGCTGATTGGTCCAAACTGCCCTGGGATTATCAAGCCTGGTGAATGCAAGATTGGTATTATGCCTGGATACATTCACAAGCCTGGCAAGATTGGGATTGTCTCTCGTTCTGGAACCTTGACTTATGAAGCTGTAAGCTCTCTTTCTCTCTCAGACAATTTTTATTCGCTTGTTGGTTGGCCTTTGAAAGTGTATTATGTAGATGAGTTGTTGTTGGTTATGGATTTTGATAAAAAAGGCCTTATTTTGTTATGTTTTCTAAGTGTTACTTTCGTTTCAACTTTAATGCATGCAGGTTTTCCAAACGACTGCAGTGGGTCTAGGCCAATCTACTTGTGTAGGAATTGGTGGGGATCCTTTTAACGGGACCAACTTTGTCGACTGCTTGGAGAAGTTCTTTGTTGATCCTCAAACAGAAGGTAATTTTTTTTTTTAAGTCTGGTTATTTTTATGTTAGAGAAATGAACCGTGAAGACCATTGTTTCCTTAAATAGATTAGCCGTAAAAGTCTAAGTTGTAAACGACAGCATAATTCCGCAAGATAGTCTGGTCCTAGAAGCCTTCGATTCCTTTAATTCATCTAATATTCTTAGTGTAGTTTAGTTGAAAGATTTTTCCAGAAAGATGGAAACTAAGAAGAGACAGATGAGTGTTTCAGGTATCGTTCTCATTGGAGAAATTGGAGGCACTGCGGAAGAAGATGCCGCAGCTTTGATAAAGGTAATACATATAACCAACCAACATGTATAATATGTATTCGACTGGGATCTTATCTCTGTATTCACATTCTTCTAAACTTTTGGTTTTTGATGATTGTAAATAGGCAAGTGGTACTGAGAAGCCTGTTGTTGCTTTCATTGCTGGACTTACTGCACCACCTGGTCGTCGAATGGGTCATGCAGGAGGTATTCAAATAAGCAAAACCACCTTATTACTCTTGGTTTCTTGCTCTCATTTACTTAGTCTGGCTTTTGTTTTGTTGCAGCTATTGTTTCTGGTGGCAAAGGTACGGCGCAGGACAAGATTAAGAGTCTAAATGATGCAGGAGTGAAGGTTGTGGAGTCTCCTGCTAAGATAGGAGCTGCCATGTATGATCTCTTTAAAGAAAGAGGTCTTCTTTGAAGCAGTGAAAGTGAATTTCACTAGCTCACTGTTATTTTTCTTCATCTTGAAACCTTCAAGAAAACAAAAGATAAACCTTAATTCCTCACACTTATGGGGTTGTTTTTCTGAATCGATATTTTTTTTCCAATTAAAGAGTGATAATCAAAAGAGTTGACAGTGAGAAGATATTCAATTTTTGTTCACATGATGGACGGAATAAATTCAAATTTCTTATGTGTATATCTTCCATTACAAAGAAAGAGTGGGAGCAATGTTTCTTAAATTTTACTTGAGACCCAAATAATCAGAAATCAACTGTTAGGACACGATAATAGTCTTCGGTTCACTGCAGTCATAACGTTGAAATCCATCCAAGCACCAACCACATGTAACGCTGCATAGATCTCCTCCGAGTCAAACGTCATGAGCTATGAATCTAACATCTATGTGCCTATGTGGTGGTGGTTCCATTCAATTGAACTATACTGTTTCCTACAGTTTTCTTTACTCCTCCATTGCTTCTCTCATCAACCGCGCCGCGTCAAAACTCTACATGTCGTTCTATCATTATGCGGTTGCAACTCTACAAGCTTCTTTCCAACACTGTTCCTGCAAGCTCCAATTCTTCCATGGTTAATACATCCGTTAAGCAAAGCACCCAAGATTGAAGTACTAATCCATATAGTAGACCTCTTCGGTTGTCAACATCAGCCTTTAAGTTTAAATTAATGATTCACATTTATCCCTCGCAAGTATCGTCTTCCTCGTTTTCACGTGTAATGCGCATAAACATTATGAAAATAAGTAAACACCTGAATCAGGCTCCATTTCCTTTTCTTCCATCTCACGGAAACAAACCAAAGCTTCACTTAACCAGCCACACTTGCAAAGACCTTGAAGAAGCGCCATGAAAGTAACTATTTCGGACAGCAATCTCTTTCCAACGAAAGATTGCTTCACTAGGCTTTCCATAGCCCATGTAAGTAATGACGTCAGGGTCTCTCTCATCCTCATACATCCTTGCAATACAAGACATTGCTCTATCGTTCTCACCTTACTTTGGTCTTTCATAGTCCACCCTAATCATTTAGAAATGATCTTATGGGCCCAATTGTAGTAACTAAGGCCCTTGCCCGAAGTTAGTCAGCAAAGGAAGAAGATAAAGCGATCCTCTGAAACTTAAATACGAGATGACATGGATTATTCTGATCGGTAGAATAAACAGATAAAATCTAAAAGGCCTCGACAAGTGAAAACTAGAACAAAAATCAAGAGTTAAGAAAAAAAAATCTGTGTATGAAACACGAGTTGATTCTCTTTTGGCAGAACCGTTACTTTCTTGTATTTTTGTCCACAATCATAATATTTTTCTTTTCAAATGAGAATGGGCTCCAGCTGTTTAACACATTTGACAATTGTCAAATGATTCGTACACCTATGTAATATTTTTTTTTTTTTTTGAACAACACCTATGTAATATGTATAATATAAAAATAGTGTTCATTTTTGGTAATTGGGTGATCATTAGAAATTATTGATAAATATTGTCAAGGATCAAATAATTTATTCGTACATCATCATGATTGTGTGGGCATGTAACAGCGAGACATCTCTATAATATTATTTGAGAAGTCAGTTTCCTACGTGTCGCTCTCACGTTAACTCTTACGATGGTTGATTACATAGATACTCTTAATGAATTGTTAGATTTTAAGTTTATTATTAATTTTTTTTATTTAGTTTCTTTTTTACTTTTTCCAAATAACATATACAATAAAAAGGAAATATTTCTAAAATTTTAAAACAGATTTGAAAACGAAAATATACGTATATAATATGACTTTATTAAAAAGGAAAGTTCACAAATAGTAATATACCCCATTAATATATATTTTTAAATAACATAAAATATATTTTCAAAATAATAAAAATATATATGTTCATGAACATCCAAAATTTATCAGTTACACTTTATTTTCTAATATTTTTTGGAAATCAACATATAATTTGATAAATATTATGAAAATACTTGTATATTTAAACGATAAATAAAATTAATTTGATTTGAATTGACTAAAATAAGAAATAAATAAATATTCTGAAAATACATGTATATTTAAGCGATAAATATAACTAATTTGATTGGACTTAACTAAAATAAAAAGTAATTATACTTCAATTTTAACTCAATATACTCACAACACGAATGACTCGACTAATCTAATTTATATCCCAAATTAAACATCTAACTACAATAAGAACATATAATTTTATAGTAAGAATAATATATTTAATTTTATACATATAAATTAGAGGTTGACTCAAAGCATATTCAAAAGAAAAAGAAAATATTAACCAATTACATTTTATTCTTTTGTAGAATTTATATATATGCATGAGACTTCAAAATATTATCATTATATTCATTTATGTAATTTTGAATCAAACACTTCAGCTTATTATTTATTTTAGTTTAAGCACAATATATATATATTAAGTTATATATAATTTAATTATAATATATTTACATATCTAAGACAATAACCAACCGAAATGAAAATAAGAAAATTAATCAAAGTTTTATTATATTTACAATAAAAAATATTATAGCTGAATTCTAAAAATAAATATTATCAAATATACCAAATTGATAACCAAATCGACTATTGATCCAAAAAATAATTAAACCGACAATAATATATCGAAAGTCATATGTATAATTACAATAATATAATATTTATTAATATAAATTATACATATAAATTGATACAAAACTAAAACTAAATATCAATCAATTATTATAAAATTTTACTTTTATGAATATTTATACCCGTGCATGAGCACGGGAAAATCACCTAGTTCACCAATAATTAAGTCGTTATTGCTGTATGAGCGTAATTTTTTTTGTGGTAAAGGGTTTCATAATCGTAACAAATATTATTAACATGATAGATAGTAGTATATAAATATATAATGTGAATGAGAGAAAAATCGTTGGTCCATTAATGATACTATCATAAAGAAAGTAGATATATTATTGTCCTGACATAATAAAAAGATCTCTACGCAACGACATATCACAATCGAGTATCTCCTCCAGGTGGACACGACTACTTTTCTTTTGTAGTCCCACTCCAAATGGAATTATTGTTATAATAGTCCGTAATGGTTATACGAATTATTCATTTATTCAGAAATGTAAATGATTTGGGGGGATCGCCGGATCACAGTGGATGTAAATACTCGAACAATAACTAGCGTCGGAAGTTAAGTAATTATCACCTGATGAACCCTTAAGTACTCGTGATTAATCTTCGTCTGTATAGGACCCACATTCCAAACCAAAAAAGTCTTAAATTCTCTTGCCGTACCATGGTCCAAGTCAACACCGGAGTCAAGCGCGTGAACCCAAACGCATACAGACAATGAACTTTTAAAAAACCCTAGCATAAGTGAGCTGTGTGGGACCCACCCACACAACCATGTGCCCCCCTCCTTCCTGCTTCCACCTCCTCTCTAAATCATTCTTCTCCTCGCGATAGAGAAGTCCACACTTCACGGAAACCCTAAACTCCACCGACAACACCATGTCTAACGACGACGGAACATTGACTAACGGCGTCATAGTCAAACAGACGTCACCAGCAACTAACAAAGGAACTCTCAACGCCGTGAAGAAGCCACCGTCTAAGGACCGACACAGCAAAGTCGACGGGAGAGGGAGACGGATTCGCATGCCAATCATATGCGCAGCTCGAGTTTTCCAGCTGACGAGGGAGTTAGGTCACAAATCCGACGGCCAGACCATCGAGTGGCTCCTCCGTCAAGCAGAGCCTTCTATCATAGCCGCCACAGGAACAGGCACAACTCCGGCGAGTTTCTCCACCGCTTCTCTCTCCACTTCTTCGCCCTTCACGCTCGGAAAACGCGTCGTTCGAGCGGAGGAGGGAGAATCCGGCGCCGCCGGAGGAGGAGGAGAGTTATCGGTTGGACACACAATGGGGACTTCTGGTGGTGGTGGGTTCTGGACAAGGCCTGATTTCGGACAAGTGTGGAGCTTTGCCGCCGGAGCTCCGCCGGAGATGTTGTTTACGCAGCAGCAGCAGCCGGCGACACTCTTCGCCCGTCATCAGCAACAACAACAGCAGCAATCTTCGGCCGATGCAGCTGCTGCAGTGGGTGAGGCTTCAGCAGCAAGAGTGGGGAATTATCTTCCGGGTCATCATCTCAATTTGCTTGCTTCTTTGTCGGGTGGGAATACCGGGTCGGGTCGTAGGGAGGAGGAGGAGGAAAACCCACGTTGAAAAAGGTTCCATTTGAGTTATGTATAGAAAACTCGTGTGTGTTTATGTCATTGAAAATGGTTAGAGACTACTTTTGTGTGCCTTTTGGGTTCAGCTTTAGTTAATTTTTAAGGTTATTATTGTTTGATTGATTAGGGTTTTAAGAATATTTGGTCTCGTAATTTGTTTGGGAGAGTGACAGTGAGATGAATTGATTGTTGGTTACTAAAAATGCCATAAAGAAGAGCAACAAAAGGCTCTTTGTACGATTTGTGCGTGATTTCTTTTTATGGTTCTAGTTTCAGTGAAGTTGAGCCCACCGGTACTATTAACTATTTTGATCTCTCCTCACCACCGGTCAAAAAAAATGTAATTTTGAATGTGTCTCGTGACTTGTATGAATAAGATTCGAAGATAAGAAAACAAAATATCAAATATTACTCAAGCAAAAGAAGATAAAAGTACCTAATCGAGATTGTTCTGTTTCCGGGTGTGTAACAACACTGGTGAATCAGCATAATTATTCTCGGTGAAAACCTTCGCAAAACCGCGATAAGCACAGCAATTAGATAGTTCACGCACGTTATAAAGATTCAATGTGAGAAGGATCATAACCTTGTGACGGAAGGAGTGTATATCAAGTTGTGAGGCATCCAAGGGGTTTCTCATTTGGTCTGTCAGGAACGCAGGTAGAGCTGTCAAATGGGCCGCCCAGAGCCCATTTGGGCTTGACCATTTAGACCATTTCAGTTTTTGGACAGTAATGGGTGGTCCATATTGGACAGTGGTCCAAAAAGTGCCCAAGACCACTAAAGCCCATGTCCAAATGGACAAACCATGGACACCCAAATGATCAAAACCATTTGTGTATTGTTTATTTTTTAATTTTATTAATTTGTATATAATTTAAAATTTTGGATTTAATTAAATTTTGTAATATCTTTAAATTATTTATTTTTATTTATTTACATATTTGTACTTAATTTAATTTAATTTACATTTTCCCGCCAAAATAAAAAAATCACGTTTTTCCTTCAAAATAAAAAAAACACGTTTTCCCACAAAAACCAGAAATTACGTTTTCCCGCCAAAACTGTAAAATCACGTTTTCCCGCCCAAATCGTAAAATCACGTTTCCCGCCTAAATCGTAAAATCATGTTTCCCACCAAAACTGTAAAATCACGTTTTTCCGCCTAAATCGTAAAATCACGTTTCCCGCCAAAACTGTAAAATTATGTTTTCCCCCCAAAACTGTGGAATCACGTTTTCCGGCCAAAACCAGAAAATCACGTTTTCCCGCCAAAACCAGAAAATCACGTTTTCCCGCCAAAAATGAGAAATTACGTTTTCCGAGAAAACCGAAAAATTATGTTTTCCCGCCAAAACTGTAAAATTACGCTTTCCCGCCAAAACTGTAAAATTATGTTTTCCCGCCAAAACTGTGGAATCACGTTTTCCCGCCAAAACCAGAAAATCACGTTTTCCCGCCAAAACCGAAAAATCACGTTTCCCCGCCAAAACCGGAAAATTATGTTTTCCCGCCAAAACTGTAAAATTACGCTTTCCCGCCAAAACAGTAAAATTACGTTTTTCCGCCAAAACCGAAAAATCACGTTTTCCCGCCAAAAATGAGAAATTACGTTTTCCGAGAAAACCGTAAAATTATATTTTCTGTCAAAATTGTGAAACTACTTTTTCTCTATCAAAAACCGTAAAATCTTGATTTTTCACAAAAAAGTTTTTGTCAAAAACTATGTTTTAAATAAAAATTATGAAATTGTGTGTTTTGGAGGCCCATGGACACCCATTGTCCATTTGGTCTTTGACCAGTTAGACCATAGACCAATTGGGTTTTTATACAGTTGGACCATATATGAATTGGGCGCGTCCATAGCCCGTCCAAAATGAATTGGACAGGGCTAGCCCATGGTNTTTAAATAAAAATTATGAAATTGTGTGTTTTGGAGGCCCATGGACACCCATTGTCCATTTGGTCTTTGACCAGTTAGACCATAGACCAATTGGGTTTTTATACAGTTGGACCATATATGAATTGGGCGCGTCCATAGCCCGTCCAAAATGAATTGGACAGGGCTAGCCCATGGTCGGCCCGCCCAATTGACACCTCTAAACGCAGGTGATGCTGTGTAATTCGCTTTTGGTGATTGCGTTTGCGGTTGTGGTGTGGCGGAGAAATATAAAATATACCTTATAAAGAGCATCACTAGAAGCAGTTTGTGGAGTATGCACAGAGAGTTTCCTTCTGTTGTTCCTTTTGTAAACATAAACATTTGAAGTCGGTTAACCACCAACCACCACTTACCGCGCGAAAAGCAATCCGGTTTAGTTTGGCCCGGTTTAGTTTCATATTTATACCATTAAATTATTTTACCCGGAAAACCCTACTATAAATAAAAGCCTCGCCGCGTCTCCAGAGAGTTCTAACTGATAACGTCAATGGCAGAGGTGGAGGAGCAGCAGCACGAGAACCACAATCTGGAGAAAAAGGCGAAGCTTAAAGTTAAACACGACAAGCCGAAGCCATGGGACGATGATCCAAACATCGACCGTTGGACAATCGAAAAATTCGATCCGGCATGGAATCCGACGGGCATGCTCGAAGTAAGCACATTCTCCACGCTCTTTCCTCAATACAGAGAGAAGTATCTTCAGGAATCTTGGCCCCGAATCGAATCCGCTCTCAAACAATACGGCGTCGCTTGCAAACTCAACCTGGTGAAATTAATGATTTGTTTTTGTTGTTGATTTGGCCTTTTTTTTAGGGATTTTTCGTTTTAATCTGTTTGGTGGTTTGGTGATTGTGATGGTTAGGTTGAAGGATCTATGACTGTTTCGACGACGAGGAAGACGAGAGATCCTTATATCATTGTGAAAGCTAGGGATTTGATTAAGCTTCTTTCGAGAAGTGTTCCTGCTCCTCAGGTATTTTTTTCTTGTGCCACACTTCATGTACTTAGCTAGAATCGAATCCTTTCTCTATCTAGTACTGAAGATTATACTTGTCTTGTTTAGGGGACATTAACACAGTGTGTTATCTTCTGTGTAATCAGAAGTCTTAATTATTTTCTTGATTTACGTATATAGGCAATCAAGATTCTGGAAGATGAAGTGCAGTGTGATATCATCAAGATTGGAAACTTGGTTCGGAATAAGGTACAAAGTTAGTCTTAGTCTCAGGGATTGTTAGGAGAGATACGACGAGAGACCAACTATAACCTGAGTTGGATTGTTACTCAGTTCTGCGCTTACATTTTGTTATTTCTAAAGAAAAATGAATGACAACTTTTGACTTCTGCAAACAAATTATAGTACTAACATGGAATACTTGACGACTTCTAGTTAAGTTACTTCAGCATTTTGTGAAAAAGTGTAATTTCAGTATTTATCTGGCGTGACGGATCCTAATATAGACTATTTTTTTTTCAGGAAAGATTTGTTAAAAGAAGGCAGCGGCTTGTGGGTCCTAATTCTTCTACCTTGAAGGTGTGTAATCTGTTTGGTTCTGAGTTCTATTTAGGGATGGTCTTAGTGATACTAGTAGTGGTTAAGAAGTTGTGTGTAACTATTTTTTTCTTATGCAAACTTCTGAATACTTGCCTAACACTTTCTGTTTGGGTATGAGAGGATTAATGATTTTGGTTGCTTGCAGGCGATGGAAATATTAACCGAATGTTACATTCTAGTTCAGGTAATTGTGTGTTTCTTTTGTAAATGCCTCGCTTGTTTTATAAGTTTCTCTTTGGGGTTTTTGATATTCTCTTGGTTCCTTGGGGTTAAATCTGCATCTAACAGGGAAGTACGGTAGCCGCAATGGGTTCTTTTAAAGGTCTAAAACAAGTCCGAAGGGTTGTGGAACAGTGCATGCGTAATGAACTTCATCCTGTATACCAGATAAAGGTGTGAATGAAATATTCCTCTTGTTATTGTTGGTTCTTTGTGCTTCAGTTATACTCTCTTAGGAAGGTGTTTTAGAAGTTTTTCTATATAGGCTATATGTCAAATTGGTTCATATGCTTCCACACTTGGCGATGCAGGATCTCATGATGAGAAAGGAACTAGCAAAGGATCCAGAGCTTGCAACGCAAAGCTGGAATAGGTTTCTTCCTTCTTTCAAGAAGTACGGGCCTTCTTTCTTTCTATTCTTGACTACTGAATCGGATGTCATTTGAATAACACTTGAGCGCATCTATCTATTACAAATATGATTTCTCAGGAAAAATGTTCAGCAAAAGAAGCCTAAAAGCAAGGAGAAGAAAACATATGAACCATTACCTCCTCCTCAGCCACCTAGAAAGGCAAGAAAATTGCTTCTTGCGCGAATTATTCTTCTAGTTTCAGTTTTTGATGATAGTAGTCATCGTCTTTTGGTTTCAATTTCCTGCAAATCCCTTAGTTTTCAGGTTGTGTTTAGTTTTGAGATTGTGGTATACTTCTTTTCCAGGTTGATTTGCAACTGGAGTCTGGAGAATACTTCTTGAATGACAAAAAGAAGTCGGAGAAGAAGTGGGAGGAGAAACAAGGGAAACAGGCAGAGAAGAGTACCGAGAAGAAGAGAAAGAGAGATGCCTCATTCCTCCCACCTGAGGTCTCTCTTCCTACCATTGTTGTTATAATAATAAAATTGTGTCTCTCTGTTTTTTTTCTACCAATAGTTTCTAACAACACTCCTTGGACTGGTAATTGCAGGAAACTGTGCAGAGGATTAACAACTCAAACAAATCTGAGGATGGAAAGAAAGATCTAACCGAGTTAACACAAGCTTTAAAGGTAATTAAATTTGTTTATCTTGTTGCTCTGTTTCGATTCGAAAGGAATTGGCACTGATCTGTGCTTTCGTGTATGATGTTTGTGGTATTGGCAGAGCAAGACAAAAGAGTTGAAGAAGCGGAAGAAGACACAAGAGAAAGTGAATGCAGAAGATTATATTGCTGTTGCGTCTGCTGAAAACTCTTCCAAGAAGAGATCCAAAGTCACAAGAGATTAATCTTAAAACATGTTTACTTGAATTTTGAAACACATCTCTATCTTCCAAACTATACCAAGTGTAATCTTATTTTATTTGTTCTCGCGTGTCGGTCATATGTACGAGTTAACTGAACTCCGTCGTTGGATTTGATCAGAACTTCAAAACGAATGAGATGTTGTGGAACTTATCCGAATACGGAATCTTTTTGAAAGATCCATCATTGTTCTCATCTTCATCATGGGTCTAGAGTCTAGACCCTAGGGTTGAACATGTTCAGGCTGTGTCTTATGATACAAAGATCCTCAGGGTGGTATACATGGACCTTTCTCTCTCACACACAACTCAAAGCCTGGAACGATGCTGAGTATTTCTACAAAGGCTTCAAGGTTTGGATGTTAGGACAGAGCCTGGAATCTGCAGTTTTACTAACCGATGTTCTTCTTCAAGTTTATCTATGAGAGTACTTGAAGACTAGATTCAGTTTATTCTCTTTGAAATTGCATTAGGTTTGCTCTTCCTTTTTTAAGTAAACATCAAATAAGAAAAAAACGGTGTGAAGCTGACCAACTAGTCTGCCATGTGATGAGATGAACAAGAGTTTTTTTTAAATCAAAATCACTCCTTCTGAAGAATCTCTTCTTATATTTAAATGAATTTTGTTGGCAAAAAGCCTTGAACACAAATAGGAGATTTACGGAAAATTACATAACAAAGAAGAATATGTTATCATACTATATAGGGAAAAATCACATGAAATGTATTGTATTTTTTTTTTCTTTCTAATACTGACGAGTGAAGAAAGAATACGACCTTAATTAAGGTTACTAAAATTACAAAACTTGCCAATTTTAAAAAGAGTTTAGATGTTACTATAATTGCAGGAATAACAAATATAAAAATTTGGTATATGATGATAATTAATAAATTAATGAGTGCTGGATATTGAACATATTGTAATAAACACTACTGTTAAAGAGAGAAAAAACAGCTTTAATAATTAGATACAAAACAAAAATAAAATCGAAACGGAGAAAGAAACCCAATTTCTCTGAGGTCACACAACTCGAAAAAAAACTGAGAGCTCGCTCGAAGAAGAAGGAAGAAGCTTTTATAATTTATTCATTTTTTTCGTATGATTCGTGACTCACCCCTCATCATACCATTTCCGTTTTCCAATTTCTTTTTTGTTTTCAATTTTTTTATTAATCTCTGTTGAAATCTTTGTACAGCTAGCTAAATGTTGATTGGTTAGATGAGAATTTGAGAGAGTAGAATAGCCCCGGAGATTGCTCAGTTTTCCAGATTTAGAGATGGACAACGGGCATGATGATGAGGAAACACTACTTACCGAGAAGTTCTCAGGAGTCAGAGAATCTTCCAATGAACACGAAAACAATAGTTTGTTTCAGGTCATCAAAGCTGTTGAAGCTGCGGAAACTACAATTAAACAACAGGTCTTTTACTTAGGCGCATAGCTATATATATATATATATATAGCTTCAAAAATAAAATTGCAGTTAATGGATTATAATGAGTACTTAGTTGATTTTCTAGATCCGTTTATGAACTTATCGTCTCCTTGCATTTACGGCTTTGCATAATTGGGTGGTTTCGATCTGAAATAGTTACTTAAAAGGAATGATTTGGATAGACACCAGATTGATTGATTTTATTTTATTTTATTTTGGTCTTCTTGAACGTATCTCTGAGTGTTTTGTATATATTTCTCTGATTAGGTGGAGGAGAATAACCTCTTAAAGTCTGAACTTCAGAGAAGAAATCTCGAACTTGCCAAATATGTAAGTAATTTAACTTTCGAGTTCAAAGGATATACATAAATATCTATTCATGGTACTTAGTGAGACTATGTTATGTGTTAGGGTGTTCTAACCAGATTTGGAAAGTATTTGGTTTTACATGCTAGTTTGTTTTTTTTGTTCTTTATTTTCTTAGAAATCAGGTGAATCCTCGCCCCAAGAATCTTATCCAGGAGATCACTCGAATGCTACTACCACCGCTGGATCTTCCCCGTTTCATCAGTCACTTGCTCGGAGGAAGGGTTTGATCAATGCTTCAGGTGCTGATTCATCGGGAATGCTAGTTGTTCACCAGACTATGTATCCTAATGGGGAGGAAGCTACTGTGAGTAATCGTTTTGAAGACCGTTCGACCAATGGCATCGCAAGAGGGGGTTTAGGTGGTGGGGGAGCCTCTCAGTTGTCTTCTACGCCGTCTACAATATCACTATCTCCTATGAGGTTACTTAAACCTCTAACTAATACTGCCCTTCTGCTGTAGTTTTATTGTTTTTTTTTTTTGATCAAAGTTTAATTGTTTTTCTCATGGTTTAGTCGTATTTGGGTCAACACTCTGTGTTCTTTTAATTCAGTATGTGATTTTCGTTTGTTAGATTGGAAGGAGAACGTGACTCACACATCATTTCGTCTACTCATGAGTTGATGCAAGTGGGTGAAGTAAATAATTCGGGGAGTGCGTGGAAGCAGGTTTAAGTCACTCTGCCTAAGTCTTGTTTTTTTCGTTTCTAGTTTAAGTGAGAAAAATGTTTCCCTGACTATGCGAGTTATGCAGGAGCTTATTCATAAGGTCAAAGAACAGGAACAAGAGATTGTGCGGTTACAAAAATATCTTGCTGATTATGCTGTCAAGGTGAATGTCTTGTTTTTGAGGTATGCTTGGTTTACTTTATGCTGCATTGTCTGACTAACCTTTTGGCCAATTTTTAGGAAGCTCAAACACGCAATGAGAAATATGTTTTGGAAAAGCGTATTGCGCACATGCGATTGGTTAGTTTTTCTAGTTATTACAAAATATGTGTAACTTTCTTGTCTCGACTTTTATCTTCTTGTTCATATATCCTTCTTCTTGTGTCAGGCATTTGATCAACAACAACAAGACCTTGTTGATGCTGCATCAAAGGCTCTCTCTTATAGACAAGAGATTATTGAGGAAAATATTCGCCTGACATATGCCTTACAGGTATTGTTGTCTTCTATCTTTGGATATGCCACAATAATTGTCTATCTTGTGTATTGATCTTTGTTTCTACTCTATCTCAAAGTCCGATCTGTCTTTAGCACCTCACTTTTATTTATACATCTAAGTAGCAAATGCCCTCTTCTCCCTACCAGGCTGCAGAACAAGAGAGATCTACATTTGTAACGTACTTGTTGCCTCTTCTATCTGAATATTCGCTGCATCCACAGATCTCTGATTCTCAGTCTATTGTTAGCAATGTGAAGGTTAGACTCCAAAATCCTAAGTTTTATCTTCTATTAAACGTTTTGTTTGCACTTCAGATCTCCTTGATGTATTCAAAAACTGTTTAGTTTTGGTGGTAACTCTGCATTTTGGGGGATAAAGTTTCAACTTGACCGTGCTTCAAATTCATTAAAGTGAAAAACATAGTACAACAAGTTATATAAAAGAGTTTTCCGAGTAACTGCTGAGCACCTTGGATAGATAACTAAAATGACTGATAGAGCTCCCTACTTACGTGTTGTTAGAGTGAAGGTCTTATTGTATCTCTTTACCGTCTGAACTTGTGATCGATGTTTACATCTTTATTCATTCGTATCCAGGTTCTTTTTAGGCATCTGCAGGAGAAGCTTCTTTTTACTGAGGTATGATATGCGGGTATGAGATTTGCTGACGTCAAATTTCAGCGTTGTGACAGCTTACTATTGATGCTGGAGATATTACCTTCTGATTTTGTACTAATTTGATTTGTTCTACTCCTTTCCCCTGTCTGATGCTAGACAAAGCTAAAGGAGACAGAGTACCAATTAGCACCGTGGCAGACAGATGTAAACCACTCAAATGCTTCGCCTTTGTCGCCGTATCACCCAGTTGGTGTGAGTTTGAGATACTCAGTAAGTTCATATTCCTCTGCGTGATATTGATGTGCTTAAGTGGCTTTTTTTTTTATCAAAGTGCTTAAGTGACTTCAATAAGAAATTCATTCGTTTATTTCTAACAGACAGAATCAGAACAGCATCACCAAGATGGGCGTGGTGTACCGGCTGCGAGTAATTACCATCTTGATGGTCCTGAGAGGTATCAATGCACTGGACTTAGTAGTGATTCTTTATGAATGTGGAAAATAAGGAATATAAAGATAAAGCTGAAAACATTGAATATTGTGATTTGACTTGGCTAAGCTATATGCAGTTATTGGTGGATTAGTGCTTTTCATTGCAATATTGAAATTATTATGATCAAATGTGTCTTTTGTTCCACTAGGTCACCAGTCTTTCAGATGCCAGTGCAACCAGCTCTTAATCAAGATGAATCTCATGGACCAAATAACCGTGTTCAGTTTCGTGAGCCTCTCAGCAATACATTTATGGACGATCCATATGCAGAAGTACAAGCAGATACAAATCAAACTTTGGAAAATGCGAATTATGCAGCTGAGTTTGATGATCCAAGCCCTTCAAATTACCCCAATTTGGCCCCAGTTCTTGAAGAGCCATCTTCATCTTTTTCTGAGGGTAATGGCTAATAGTAATAGTGGCATATTGTCAATTCCATCGCAGTCTTCCACTTTGTCTTAAAATGTTGTGAATCACTACTTGCAGCTGCAGATGATGATCCGTTGCCAGGGATATTAGAACTACAAATTTCAGGAGAACCTTTTCCTGGAAGAGAGCTTCTGGCTTCTGGTCATTCCATCAACGGAACGACAAAATGTAATTTTGAGGTGCATGCTAAATAGAGAGCTTTATTACTTACCCGCTTTTTTGTCAAATTGCATTTTAAATATCTTCCCTTCATGAAAATCTCAGTGGGTGCGGCATCTGGAAGATGGATCAGTGAATTACATTGATGGTACGCGTTTCCCCTGCTACTCGTTTTTCTTACAATTGAATATGGCGATAAGAGAGCTTAATTGTTAACAATATCCAAACATAGGAGCAAAGAAGCCAAATTATCTTGTTACGGCCGATGATGTTGATCTATATCTTGCTATTGAAGTTCACCCCTTGGACGACAAGAATCGCAAGGTTTGTTTTCTTAAATCTTTTCTGATGAATGAGGTTTACTTCAAAAACTTCCAATTTACTTGATCAACCATTAGTTTAAATATGTTTGTGGACTTTATTAATCTGCTAGATCCGAGAACTATTTTGTTACCTGGCTGATTCAGTTTTACATGTGATTCATGCGATTCATTTTTTTCCTTTACTGTGATTCTAGGGGGAGCTAGTGAAGGTCTTTGCCAATGAGAATTGCAAGATTACATGTCGTAAGTTTATGCTTTTTACTTGGAAAATTTTGGTCGTTCATATTCTTAACAACACTAAATCCATGGCTTGCTCAACCCATAATTAACTTCAATTCGAGAAGCACTACTAAGAAACCTGTTTTTATTTTGACCTTTCAAGAGTGAAAGAAATTATAGCTACAAGACTTGTCAGCTCTATCTTCTTCGTTAAGCTCAATTTTCTGTTATTATTCTAAGATACTGCCGGAACATTACACCAAAAATTGTGGAGCTATCTGGTAATTGTATTCCTTTTTTACTCACACAGATCCAGAGATGCAGAGCCATATAGAGAAGAATCTTCATAACAGTCATGCATCGTTCAAGGTATCCTATGCGGTATGGTAGCTCTCGTATTTCATCTTCTACTAATTTCATATGTTGTTAGGCTTCTTAGAAATTTCCTTTTATATACCTTTATTTTACCCTTCTTACAGATCTCTCTTTTGAAACAGATTGGTTATATGGATATATGGGAAGCAGCTACTTTGTCCATCAAGAAAGAAGGCTACAGCATCAAACCTAATAACGATCCTGTAATTACAGAAAAGTTCTCCTCTTCCACCGCTGTAAGAGTCTTTAATCTTTGCTGCATCATAATGTTAGCATATGTGCTGAAGGTAAACTAGCTGTGAAGAATGAACTAATGCTATGATCTTTCTATCTCTCTCTTTTTAGGTTATGATTCCCTTTGAACAGCCTGCGGATTTTGTGATTATTGGTAGTGATGGCGTGGAGCATCTCTTTCGGGTGGATAATGATGCAACAGATCTAAGCTGGTAAGTAATATTTATCTTTTTATTTGCATCGTGTAAATGCAACAGGAATTAAGCAGCCCAATCTTCTGTCTCTGTGTGTTGTATTTGGCAGCTCAAGAGACACAATTGTTCTCACCCTCAGATTATTTATTAAGAAGGTAATGTTTCAGATTGTCATAAGGGAAACTCATCAGACAAAGATTAGCATTTTTGATTGGTTGATCATTTGGTTTGCTAATTTTTGTTGCTGCAGGCTCTGCAGAGAAAGAAGGGCAAGAAGAAAATATTCTTGTTTAACAAATGAGTTTTTGGTAAATAAAAAAATATTGTTGGCTCTTTTTCTCTGACAATATTAGAGATAGTTTTTGAACCATTGAGAGTTGTTAAGTCTGATGTAGCTGATTATTAAAAAAACAATTCAATCAATTTCAGTACAGAAGAGAAAATTAGCAAAGAATTATTAATGGCACTTTGTTCTTGTTAAAACTAATATAAACATAAAAGCAACTCATTAGCACACTCATTACATAAATCTACCATTCTTCCCACTTGTTCATGAAGTCATCCCACATAGTAAATGCAATGGAGTCTCGTAGAGAATCAGCAACAAGCTCCCTAGGAGTAGAATCCATGTGCAACAACTCTAGCTCTTCTTCCTCTTCTCCACGCGGTTCCTCCTCTGCAGCAGCATCTTTACCTTCAGCAGCAAAGAGCCAGTCGTGAAGCCCATCTTCCCTTTTAATGAAGTTATGCAGAGCACACGTCACAATCACCAGATCCCTCTGGACTTCAAAATGGTAAGGAGGCGCTGATTTCAGTATTGGAAACCGAGTTTTCAGAAGTCTGACTGATCTTTGGATAACATTGCTTAGACACATGTGCCTATGGTTGAAAAGATCATGAGCGTTCTGTGGCATTTGGCGTGCGCCACGGTACTCGTGGAGACCGTACCTAGTTCCTTGGTATGGAGCAATGAACCCTTCTGTGTTTGTGTAGTTTCTGTCAACAATATAGTATTTTCCTGGTAAAAAAACAGGAAAAGTCATTATAGGACTTGTAGTAGTAATCTCAAAGGATGTTATGTATGTAGAAAACCTTTGGGAGGTTGGGGGAAGTTCTGGTTTGGATCATCAAGGACTGCTCTTAAGATGCGGGAATCATTGATAGAGCCTTCCCATCCAGGACATACATATATAAACTCCAAATCAAAGTTGCAAGCTACAAGCACATTCTGTGTAAGTATACCTTTCTTGTTTTGAAACCGGGGCTGGTCTTTTATAGGAAGGTTAGCAAGTAGTTGCAAGCCATCTATAACTCCTATACAATCCTGAGGGAAAGGCCATAAACAAAGAACATTGTTGGATCACATACTTTAAAACTAGAGTTTCTGATGATTCTTTACCTTGAAATATGGATAAAGCCTTTTGCTATTGACTATATCTCCATGTGTTTCCATAACCGGTGGCTGAAAAAACCCACGTGACACCGCCTTAACAGCCTTTAACACATTATTGAAATGGCGGCTAATGGTTTCACAAGAAAGGTGGAACCTCTCTTGAATCACTCTGATTCTCTGATTATGACCTATAATGCTTAAGAATATAGCAACCTGCTCTTCCACCAAAACAGTGATGGTATCTCTTAGCAGTCCTTTCTCTCTAAAAGTGTCGGATAGTTTGTGAAACAGACGCTTATCCATCCGAAGCACTTCCCTGCAATCTTCAACAGGTCCTTGTAGCAAGTCTTTCAGATATGTACCTCTTGTAGCAGGCGAACTCGGAGGTTGGTTCACTAGTCTTTGGTAGTACAAGTAACCAGCTGCTGCAGCAACTAGTTCCATCTCATCTAACTCTATGTCGAAATCAATGCTACTAGTTGACATATCTGAAAGTAAAACCAAAGGAAACAGAATAACTTCAATATTGTCGTTAGAATTGACGAGCTATTTCTCCACGATAACTATTATATAGTATTATATGTCTCTTAAACTATGATTTAGTTTATATATTTCCGAAATAATAGTTTCAGAATTAATTTCCTATTATATGATAGTTCTCGTGGGTAAATAGCTAGTCGAGCTTGTCATTATGATCAATGTTTCTACCAGTTACAATATTTCATACATAAGAACACACAGCAAAAAAAAAAATCAAATGTTTTTATTTCAAAGATTGTATCTAACACCTTGTAAGTTGTTCGTGGCTTTGGTGCATTTGCTTATTGAGAATCTGTCTCCGTTCTTCTTACTCAAAGCAGCTGATCTCAATTTGGAAGCTGCTGAGATTTCTTGCATGGCTTCAACTATGGCATCACTACCAGCCTTGCGGTTTCTCCTTCGAGACGGTACAGAACTGCCAGAAGGTGCTGTCGGAATACGCTTGTTGTGTCCGTTAATGACTTGTATTTCATCTCCAGAACCGTCAGAGGAAAGTTCATCATCCATATCATCACCAGACATCATTCTTCAACATGTAAGAACCAACGAAAGAGAATTAGACCGAAGAGAATGTGAGAATCTACGTAAGCTTAGTACGCGACCTTAGCTCAAAGCATCAGAACTGAACAAGAAGCTTTCGGTTCTGAGAAAATTTGAGCGATTGCTGTTGGCCCTCGAACATTAGGGATTCCTAACAATTGAGTCATGTCCCTTAGTTTTGTTATTTTTTCATTAGTCACTCAAAAAACTTTCAACAATTTATGTTTTTGGCGTCATGTTTTATCCCAAATCAAATTAACCCTGAATCCAGAAAGACTTTTTCTTTTACATATTTTTTAAACACTCCAGAAAGACTTTAATTTGTTGGTTTGAGATGATTAATCAAGTGGCTATTCTTAAGTTTATCTCAATTTTTATTCAACATAACATAATCAACATTAAGAAATGAATTTGGGAAGCAGGGGTTGATTATCTATAAACTTTACTAATCTCTTTTTTGTCAATCAACTTTACTAATTAACAATAGAAACTATAATCTATAGCAACAGATCAAAGTATCAAACAAAGACAGATAATTAAAACATAGATATAATCGATTATGGATCAAGCCTGATGAAACATTCGTCTATAAACTTCAAAATTTTCAAAGAGAAATTAATTGACATAAATAATGAAATTTGTAGGAAAAATCCCAAAATTTATAAACATATTTTTTAAACTAAATCGCTTACATACTTCCAAAATTTCTCAAAATTTCAAGGTTGACCTTAACATGAAACTTTTTTCTTTTGTTCAATTGGGAGCCACAAAATGAACATGACCAAGTTGGTACTCTCTCCTAGTTCCAAACACCAGTCTGTGACCACTGCACATTTTCCCAATCCATGTTCTCAGTTTCTCATCCAACACCTTTTCTCCATTCCACAAACATCATATATCACTTGTTTTATAGCTTAAACAAGCTCCAAGAAATTTCCTAGTTGAAAGCTAAGAGCAGTACATTAAGAATTTATAGAGAAGTTCAAACGTTTTCCAAAATAAAAAAAAAATATTAAAATAATTTCATTCATATGAATCTCTCTTTCATAAGCTATTTTGGATAAACTTCTTGCTGGTGGATTCATCACTATTTCATGAATCCCACAACATGTATTGGTTCACAATTGATTTGATTATTTTATTTTATTTTATTTTTAAAAAAATAAAAAAAAATAAAAAAATTAGTAATAAAAAATTAAAAATTTGAATTTAGAAAAGGATCACTAATGTAGATGCTATAAGTTTGTAGCGCATGTCCGGTTGAGCCATGTGTGACTGGCGTCGAGCTCTACGTGTCGAACATATACGAGCTTGGTTGACTTTTCTTTTATTGTGCAATTCTTTTCCGCTTTCTTTAAGCAAAAACCAGTGTGCGGATTTCAAATTTGTCAACGGAAAACAGAGCCTCATTAAATTCACTGATAAACAAATTTATGATTTATATATAACTCAAACGACCATGCATGAACTACTCTCACGAGAGAGCCTTCAATTCCCTTTGAAAAAAAAAATATTTCAGATTTTGAAAGACATGAGGATGTCTTTCACTATACACTCACTAGCATTTGTTCCATTGTTTGTAGTAATAGTGACACACGCAGTAATCGTCGCGGCTGAAGATGAAAACTCGCCGGATCAGGCAATGTTTCCAGCGATGTTTGTGTTCGGAGACTCATTAGTGGACAATGGAAACAACAACCGCTTGAATTCGCTAGCTAGGTCCAACTATTTACCTTATGGCATCGATTTTGACGGTGGTCAACCCACCGGTCGTTTCTCTAACGGCAAAACCATCGTTGATTTCATCGGTACGTTCATCATTATACATATGCATATATCTAATAGATAGTTTTTCTTGTTGTTTTTGAAAATGATGGAATAGTTGTACTAAAGTGACCTTACATATATATACGAATGCACTTATAAACATGTGAACCACCACTCTTCTGATTCCTGAAATCAGTCTCATTCCTTAGTCTCTCTACATGCATGTGGTCTTGGAGTCAATGGATGCATATTAGACATTCTGGCAACGTTTTAAGATTGTTTTCTGTTGACACCATTTGTAATGAGAAGTTGAGAACAACTAATAATAACGTGGGGATTGAATGCAGGAGAGTTGCTAGGGCTGCCGGATATACCAGCGTTTATGGAAACGATAGACGGAGGAGTTGATGTTCTCCGGGGAGTGAACTATGCGTCAGCTGCCGGAGGAATCTTAGAGGAAACCGGTCGCCATCTGGTACGCATATGCAATTTTATTTATTGTATATTGTATACATAATGTGTTTTTTCACGTATGTTTTTTGTCTTATCAAATCCATGACAATTCCTATAGTAGCACATAGTATGATATATCAACAAAATATAAATTAACCATTTAACTAAAACAGTCGTCATATGGGTTCACGAAGAGTATTTAATATTGACTTTTGATTGGGTGCATGAAGTTTAGAAATCAATTCTCATGAGACATGCACATGAGTAATTAATAATGGGAGTTGCATGCATGCAGGGAGAGAGATTCAGCATGAGAAGACAAGTGGAGAACTTCGACAAGACATTAATTGAGATAAGTAGGGGGATAGAGTCAGTAAATGAGTATATGGCAAAGTCATTGGTTGTGGTTTCATTGGGTAACAATGACTACATTAACAATTACTTGAAACCATCGCTTTTCCTCACCAGCTCCATCTACGACCCTCCTTCTTTCGCAGACCTCCTCCTCTCTAACTTCACCTCTAATCTCCTCGTAAGTTCACGTTACTTATGTTTGATTCAAAGTCAGCAATGTTATATTATGAGCTACAAACAACACTAATGTTAAACTAAAAATGTGATATTAATTAGGAACTATATGACAAGGGGTTTAGGAAGTTCGTGTTAGCTGGTGTGGGTCCATTAGGTTGTATACCAGACCAACTAGCCGCTCGAGCGGTTCCACCGGGTGAATGTGTGGAGGCGGTTAACGAGATGGCTGAGCTTTTCAACAACCGTCTCAAGTCGCTAGTGGACCAACTCAACTCCGACAACAAAACCGGTCGTGACGCCATCTTTGTCTATGGCAATACCTATGGAGCTGCCGTGGATATACTCACCAACCCGATTGCTTACGGTTAAGTACCTCTCATTTTAACTACCATTCGAACAGCATGTGCAAATGTCTGAATCCTAAAACTGACAAGTTTATGTTATAGGATTCGAAGTGACGGATAGAGGGTGTTGTGGAGTAGGGAGAAACAGGGGAGAAATTACGTGTTTGCCACTAGCTGTGCCATGTGCATTCAGGGATCGTCACGTGTTCTGGGATGCTTTTCATCCAACACAAGCTTTTAATCTCATCATTGCTCTTAGAGCGTTTAATGGCTCCAAATCTGATTGTTACCCCATTAATCTATCTCAAATGTCTCGTCTCTAATTATGTATTACCATCAAATATTTTGTTTAATCGTATCTTTGTATTTCTTTTTTTTTCAAGTTACTTACATTTGTTTTATCTTTTGACATTTTCAATTAATGCATTTTTATCGTTATATTAATTTCTCTACATGTATTTTTGTATTTGATTGTCATATATAAATGCAACTTTAGTTTAGTAGAACTGTAGAAGTATAGTCTTCTGCTTATCACTAGAATATTTTTCGGAAAATATAAAAGGCCCAATAGAATTAAGAAAAGCCCAAACTGAAGTTAGATAAGCCCATAACGAGGTAAGAAGATAAGCGTTGGAATACACACACTTCTGACAACCGGCAAAAAATAATTAACTCCGACGCGATGGAAACGGAAGCAGTCGTTAGAACCGTCGCCGGCGTTGACTGTTTCGTCTCACTACCTCCTCAGATACTCCACGTGCTTCAATCCACTAGCTCATCTCTCCTCCCTCCGCTTCTCCCCGTCGAGCTTCGCTCCGGTGATCGTCGCTGGCCAGTTGCTTGGTCCGGCTCAAGCTCATCCTCTTCTGCGATCGAGGTTTCTCTTGATTTTGATCCTGTTTCTAGCTCTGATAGTATATACACTCTCTGTTCTCATTGCGTTTTGAATTCTTCAATTAAGGTCGCTAGAGTGTTTGCGGAAGCTATTTCGTTGCCGGATGGTACAGTTGTTCAGGTTCGAGTTCTCTCTAACGTCCCCAAGGCTACTTTGGTAACAGTTGAGCCAGAGACTGAAGATGATTGGGAAGTTCTTGAGCTTAATGCAGAGCTTGCTGAGGCTGCTATACTTAGTCAGGTAAGTTTTTGAATCTCATTGCTAGTAAATTTTTTGCTTTCTAGTTGAATGAAATGTTTAAGATCGTTGTTTCCGCCTACTCTTATTTTTTTTTTAATTATTAATATGCGTAGCTGGTTTGTGTGATTTTTGTTTCTTTCATATCTTTATGCCTCGTGCACGATTCAGTAGTGCATTTAGTTTGTGGCAATGCTGAGGGAGCTTTGGAAACACGTATTTTGTTGTTGTTGTTCAGGTGAGGATACTTCACGAGGCCATGAAGTTCCCTTTGTGGTTGCATGATCGAACTGTGATAAGATTTGCTGTGGTTTCTACATTTCCACCAAAAGGGGTGGGTAAGACCATCTTTGTTCGACATTTTTTATTTTGGTTTATATTAGTCGTCTATTTACCATGCTTTTCTAGTTTTTTTGTAATCCAACTTATCTTCCTTGTGATAACAATTGGGGGTTGATCATACGTATTGCTTACTAATCTCTTATGCTTCAATCAGTACAATTTTGCTGATGATTTTTTTTTTTTTGACTGCTGGCTCGTTTTCAGTACAACTTGTGCGAGGAACTGAAGTCGCCGTGGCTCCTAAGAGACGTGAAAGGAATCTCAGCTCGAATAAAGAATGGAACAATGTGAAAATCTTGTTACGTGTACAAGATACCACTAAATCAGCATTTCATGAAGCTAATGTCAAAGGATTTGATGTAAGGGTAGCCCTCACTTCCATTGCGTATATTCATCCAGAAACTGCCGAGAAATACTCGCTAGAATCTCTTCAAACGATTTCGGTGTCCCCAAGAATACCTTTGAAAGGTAGTTTGAAGAAAGACGAAGTCTTGAATATGAAAAAGAGTGAAGCGTCAAAGGTGGTTGAGAATGGCACTCCCAGCTTAAAGAAAGAGCCCCGTCGAGCAATTCTTCGACTTGTGTTTTCAGATTTAGTTGCTAAAGGGCATTTAATGATGGTGGAGTCTCTTCGTCTCTATCTAGGAGCAGGCCTTCACTCATGTGAGTAATTTTACTTAACATACAGACACTTTTGTTTTATGTACGTATAATTTTGATGTTAGGTATAATTAGCTTGTCTACCTGAACGGCTTGGTGAATGAACTGTACGGAAAGGCCGAGCTAACGTTATTTTCTGGTTATTCATAGTATGCAACACTAGGATTTTGTATTTTATTGCTATAACTGTGAAGAAGTAAACATTTTTAGGCTTTTGAGAGTTGTCATGCATTTTTTAAATCCAAAAGCTATGAAGTGCGTCATTTTGCATGTTTCCTTTCTCGATGAAGCTTTGTTACCACAAAATCATTAATGTCGGAGTAAGAGTTATCATTTGTATGTAGGGGTTCACTTAAGGGGATGCAATGTCAATGTGAACAAAGAAGTTCCTGCTCTTTCACTTTCTCCGTGCATCTTTAAGATTTCTGAAAAGGAAAACGTGCTTGATAGAGGTACGGATATGCTTCCAAATTCTAATAGAAGAAGCAGCCATCCACCTTCTGGCTTGACCACCAATGTGGATGTTGTGGACTGGTCTGTGCACGAGAAGGTTGTTACGGCTCTTTTATCTGAGGGTTTACATACTGAAGAAGAACAGGATAATGCCTATCAACTTAAGAATAAGAAAGGACTGGAATGCCTTACTCGCCTGTGGTCATTAGCACAGCGGGATGCTATTGCGTCAGTCACAGGAGTTGATGTTAGTTCCTTGATTATAGGAAGGGATACTTTTTTTCATTTTGAAGTGGGAGGGCTCGAATCTTACAAGTCAAGAGACGGGCAGCCTCCTGCTGTTGATCTTCTGGAAATTAGGAAGGAAAAAATTGTTCCTTTAGAAATTTTGTACGTAATGACAGTCTCTGACGAGTCACCGCTTGGTGATAAATTCATTGCGTATGAGCTTACCTTGGATAGAAGCGAGAAGAAAGACAATGTGGTTCATATTGAGCCAATGCTTGAGAAGATGCATCTTGGCGAACCTATATTTTTCTCTTCTGTTAAAGAAAGACACTGCAATAAAGGTGTTTCCCCTGATTTATCTTCCTTAGCGTGGATGGGCTCAGTTGTGTCTGATGTTATCAAGAGTAGGTTTTTTTCTCTCTTATCATCATCTTGTTTGAGTTATAATATCATGATGGTGTTCTTAGTTATGCAGAAATATATAATGTGGTTGCCGATAAAAACTAAATCAATCAATTATGGATAGGCCTTGTGTCATGCTTTCTGATAACATCAGCTTTGCTAAGATTTTGGTTTTATTGTGTGTTAGTTTTGTTGTTGGTAGTTACATGTAGAAAATGTACACGAAGCAGTTTCTGCCTCAACTTAAACTGCATGATCATCTACCATTCGTGCAATCTTCACATGTGGTGGATTTTAACTTGTATATTTTATTGCATTTGGAAAGTGTTCATGAGATCTGTTCGTGCAGGGATGACCGTGTTGTTGTCTCCGGAAGCTGGAATGTGGTTTAGCAAATTCAATATTCCTTCACCTGGACATATTCTCATATATGGGCCTCCTGTGAGTTCCCTTCACCAATTTTTGTTGTTCCATTTGGTATCCCTTGAAAATGAATTTAGTGCATTTTTGGTCCCTGGATTTACTTGTATTTCGTTACCAATTGATTACGGTACCACTTACCCACTCCAAAGCTATCCTTTTGGCCAGTTATGAAATCAGGGTGTTTATATCAAAGCTTTTGATCTTTTCTTTTCACAACCTTGAATCATTGTTTCCCTGGTTTCAGTAGCTTCTTAATCTTTCTTTCTTTTTCTACTGGTTGAGTGACCTGGTTGTTTACTAATGTGAGCCTCTGGCTGATAGGGATCAGGAAAGACAATTTTAGCAAGAGCTGCTGCAAAGTACTTTGAGGAACAAAAAGACTTGTTGGCACATGTGTGAGTTGTTGTGGTTACGTTTGCCTCTGCTGATCTACTGCAACCAATATCATTTGTCGTCAAAAGACTCATTCTGTTACAATTGTAGGCTAAGTGTTGATTTTTCTTGTCCAGGATTTTAGTATCCTGTTCTGCACTTGCCTTGGATAAGGTTCAACACATCCGTCAAGCCATTTCTAGTGTAATAGCTGAAGGCTTGGAACATGCACCATCCGTTATCATTTTGGATGATCTTGATAGCATTATCTCATCACCTTCAGATAACGAAGGAACTCAAGCTTCGAATGCGATTACGATGCTTACAAAATTCCTAACAGATGTTATAGATGATTATGGGGTATGACCTGTTGAAAAATGTCAGTCCAACATTTCACGTTTATGATCACACTTATCTACGCATCACGAGTTGCTCTCCTGGAATCTCGTGAAGCTAATTATCTGAAAGCATGACTTCTTCTTGAATCCACTCTTCTCCAAGAAGTGCCTTTAGGGACATCTTAGGTGATATATTCTATTCTGCTCGTTTAGTTAATCAGATCTATTTTCGTTCGCTCAACAGGAATACAGGAGTTCCTCTTGTGGAATTGGTCCACTTGCATTTGTTGCTTCTGTCCAGTCTCTAGACCAAATTCCACAGACATTGAGCTCATCAGGTACAAACTTGTTATATACCAGTAGTTTTACCTGTTTTCAGGTCAATAATCCATGTAATATTTTCAGGAAGATTTGACTTCCATGTGCAACTGGCTGCTCCTGCTACCTCTGAACGTGGGGCTATACTGAAGCATGAGATACAAAAACGCCTTCTAGAGTGTTCGGAAGATATTTTGCTCGAGTTAGCTGCCAAATGTGAAGGATATGATGCGTATGACCTGGTATTTAGAATCCATAACATACACAACCTGACAACTTACTCTTTCGTTTTGATTTGGGCGCATGCTCATGACCACTCGAGGCTCCTTCATTTCTTTTCTTTTTTTGATAATCGTTCTGTCCGTTAATAGACTTTGCGCTTTCGTTGGATTCTCGTTTTCCAGGAAATATTGGTTGATAGAGCTGTTCATGCTGCCATTGGCCGACATCTACCTTGTGAATCCAATATATCCAAATATACTCTGGTCAAAGAAGACTTTACGCGAGCTATGCATGAATTTGTGCCTGTTGCCATGCGTGACATCACCAAATCTGCTTCTGAAGGTGGTCGTTCGGGATGGGAAGATGTTGGAGGCGTTACTGATGTTAAAAATGCTATCAAAGAGGTAAATAAGCATGTCGATTGCCGTATCTGATTTTTTGCTTTCATTAAGATTTAACTAGTGTGGGTAGGAAATTTGGCTTATATTCTTTATTAACTGTAAGCATTGAGTTTTATGTGCTAGCGAATATGTATATCGATGGATATTCTCTAACTGAGTTATCTGAGAATTAATCTGATGGAAAGAATTCCTTTGTGCTATATTACGTATCGTTACGAGTTATGTTAACAATTACAATTTGATCGGTAGTTATTTAGAGAACCGACTGGAAATTACCAACTTATTTACTCTTTTGGCATGTGTCCAGATGATTGAATTGCCATCAAAATTTCCGAAAATCTTTGCAAAGTCTCCTCTGCGTTTGAGATCAAATGTTCTCTTGTATGGCCCACCTGGTTGTGGGAAGACTCACATAGTTGGTGCAGCTGCAGCAGCGTGTTCCCTACGGTTCATCTCAGTGAAGGGGCCTGAGCTCTTAAACAAATACATTGGTGCTTCTGAACAATCTGTAAGAATGACACCTCTCTTTGTTATTCATCTTTAAGATGCTTTTGCGATGATCATCCTGCTTTATCTTTACTGCTGGATTCTCCTGGGTATTTTTTTCTTAATATTTACTGTGTAGTAGATAGGTAAAGAAACCTGAATGAAAAATGGTCATAGAAACGAATTTTTAGACAGCTTGCTATTCTTGTTTTTTTTTTTTGGTCTCAAACTCTGAAAACCCAAGTACTTCCACATATCTAAACGACAAACATATATCTCTCAGGTCCGTGATATATTTGCAAAGGCAGCAGCCGCAGCACCATGCATACTCTTTTTCGATGAATTCGATTCAATTGCTCCCAAGAGAGGACATGACAACACCGGAGTTACTGATCGAGTTGTTAATCAAGTAGGTTACTTCAAAAGTCTGTGCAAATTCAACCAACCATAAGTTAAAACATCTCAGGTCGTATTTTTCTTTTGCGTAGTTCTTGACAGAGCTGGATGGAGTTGAAGTTCTAACCGGGGTCTTTGTATTTGCTGCAACAAGGTATGTACTAATGTACACCAGAATACGTCTATATTCCTTACTATATTTAGTGTTCAATGCATTCATACAATCTATTGCAAACGGGTGGTTAATTAGTTATGAGTAAGTCCATAATGATAGTAGCCATTGATTTTGAAGCCCTCATGTTACGTTTTCTTTACATACAAAAGATGAATATATGACTTTTATAATGGTTTACACATTAACAGTAGGCCAGATCTGCTTGATCCTGCGCTACTGAGGCCTGGCCGGCTTGATCGTCTTCTTATGTGCGACTTTCCATCCCCACCAGAGCGATTAGAGATTCTTAAAGTTCTCTCGAGAAAGGTTAGTTATATAATTTTAAACATTTCTGCTAATCGTTTTCTATGTAAAATTGAGGCATTTACATATATAATACAATTTAAAATGATAATCTTTGCACATTTATGCAGCTTCCGATGGCTGATGATATTGACTTAGATCCTATAGCTCAGATGACTGAAGGTTTCAGTGGAGCTGATCTGCAAGCTCTTCTTTCAGATGCGCAACTTGCAGCTGTTCATGAGTTTCTAAACAAAGAAGATAGAACAGAGCCTGGAACGACTCCAATGATAACTGATCCTCTTCTGAAGTCGATCGCTTCCAAAACTAAACCATCGGTTTCTGAAACCGAGAAGCAAAAGCTTTATGACATTTATAGTCAGTTTCTGGATTCAAGAAAATCGGTATCTCTCCACCCTAGTTCCTCTTCTCTTTTATACAAACTCATAAAGTTGATTACTAACAACATCAAAAACTTTTTTTGCTTGTAGTCGAGAGAAGCAAAGGGCAAAAGAGCAACCTTAGCGTAACCAAACGGCATCACAATTCACAAAGACAATGATGATTACATTTGTAGCCGTAGGAATCACATCATCAGGTATAATTTCCCTTGTGATATATACACATGCTTATTGATAAGCATTATAGTCGAATAATAGAAGAAAAAAAAACAATTAAGAGGTTTGATTTTGAGTAATACGTTTGTGTCGAACCACAACCATACCGGTTTTGTTAGTTGGTTTTCAGATGTGCAATGTTCATGTTATGATGATTGTAATCAAGTCAAAACCCGAATCGGTTAATATATTTCCAAATAGTCATATGACCAACTGAATGTTGGTAAAACAAAAAAATTTAGCTTGTTGTGTTCTATATTAGACCATGCCGGTGAATATTGTTCTTATGACCATAACCATGAAAGGAGTCAAAAGCAAATATACAGAGAAGAAACAGAGTCAGTTAGGAAACTGTTACGAGTCCAGTTAAGTATTTAATCCACATTCAACAGAGACAGCCCATTAAAGAAAAACAATATAACAAGAGAAGAAAAAAATAGAAACCGTTGTTTGGTTTTATAAAATTGGGTGAAGAGGTTTGCTATGACGTCTCTCTATCTCTCTCTCCCTACACTCCTTAACTGAAACGGCATGCACTTTTCTTCCTTGCTGAACTTGCTTTCTCCATTCCTTCACGACAACATGAAATAACTCATCACAATCTGTCATTCTGATGTTTGACCAAACAAACTTCTATTAACAAAAGAAAATGTGACAAAAACCCAAACCCAAAAACGGTTAAGAATTAAAGGGATAAAATAGTCCTTTTTTCTCCTCTTTCCTCCACATTCTTCTCTTGTTTTTTCCTTCTCTTTTCTGGTATATATGAACAAGTTCTGAGCTGTGACCAGCATTAGACCAACAACAGTCTTTAAACCTTCTTTGACCTCTCTCTTTCTCTTTTGTTGTTTTCTTCTTTTCAACTTTCCTTTATCTTGTTTTGGGCATTTGCATTCACTTGCCTCGGCTTGATCTTCAGGTAGGTCTTTTCTTTTTTCTTTCATCATTTCCTGTGATTCCTTCATAGAGCAGGACAAAAGAGGTATGAGGCATTTAGCTTTGGTTATCTATCAAATCATAAATGTATATAAAACTTCTATAACCAGTTCCCTCATCACATGAACAAGTAACCACCATAAAGATTGTGAAAGAAGACAGATTCAGGTCATGACAAACCCTGTTCATTTGCATTCCTACTATTAGTAATAGCACCAAACTTTGATATAGATTTTTGAGTGTACAACAAGTCAAAGCAATTTCAAGAAAAAGCCAATTTTTTATTCGTTTTTCTCACAGATATTAAGCATAATTAATAGTCTTTTTTTTTTAATGGTAAGGTTTGAGTACACGACTGACTCTTCTTTTGTATCTGTTAGCTAATTCTGTTTTAGAGTTGCTTGTTTTGTAAGATGACTCTTTTTTTGGATTTAGAAGATCTTTTGAGAAACCTTTAACCTTCCATCATCCTCATTCCTAAAATCACTCACATATATTGACATTCATTGATTCTCTCTAGATAAGTCCAAACTCTTCAAATTCACATTTAACGTTTCGAATATTTCTTGTTTTCTAATCATTCTGCAAAAATGATACAGGCCAGAGGCCAAAAAAGAAACAGGTGTAACTTAAACCTTGTTCTGTCAGAGAAAAACTTACATATGAATAACCAAGGAAGTCAGAACGTTGCAACTTGCAAGCCAGTCACTACATTTGTCCACACAGACACCAACACCTTCAGAGAGATCGTGCAGCGCTTGACAGGTCCATCAGAGAACAACAATGCTGCAGCAGCAGTAGCAGATCCAACAGCTATAAAACCCACCACACAGAAGAAGCCGACTTCTAAGCTCCATGAGAGAAGGCAATGTATTATGAGGCCAAAGCTTGAAATTGTCAAACCTCCTCTGAGCTTTAAACCCACTAGTACAACACCATCATCTAAATCTGGTAATACCAACCTTTTAACAAGTCCAGTGGGCACCACACCTTCTTCATTGTTCTCTAACCTGTCCTTGATAGAAGGGGATAAAGATTGCACAGAAGAAGAAGAAGAGAAAGCCATTAAAGAGAGACGTTTCTACCTACATCCATCGCCAAGGTCTAAACCAGGGTATACAGAACCAGAGTTGCTTACTTTGTTCCCTTTAACATCTCCCAATTCCAGTGGCAGACCATAAAATTCCACAGAGTAATCATAAGCCTGTTCTCAAACCTACTATCCCAAAAGATCATGTACATGTAAACATTTGTCTCTGTAACATTTCTGCAATGTGCTTTTCTGTAGACCATTATCATCTTAGCTTTTGCAGCGTTTTGTTCAGATTATATTATATCAAAACGCCACTGGCTCTTTCATCTGTATAGGAATCTATTTCTAAAAGCAAGCAAAGGTTTATAGACTTGGGTGTTGGCCTGTTCGGGTCTATTTGGATTTCGGAATAAAAATTTTTAGCTCTATTTGATTGTTTTTTAATATACATTAAATTTATATATAATTAATATATTTAAGTATATAAATCTATTTCAGATGCATTCGTTACCCGAAATACTTTAGTTCGGATTTGGTCTGGTCTAGTTTCGGTTCACTAGATAACAAAATTTTGAACTCATTCGGATATTTAAACAATTTTGATTTGGATTCGGTACTAATTTTTTTGATCGGATTCGGTTTAGTTTTTTGGATTCAGATTTTTTGCCCAGTTTTAGGCTTGTAGCTGAACAAAGTGGGTTAAATTATGAATTTCAGCTACTAACGGGCTTAATAAGAATATAATAAATTGTATAGGTCCTTAAATGCAAATAAAACTATATATTTTTGTATAACGTCGTTAAGTAATCTCTAGACTCTGCTTTTTCACATCTCGTCAGTAAAGTTAACAGCTTTGTGATTCGCAAAGCATCTCTTCTGCGAATTAATATGGCTCCGCCGGAAGGTGAAACAGCGGCCGTCGCTGCGGCGGCGGCGGGCGGTGATGGTCAGCCGCAAAGACAAGCAGGTGGTGGGTTTGGGCAGAGTATAACCGGAATCATAAGAATCGCCGTCTTCTGCTACTTCGCTTCAAAGTTCTTCTCTCCGAAACAAAAACCAGTGGATCCTTCTAAGCCTCCACCTCATCTTATGTCTAATCTCTTTCAGAAAGGCGAGCCCTTGGTAATTGGGTTTCTCCAAATTCGCTTGCTTTCTCAACGTTTTCGAGGTCTTTAAAGTGTTTGATTTTTTGAACTTTGTTAGGATATGTGGTTTTATCTATCGGAGGATTATAAATTTAATGACTTTGGGAATGATGGTGCGCTTGTTTGGCATGAGACGAATATACCTTATGCTGTGTGGAAGCCTGAGAGCATTAGGACGTTTTCAATGAAGTATTATCCATCTGAGGTGAGCTGGTTTGTTTATATGCTTCCATCTGATATATAGAGTCATGTGCTAAGGTGTGTGTTGTTGCAGGCATTGAAGAATAATGGGAGTCTATATGCTCATGTCTTCTTTGCTCGGTCTGGTTTCCCTATTGATCCTAATGATCCTGAGTATCAGCCTCTTAATTGCTTTGGCAGGACACATCGTAAGATGAATGATCCTTTTAACAAGAGTTGATTAGTTAGATTCATGTAGTAGTCACTAAGTTGGACGGTCTCTCTCTTTTTTCAGCTGTTGCGACTTACTTGCCAAAGCGAAAAGCAGATAAGAAGAAGAGTCTGTTGGGAAATCCTAAAGACTCTACTGAATCCAGTGCAGAAGTTGAGGTAAGGATTTGTATATGTTTTGTTTATGTATTGAAGACTAGTTGAGGTGTGCATATAGAGAGAAACCTGTTGTATATGTTATGGCACACATTTCTTATGAACTAACAACACAAAGCAGACTTCGCAGGAGGTTGATGGTCATGACTCGGAACTGAAGGATGAGGGACCTGTGGAATGGATATCTTACTGGAAACCTAATGTCACCATTAACCTAGTCGATGACTTTACTCGGTTAGTTCCTTCTGAATAAATAAGTAGTTGAACAATGGATTTACGGCATGCTTTTTCATAAGACGTTTTCTTACTGTCTTCAATTTCCTTACAGCTATCCACAGCATGGTGTACCCCCAAACATTGCTCCTTGTATCCTTTCTGGCTTGCCAATTATTGTTCGAGTTTTTTTTTTCTTACAACTATCTATGCTCATGTTTCTCTATCTTTTGAAGGCACTAGAGATATGTCTCTCTGCTTGTTTCATCTTCCATGCCATTTTTTTAAATATAAGTTGGATTAAACTCGTTTAGAAAATGTTCTGTTAGCTTTCCTTAACTTTATTGACAGACATACAGGTGGAACCTACTACAGTAAACTACTACCCTATAGTTTTCTTCAACGAGTTTTGGCTGCTAAGGGACAAGTTGATTGCAATCAATGAGACAGTCTCAGAGCTACCACTTAACATAGAAGTAAGCCCCATAAGCATGACAAAGTGGCAGCTATTTGAGCAGATTGAACAGTCTTTCCAGGTTCATCGTAGCTATGGAAGCATGCTTGATGGTGAATCTGACGAACTAAAGGTAATTTCATGTCTTATTATATACTAAGATGTGCATCTAACGGTTAAACAATTAATCCCGGAAGTAGGTATAGAGATGTAATTGGATTTGAGCTGATTTTGTTCATCTAACAGTTAAATAATATACTTGCAGAGGGTGTTTTTAGAAGGCAATCCCTACCTGTTGGGCGTGACAATGTTTGTTTCGATGCTGCATTCTGTATTTGACTTCCTTGCATTCAAAAATGGTAAACGCCAGATAAACACCTATTCTCCTTAAATGCTTCTTGAGATTAGCTTATCGAAGTGTCTGTTGCTTTCCCTGCAGATATCCAGTTTTGGAACAAGAACAAATCTATGGAAGGACTGTCTGCAAAGTCTGTTGTACTGAACTTTATCTGTCAGTTCATCATCTTCCTTTACCTTCTTGACAACGACACTTCATGGATGATACTGGCTAGCTCTGGAGTTGGTGTCTGCATTGAATTCTGGAAAATAGGGAAAGCCATGCGCATAGAGGTAACGTCTAATAACATTAAACTAGAAAAATCAGCAAGTGACACTTTCAATCTATATTTAATGTAAAAATGTGGCTAATATTTTCCAGGTTGATAGAAGTGGAATGATTCCAAGATTGAGGTTTCACGATCGTGAATCATATGCGAGAAACAAAACCAAGGAGTATGATGATATGGCCATTAAATTCTTATCCTATGTGCTTCTCCTCCTTGTCGCTGGATTCGCCATATATTCACTCGCCTACGAACGCCACAAGAGCTGGTACTCTTGGATACTATCTTCACTAACGAGCTGCGTCTACATGTTTGGTAAAAAAAAAACACTTCAACATACTCTTTCACCAGCTCAAAACTCTCATGTGATTGATTCTTTTGAGCTGAAATCATTTTTGTTTGTGTTTTTTTTTTTGTAGGTTTCATAATGATGTGTCCACAATTGTTCATCAACTATAAGCTTAAGTCAGTAGCGCATCTACCATGGAGACAAATGACTTATAAGTTCCTCAACACCATCATCGACGATCTCTTTGCTTTTGTCATCAAAATGCCAATGCTGCACCGTCTTTCTGTCTTCCGAGATGGTAAATAATACAAATCAATCTTTCCCTGAGATTATCGATTCATGCTTCTTTAGATTGTTTTGAAATTGACAAAAACTGATGATGATTAAAATCTGCTGTTGTTGCAGATGTGATATTCTTGATATACCTGTACCAGAGATGGGTTTACCCTGTGGACAAAACGCGTGTCAACGAGTTTGGTTTTGGAGGTGAGGATGAGTCTGTAGATCCCAAGAAGATCACTGATCAAGAAGATGACAAGAAAACAAACTAATAATAAGCTTTTTATTTTTCTTTTCCAATACCAATTTTAATTTATTTGTTCTGCTTTAGAAGTTTTGTTTACGCTTATATAAGATAAAATTTTATTTTAAACGATCTTAAATCATAGTATGAGTTTATTTTTAAAATACAGTATCGTTATAAAGTTAAAATGCAACGTTGATACAGACTTTTAATGCAACACTAATGAATGCAACAACATCGATTTTCTGCATTACATTGTCCATTTACAGTCCCCATTGAGGTGCAAAACTCAATGCATTTCATCATTCCTTGCAAACATGGACTTGTGTCGAAACATTGGATAAATATTTTTCCAAACCCTATAACAAACCAAAAAATATAAATTTAAGAACAATTCACAATAGTAAATCACCAAGAAAAAGAGATATAAGTATAACCAAATCTTACAAGGCATGAGTTCTGGACTTTGACGACAATGAACAGAAGAAATACCCAACATAATGATTAGAGCAAACACCATCAAAATTCTCTTAGTGAAATCCATTATATTATTAATGAAAAGAATGTTCATAAGCAAATAATAGCATACTCTATTTATAGATTAGTTATTTAACAGTATGTTACAACTATAAAGTTATTTTCTTGATAAAGAATCAAGAGTACATGTACATGTCACATATCTTAATGAAGCTTAGTATGATATCTAAATTATACCATTTAAAAATGTCCAAATATAGTATAATCTCTTTAAATTAATATTCTATAAATTAATATATACTAAAAATCTCTATAAAATAATATAATTTTATAGTTTCAAATTAAATTTTTGGTTCAATTAGTATATCAATAAATTAATAATCTCTGTAAATTAATAAAAACTATAGTTTTGGTGTAGTCCCAACGTTATTAATTTATAGAGGTTTCACTGTAATATTTGAGAAATACTTTTAGTAAAAAATCTGGAGAAAATATTTTTAAAAGGATATAATACTGAGAATAGATTTATATAACATTGATCAAGATCTCTATCCAATTTATAATATGATAATTTGTGAATACCATAAATAAAGAATTTTCAAAAAATTGTTGAAACATATCTTTACTACATGGGCCGTAGTTTAAAATATTTTATGAACCCAATATATTACGTCAGTTTTAATACGAAAGAACCAGTGTTTTAAAACCCGACCCGGACCCGCGGTTGAACCGGTAAATCCGGTGATCCAAAATAAATTCGGTTCGGGTTTTGTTAAAAACCCAAAATTTAAAAACCCGCAAAAACCCGCAAAAATCCACTAAAACCCAAAACCCGATACCGGTTAAACCACTGGTTGAACCAATAAATAAAATTTTACTTTTTTTTTTAGTTTTAACTTTAAATTAGATTTTTACTCTGTTTTATATTCTAAGTTTCAAATTCAAGATCATATGATCCTGTGGATTATGAATCTATTGACAAAACAGAGTTTTGTATTGTTGAAGAAGAAGAACCAGGCGAACTTGATTATAATGAATTAGAGAATGCTCTTGCTGAAGAATATCCCAGAGATGATGAAGTAACAAACTCAGAAGATCTTGTTGGTAAGTTTAAAATTTAGATTAAACTTTCTAACTTTTAATTATACATAAAACTTATTACACTATTTTATCTGTGATTTTTAGATTTTGATGATGATTTCACTATGCCACCTGAAGAAAATGAACTCAACTGTGATAGCTAGAACCAAAATTAGTTGATGTGATTTGGTGTTAGTTTATTTTTGTTATTGACAATTTATTACAGTGATGTTTTACTTTTGGTTTATTTTGAATTTGAAGTTTAATTTAATATTTTAGACATTTAAATATTTATAAATTTTATATCTTGATTTGTTTTAGATGTCATTCCTTTTAACTTGTTATAAAAAAAAGTCTAAACTAGTTTTTGATATTTTGTATATTTATACATTTTATGTTCTAAAAACATTTAGAAAATATTTAACTTTAATTTATATATTTTTATTTTCATAGCTAATATATTAATAATTATTATATAATAATTAATAAAATTTTATTTATTAACCCGCGGTTCACCCGCGGTCGACCCAATAACCCAGTGACCCAGTAAGTCGTCCGGTTCACCGTCCGGGTCGAGTTTAAAAACATTGGAAAGAACCCATAAAAGTCCGACACTGATTATATGGGAACTGAGAAGTGTGGGCGTGTAGGAATGAATCAAATCAAAGAACTCCACGCGGACTGTTTCAAAACAAACTAAAAATAAGCTTTTTGTTTTTTTCCAAATCAATTTTAAATTTATTTGTTTTGCCTTAGAAGTTTTGCTTTAGGCTTATATAAGATAAAATTTTATTTCGAAAGATCTTAAATCAGATGAGTTTATTTTTAAAATACAGTCTAGTTAAGATATAAAAGTAACCATCATAATATTTATCAGCACATGACAAGGAGTGTCCTCTTCCATAGTTAAAATGCAACCTTGATCTAGACTTTTGATGCAACAACATATATTTTCACTATTACATTGTCCATTTACAGTCCCCATTGAACTGCAGAATTCAATGCATTTCAGCAATCCTTGCCGACATGAGCTTGTGTCGAAACATCGAGTAAATTTTTCTCCAAACCCTGAACAAAGCAAAAAATTATACATTTAGAACAATTCGCAATAATAAATAACATAGATATAACTAAATCTTACAGGACATGAGTTCCGGACTTTGACAACAATGAACAAAAGATATACCCAGCATAATGGTAAGAGCAAACACGATCATAATTCTCTTAGTAAAATCCATTATATTATTGTGTAAAGAATAACATTGTTTTTAAACACAAGTTCTTGCTTCAAACACAAGTTCCTTAGGACTCCCATAAGAACCCTAACTAGGGGGAGCTCTCAGTTGGGTTATAGTAACTGATACAAACCATTAATTGCAGAACATTGTTTTCAAACTAGCTAAATAAAATAATCATAAAAGCTTGATACTCCATCTATTCTCACGAATTGATACTCCATCTGCAATCACAGTACAAAACAACAAATATATGTTATACACTCTGTAGCCTAATGATGACAATTGTGTACATCTTACGTTTCTCTGCATCAACACTGAATCAAAGACTGTTATCTTAACTCATATCTTCTTTCTCCTTCTCTTCATCTTTCTCCTTCTCAGCTTCACGAGCTAAGGTTTCCAACTTATCATTCATCTTTCTCTTCTTTTTATGTGGGTTCAAAACAAAAAGATTAGATTTTTTATAATCAAAATAGTATTGATTAATGAAACCAGAAAAAACTTTTTTCTTACCACTTGCGATTCAACTTCCCTAAGTTCTCTGTTCACGAACTTAAACTCTTTTATAGTTACTTCATACTTCTGCATGATTTACACTTGTTAATGTTCTAAGCCCACAAAAAAATAATTTATTTATAAAAACACTCATAACCTTAAAGGCAGGATCGTCAAGGATCTTGATACCATCCAACAGAAGCAATGCACTTACTTCTCTTCTTTGAGAAGAAGTAAAAAGGTAATGCCCTAGATTGTGAGACATATCAAACCTCACAATCCAATCTTGAAATTCACACAAGGCTTATCTTAGAATTGTTGACAATTTATTTTATACAAGTACAAACTTACCACTCCTGGAATGTGACCAAGTGACAGAGCATCACTGCAGGCATCACTGCAGAGTAAGACATGACTTCTTGTCATGAAGTCTGAATAGATCTGAAGCTTCTCCTTCTGAGACAGATTCCCGTGCATTTTTTGAGCAAACCAGAGAGGCATCCAAGGCTTTTATCATTTCAGCATGATATTTAACCGATCTGCAAGTTGAGAAAAAGATAACCATCTTTTGCTTTGGGTGCTGCCTCAGAAAGCTAACCAGAGCAAGAAGTTTCTGCAAGGTTGACACATTGGAGTAGTGTTGCACAACCTCTGAACCTGATCCTCTGTTCCTTTTCCTACTCAACTCCTTATTGGGCTTTTTCCCAACCTTCCAAGGAAGATCCAGAAGAGGTCTAAAAACTCTGAGTCCCAAACTTGGGCATTGAGCTCAGTCTCGTCAGACATTATGTTTGTCCTGAAGGCAGCTAAGGTCCTGTAGCCTTGCTCCTTAAGTGTCTTGAGTGGTTGATGAAATATATGGTCACCACTCAAAACCATCACATTGCAAGGACCCTGTTCATCGTTTAGCATTAACTGCTCTATCTCACATATGATTGCATTGTCAGCCGCATTTATTAGATCTGCTGCATCTGCATAATCTGAAATATAAAAATCTCTTAAATGAGAAAGTGTTTTTCATTAAGGTGAGGAGATAAGGTGAGGAGCCACTTACACAAGCCCATGTTCACCATTTTAATTTTATTTGCTGACAACTTTGCAACCATATCGATGGGTATGTGCTCCGTCATCTTTGCAAAAATGGCCCTAACGGTGACTGTGCCCATGTAGTTGCGTTCTGCCAATCCTCGAACGATTCTTTGGTAAAGGAATTCCGGCTCTAGATCTTTGGGGACTTTGACGTTCTCAATATCCACCCAAACATAGTTCTCACTATATATTACTAATTGGATTTTAAAAATTGATTGGGGAGCTTTTATATTTTCTTTTGCTTCTATCTAGTTTTGACTAGACAGGTGAGATTGATTTATCCATTATACAAGTTTCTTGTAATTTCTATTGTTTATAACTTAAACAGGTATGGGATATATAAGTTCTCAACTAATTAAACTTAAAGGAGTTACAATTATAAGGAGTAAAATTAAATGAAAATATAGGTGAGTTTGTTGAAGACTAACATCAAAACTCACAATCGTGATTAGTGTTCTTCACACCAAATTTGTTGACTCCTATGCAAGTTACATTATAAATAGCTCTCACGTCTCATACACTATATAATAACTCACTCGTTACGTACAATACCAAAAAACGGGCTCTATTAACTCTTTAAGTTTGTTTCCTTTCAAGAGAAAAAAAACATATCACAAAAATGATTACTCTTCGGATTCCTATTCTCGTCTCTTTTATGTTCCTCAACACCATCATCGACGATCTCTTTGCTTTTGTCATCAAAATGCCATTGCTGCACCGTCTTTCTGTCTTCCGAGATGGTAAATAATAAAAATCAATCTTTCCCTAAGATTATTGATTCATGCTTCTTTAGATTGTTTTGAAATTGACAAAAACTAATGATGATCTAAATCTGGTGTTGTTGTTGCAGATGTAATATTCTTGATATACTTGTACCAGAGATGGGTTTATCCTGTGGACAAAACACGTGTCAACGAGTTTGGTTTTGGAGGTGAGGATGAGTCTGTGGATCCCAGAAAGATCACTGACCAAGAAGATGACAAGAAAACAAACTAAAATACGCTTTTCTACTTTTCCAAATCAATTTTAATTTCTTTGTTCTGCCTTAGAAGTTTTGTTTTAGGCTTATATTATAAGGTAAATTTTTATTTTATAAGAACTTAATCATATGAGTTTATTTTAAAAATCCAGTATAGTCAAGAGATAAAAGTAACCATCATACGAGTTCATTTTATAAGAATTTAATCATATGAGTTTATTTTATAAAAACTTAATTCATGTGAGTTTATTTTATCAGCACAAGACAATATGAGTTTGGATAGAATAATCATAACAAGGGTTCTCCTCCATAGTTAAAATGCAATGTTGATCCAGACTATTAATTAATGTAACACTAATGAATGCAACAACATATATTTTGACTATTACATTGTCCATTTACAGTCCCCATTGAGGTGCAGAACTCAATGCATTTCAGCATCCCTAGCTGACATGGGTCTGACTCAAAACATTGAGTAAATTTTTCTCCAAATCTAAATAAACCAAAAAATATACATTTACAACAATTCAATAGTAAATCAACAAAAAAAAACACAGATATAACCAAAGCTTACAAGGCATGAGTTCCGGACTTTGACGACAATGAAAAGAGAAGATACCAACCATAATGGTAAGAGCAAACACCATCAACATTCTCTTAATGAAATCCATTATATTATTAATAAAAAGAATGTTCATAATCAAATAACAACATAATAAAGATTAGTTATTTAACATTATGTTACAACTGTAGAGTTCTTTTCTTAACAAAGAATCAAGAGTACATGTACATGTCACATCTTAATGAAGCTTAGTATGATATCTAAATATACCATTTAAAAATGTGCAAAATAATACTTGGGAAATACTTTTAGTAAAAAATCTGGAGAGAATAATTTTTACAAGGATATAATACTGAAAATAGATTTATATAACATTGATCAAGATCCCTATCCAATTTACAATAATGATAACTTTTGAATACCAAAAAAAAAAGATTTTTCAAATTTAATTTCTTTGTTCTGTCTTAGAAGTTTTGTTTGAAGCTTATATAAGATAAAATTTTATTTTTAAAGATCTTAAATCATATAAGTTCATTTTTGAAATACAGTATAGTTAAGATATAAAAGTAACCATCATAACATTTATCAGCACATGACAATGAGTTTGGATACAATAATCATAACAAGTGTTCTCCTCCTTAGTTAAAATGCAAGCTCAAACCAGACTTTCAATGTAACCCTAATGAATGCAACAACATATATTATCCCTATTACATTGTCCATTTACAGTCCCCATTGAACTGCAGAACTCAATGCATTTCAGAAACCCTTGTCGACATGGGCTTGTGTCGAAACATTGAGTAAATTTTTCTCCAAACCCTGGATAAAGCAAAGAATATACATTTAGAAGAATTCACAATAGTAAATAACACACAAATAACTAAATCTTACAAGGCATGAATTCCGGACTCTGACGACAATGAATAGAAGATATACCCAACATAGTGGTAAGAGCAAACACCATAAAAATTCTCTTAGTGAAATCCATAATATTATTGTGTAAAGAATGCTCATAATCAAAGAACAATCGACTCTATTTATAGATTAATTATTTAACTGTATGTTACAACTGTAGAGCTTTTTTTCTTGATATAGAAGTATATATATTTGTTTCTTTGTTTTTGTTCAAAGTATATAATTTGTTTCTTGTTTAAATATTTTCAACATATTCAAAGTACAAAGCACAAGGACAATACTTCTCCAACTGGCATCTTATAACGATCGGTGTGATATCTAAATATACCATTTAATTTAGATAATTTACCTGATAAAAATTGGAAAAATATTTTTAGAGATGAACATAATAGTTTTATAACTTAAGAAAATTTTTGTAAATCTCGATAATATTATTTTAGAAGTCGGTTTACTATGTTCACGTTCAAATTTATTCTAACAATAGTTAATTACAAAGAAATCTTTAGTGAACTAAAAGTATTATATCTAATTATCATTATTAAAAATTATTAATAACTTTATTGATCAATGTTTTAGTTTAATTTATTTTTCTTATATGCTCCCAATAACATGTATAAATAGGAAATATTCATAAATAAATAAACGAAAAATATTATTTAAGAAGGCTAGAAAACCTCTTTTGTTAAATATATTTTACATAAATATAACACAAAATATTTTTTAAATAATGTTATACCATTAAAACAAAATTTCACAAAAAGTTAATCTTGATATTAAAAATCAAATTTTACTAAAGAGATCCCTTTATTAAATATTAATAAAATAATTCCAACTTTTGTTTAAAAATAACTTTATTTTTTTTTTTTTTTTTTTTTTGAATTGAATGTTAAATTTAATTCAAAAGAAAAAATACATTGCAATACAACTATGTGTATCTTTTCCTATCTGTTTTAATCAAAAGCAGAAGAACTAGAGTTTTTTTGAAAAAGAAAACTTGAAGAAGACTCAACAGCTTATTTTCCCTCGCCTTTTACCTGCTTCCAACATCCATAACAATTATACTCAGCTCTCACTCCTACTGAGTATACCAGCTCTCACTCCTACTGGAACCAACCTCAACACAAGTCTATTTAGCTCTCACTCCTACTAAATAGCCAGCCCTCACTCCTACTGGAACCCAACTTGCATCAAGCCAAAGATACTTCCATTCTCCACACTTCACTTCATCTCGAACCAAACCAGAATCCCATACCACTTTCTAGCTCTTTATCACCTTTCCTCTTAATAATTGTGTACTTATTTCTCAGATTTTTATCAATCAGTTTGATCAATAACGTTGTAGAGGAGGAAGGTTCACCATGTCTCCTCTTATTTCTCTCTCTCCATATTGTATGAACCGTAGATTGCAGAATGTATCTCAGCGTGAAGAGTTTTACTTTACCCATTGTATGATCCAGCGCCAACTCAATAACTTCTTGCCAGTTTGTAGTGAACTGATTTCCAAGAACACCTCTCATCAGAGAATCCCATATCTGTGAAGAATATGGGCATTCAAAAAAGAGATGTGCAGTAGTCTCAAGTGGAACCTGACAGAACACACAATCAATTCTTGTATCTCCATTCCAGCTTCTCATTCTTTCTCCCGTAGGAAGCTTACCACGTAATGCAGTCCACAACATGAAGGCGTATTTAGGGGTGTAGTGCTTGAACCATACCATCTTGTACCAATAACAATTCAAGTTACTCTCACGAATAACAAGCCACGTCTCTTTAGCTGAGAAAACATTCTTATACACTCCTTTACTATTCATCCATTTGGAGACATCTTCCTCTTCCGTAAAATTAGCTTTATAGATCTCAATCTCCTTTTCTACACTATTCAGAATAGCTAAGCGGTGATTTCTCTTTTTATGCCTTCTACAATCAACCACCTTCGCGTTTACAGAGATACCCAAGTCAATATAACCTCTATCTCTCAAAGCATCTTTCAGACAACCAATCTTGGACCAAGAATCATACCAGAAGCAAGCCTTTTGCCCATTCTTCACTTCTACTTTGTAAAAACGTTTCGCCACCTCTCTAGTTTTCAACAGTTTTCTCCAAACCCAGGAACCTGTTTGAGTAACTTCCTTAACAGACCAAATAGACCCTTTCCTGATCAGATACATCTTGATCCAGTTCACCCATAAAGTGTTAGCTGATAACACCCTCCAAATTAGTTTAAGACTGCATACTAAGTTAACCTCTTTCAGCCTTCTTATACCTAAGCCACCTTCTTGCTTCAACATACAAACATCCCTCCATGACACACGAGCTCTTTTACCATTTAAATCAGTGCCAGACCATAAAAAAGCTGAACATAGTCTTTCCACTTCTATGATACAGGCACTTGGTAATTTAAACGCCGCCATCCAGAAGTTAGCTAGACTAGTAATAACAGAGTTTATTAGTTGCAATCTTCCAGCATAAGACAAAAATCTGTTTCTCCAAGAACTTATTTTCTTTCTAATCTTCTCAATCAGAGGGAGAAAATCTGATACCGTCATACACTTTGTAAGGAGGGGTAGACCCAAGTAACGAACCGGGAGAGCTCCAGCAGCAAATGGGAAATGATGCAAAATCTCCTCTTGTTTCTGACTAACAATACCAGCCATATACAGAGTCGACTTTTCCAAGCTTATTTTTAGACCTGACATTCTATCAAACTCATCAAAAACTCTCAATATCCCCTCCACTGATCTCTGAGTCCCATCTGCAAATATCATTAAATCATCCGCGAAGCATAAATGGGTAAGATTGAGGTTTCTGCATTTCGGATGATAACCAATTAAACCTTTCTTTGCTGCTTCATCAATCATCTTGGAGAGTACGTTCATACTGATTACAAACAGATATGGTGACAGAGAACAGCCTTGTCTCAATCCTCGGAGACTCTGAAAATAACCAGCTAACTCACCATTTATTTGTACTGAAAAGGAAGCCGTTGTAATGCAAAGGGATATCCAGTGTAAAAACTTCTCCGGGAGGCCTAAAGCTTTTAAAGTATTTAAGAGAAAACCCCATTGAACCGAGTCAAAAGCTTTGGAGATGTCAATCTTCATTGCACATCGAGATGAGATGTTCTCCTTGTGGTAATCTTTCACTAGCTCAGTAGCTAATAGAACATTCTCCATCAAGAGTCTTTCCTTGATAAATGCAGATTGGTTGATCGCAATGCATTTAGGAAGGATCATCTTCAATCTATTAGCAATGATTTTGGAAATTACCTTATAGAGAACATTGCAGCACGATATAGGCCTGTAGTCCTTCATCTCCTTTGCATCTGTTTTTTTCGGAATCAGGGCTAAGATTGTAGAGTTTAACCCTTTTGGAAGGAATCCTTTAATGAAAAAGGATTGGATCGCCACCGTGACATCATCACCAATTACTGGCCAAGCATCCTGAAAAAACTCAGAAGTAAACCCATCTGGTCCAGGAGATTTATACTTTGCCATCTTAAATATAACTCCTTTTATCTCCTCATTCGTGACCTCCTTTTCCAGCTTAAGACAATCCTCCTCAGAACAATGGAACCCCAGCAGCTCCCTTAGTCTGTCCAACTCTGCACCTTCATGATCGCTTGGTTGGAAATTAAGAAATCCAGAAAAGAAACTCACAGCTTCCTCTTTGATATCCTCTTGCACTGTCACTATCCTACCATCCGCACATTGTATCTCATGAATAGCATTTCTTACTTCTCGAATCTTGACTGAACTGTGAAAGAATTTATTATTACCATCTCCCACATCCAACCAGTGCATCTTTGCTTTTTGCTTTAAAAAGTCTTCTTCAAGTGCTGAGAGTTTTTCCCATCTTGTGAAAGCCCTTACCTCCTCCTGAATTTTCTCTTCACTTGGATCCACTAGAGTATCATTTTGCTTAACACACAAATCCTCAAAAGCTTCTCTGGTTTTCCTTGGTAACTCCCCCATTTTAGACTTACTAAGAGATCTCAAAGGCTGTTCTAAGTCCTTTAAATGTTTAGTAAGTCTAAATAGCGCAGAGGTTGAATGAAAAAGCTTTTCATGACAGCTCCATTGATCTCGAATTAAGCTCTCAAACTCCGGCATTCTTCCAATAGCATTCGTGAATTTGAACGGTTTCCTTTTCTTGCCCTCCTCTTTTTTCAGATGGATTCTACAACGTAGATGATCTGAGCACCCTCCAGATTCAAAAACACTATAAGCATGAGAACCATTTAACCAAGCTTCATTCACAAGCACTCTATCTAACTTCTTGCAAATCAACCCTTCTTGTCTCTTATTACACCAGGTATAAAGCGGACCTTGATATCCCATATCCGTCAATCTGCAATAACTAACCACATTTTGGAAATCTCTCATACCTGCAGAGATCCTTGGTGAATTATCAAAATCAGAGTGCTCCCTGCCTTCCAAAATCTCGTTGTAATCTCCCATAATAACCCATTTTTTATTTTTAAACATGGGAGCTTCAAAATGGTTTCTCATATCTTCCCATAACTCCTTCCTCTCCTCTACTGTGTTCAAAGCATAGATAAAAGAGCAGAAGAATTCTTCAGTTTCTCCATGCAAAAGAACAGAGCACGTAATCATCTGACAGCTTTTGTAAACCGGCAGCATTCTCACATCTTCTTTCCAAACCACCCATAATCTTCCTAATCTACTAAACTCATAATTAGAAAGGAAACTCCAGCCATTAAACACATCCGAAACAATCTGTGGAGCCTTCTTCTCCTTTACTCTAGTTTCAATAATACATCCAAAATGAAAGGAACGATCTCTCACCCAGTTACGTACCACGGTATGCTTATTGTTTTTGTTAAAACCGCGTACGTTCCAGAAGAAACCAGCCATTAGGATTGTTTACGAGTACCCCTCTTCTTGCCAAGATCTTTCATCTTGACCTGATTCGAGGTAACCGTTAACACCTTATGCTTCAGCTTTGACTGTCTAGGTAGCATCTCTCTTCCTTGATGTTTCCCAATAAGCTCTTCTAACTCAGACATCTCATCCCCCGTACTACCTTCCTCCTCAATCTCTTTATCCAACATATCTTCCATAATTTCCTCATCTTCATCTTCTTTAACGCTCAATGCGTCAAATCTTGATGAGGTAATAATTTTCTCAAATTGCTGCACCTCTTTTAGACTAACACTGTGACTAGCTTTTTCTGGAGTGACCTTTTTCCAAGGTTCCTTAATTTGTCCCTCTTCAATTTCCGCATCTACCTCAACCACCTCATCACTTTTAATAACCTCTTGTTCCTTCTCATTAACCTCCTTCTCTTTCACTTCAACATTCTCATCTTTCTTCTCCATTTTTTCCTCCTTTTCCTCAGAGCAGAACTGCTTATAGTGACCCCAACGACCACAAGCAGAGCATCTCGGTGGGAGCCATGGGTAATAGAATTTGACCGTAGTTTCTTCACCTTGGATAGAAAATGTTATCTCCTTAGGAAGCTCCTTTGTCATATCAGCATTCACAAAAACTTTTGCAACCTCAAAGTTAGAGCAAGCTATGGTTTCCGGATGCAATCTTTCTGGTATACCTGCAGCACTAGTAATGAAACTCAGCCCATCCCAGGAGTACATACTCATAGGAACCTTCGTTAAGTGAACCCATAGAGGGAGCAACTTCGCTTTTGATTCATCTTCCTTAGGAGACCACTTCGAAACCACCATAGGTACACCCGCTATATTCCACATTCCTCTCCGTACCACTCTCTCCCTCATCACAGCATTCGGAACTCTTATTCTCATTGTTGTTGAATCTACCTCATAGACATCGATCTTCTGTGTCTTATCTCCCATCACCCAGATTTTATTCAAAATAACATGGACCTTAGCGATATGAGGTGCTGTTTCCAGAAACTTCGCTATCACAAAATCCTCCCACAACGGATTACCTTTTTCGATTACATCTGCCGGAACCTCCACCGATTGCTTCCCATCGGACACTGAAATTTCGAAATCGTACTTCTTCAGAGTTTGTTTCTTCTGCGTAACTTCCACATAGGACTTCTTCGGACTACCCGGAGGCGGTGGATCCTCCGTCGTACTCATCACAACTGCCAAAGAGCAGCGATGATGATGAACCTCCAAGATTCGGGAATCGCCTTCAATCGCCTTCGAAATCGCCTTCTCTTTTGTTACCAAAACGCTGCGTTTTTCTTAAAAATAACTTTAATACGTAGGCCGTAGTTTATAAGCCCAATACATTACGTCAGCGTTAATATGATATAACAGAATCCATATTAAAGTCCAACACTGATTACGCGGGAAGTGTGGGCACGCGCGTGGGAATGAATCAGATCAAACAACTCCACGCGCACTGTCTCAAAACTTGCCTAGACGAAACCAAAGATCTCTTACAACGATTACTTCGTGTTCCTAATCTTGTCTATGCCCGAAAACTCTTCGATCATCACACAAACCCTTGTATCTTCCTCTACAACAAGCTGATCCAAGCTTACTCTGTCCACGACCAGCCTCATGAATCTATCTCCCTCTTCAATCTCCTCTCCTCCGATGGACTCCGACCAAATCACCACACTTTCAATTTCGTTTTCGCCGCCTCTGCTTCGGTTTCGTCGGTTCGAACATTACGGATGCTTCATTCGCAGTTTTTAAGGTCTGGGTTTGAGTCTGATTCCTTCTGCTGCACTGCTTTAGTCACTGGATATGCAAAGGTAGGAGCTTTATGTTGTGCACGGAAAGTGTTCGATGAAATGCCTAAGCGAGATGTACCAGTGTGGAATGCGATGATCACGGTTTATAAGAGCCAAGGTGATATGAAGGCGGCGATGGAGCTGTTTGATTCGATGCCTTGTAAGAATGTGATCTCGTGGACTAGTGTTATATCTGGGTTTTGTCAGAATGGGAATTATGCTAAAGCTTTAGCGATGTTTTTGTGTATGGAGAAAGATAAATCTGTGAAACCTAACCATGTTACTGTGACTAGTGTTCTTCCCGCTTGTGCGAATCTAGGAGCGTTGGAGATTGGGAGAAGGTTAGAAAGATATGCTAGAGAGAACGGGTTCTTTGATAACATTTACGTTAGTAATGCTACACTAGAGATGTATTCTAAATGTGGAATGATAGATGTAGCTAAACGGATTTTTGATGAAATCGGAAAGCAGAGAAATTTGTGCTCATGGAACTCCATGATCAGTAGTTTAGCTACTCACGGGAAACACGACCAAGCTTTAGAGCTCTATGCACAAATGTTGGTGAGTATTTTCTTCTTGTCGTTGCATTACAAGATGTTGGTTTCTGAAAAGTTTTAAATTTATGACTCTCTGTTGCTACTGCAGCGAGAAGGAGGGAAACCTGATGCAGTGACATTTGTTGGGTTGCTACTAGCTTGTGTTCATGGTGGGATGGTGGAAAAGGGCAAAGAATTGTTCAAGTCCATGGAGGAAGTTCACAAGATTTCCCCAAAGCTAGAGCACTACGGATGCATGATCGATCTCTTAGGGCGTGTTGGGAAGCTGCAAGAAGCCTATGATATCATCAAAACAATGCCGATGAAGCCAGATGCTGTCGTTTGGGGAACCCTTTTGGGTGCTTGTAGTTTCCATGGCAATGTTGAGATAGCAGAGATAGCCAGCGAGGCACTGTTCAAACTTGAACCTTCCAATCCAGGTAACTGTGTGATCATGTCAAATATCTACGCCGCAAATGAGAAGTGGGATGGGGTTGTGAGGATGAGGAAGATGATGAAGAAGGAAACAATGACAAAGGCTGCTGGATATAGCTATCTTGTGGAAGTAGGAGTTGAAGTTCATAACTTTACAGTGCACGATAAATCACACCCAAGATCTTATGAGATCTATCAGGTTCTTGACGAGATCACCAGGAGAATAAAACCAGACAAGAGTTACTTTGACTCCAAAACAATGACCTGAGTCTGTTGAATTTCTGTGATTTACTGAATTTAGTGTTTTCACATTCTTATATTCAATTTCATATCAAACTTTGTTTTGTATACAATCTCCTGAACATTAACAAAGTTTCAGCGAGGTTAAAACCATATAAAGATTAATATCTTTCTTATTTGAGCCTCGTAAAAATCCCACAAAGTAATAAAAAGAACTCGCTCAAGGAATACTCACTACATCCTTTACACAACTTTCTTACACCTACACTGAGAGCACTATTATAACAAAGGTATTTTCGACGTTACCTATGAGCAGTTGGTGTCCTTGGCATGGTGTAGGGCATCTGAGCCATGTTCATTGGTGCACCAGGAACCACTGATCCAGGTACTGGAGCAGCATGGACTCCATAAGCCATGTGAGGCGGAGCCGGGAGGTTCACAGGTGTTCCAACTGCTGAAACCAACGGTCCACTTACTGGTTGACCTATGGTGGGTGTTCCATACATGGGAGGACCAGGTGGTGGTTGCGAGGAGGCTTGCTTGGCTGATTTGTTTCCTCCTCCAGCAATAGCAGGAGAACCGGCGTTGTTGTTCTGACCAGTGATCGGTCCTTGTGGCGTTGAGACATCTGCGTCGCCAACACTAGTAATGTCGTGAATGCTTGATCGTCTTCTGTCTTTGTTCATTGAGTTTTGACGAATGAAATACTTTTGAGCGTGGCTGGCTACTTGGGTAGGTGTTCTTGTTACAACAAAGTTACGAGAAATGCTACGCCAATCACCTTTCCCGTACTTATCCAAACCAAGAAGAAATAACCTGCAACACAGAAGAGACAACAACATTAGTTCATCACAATATTGCATATGCGCCTGACCTTTAACAAAACCATTAGCGCTTTGAAGAGAGTAAAAGCGAAGACTAAACAATTAAAGTAATATTTTTCTTGTTCCTTTCTAAAAGGAAAGTGGGGTTTTCCAATAACGGAGGTGGACCGTCTAACTATCCTTTTTTTCTCCAGGTTTCAGCATGATAAAAAACAGCATCTAGCTACAGTAAGTGGTGGAAAAATATGGTCAAAATGGTCCCATGGGTTAGATAGCATCTCCCCATCATCTCTAACATGGTGGATGTAATGATATAGCAGTTAAGACAGGGAAGTAATGAAAATTTTATGAGGACAGCTCTCTCTGTTCAATGCCAAGTTATACTTTCACAAGTCCCCCTATTTTTTTTTTACAAAATCATGATAAATTTAACAAGCATCCTCTAGAGTTAGTTACCTTGGGCAAGTCCTCCTATAAAACTAAAACCAAGAACCTAAGAGTTCCTGTGAAAATCTTGCTTTTAAGCACTACTAATTCAAAAAAAAAAAAATCGAACTTGCTACAGGTTCACAAGAAGATTAACATCCAAGGATGCCTAAATTTTATCACCTAGAGCGATCTTAATACAAAAAAATACTAAATGAAAGAGAATAAGAAGCAAAAGGACCATAAAAGAAACAAAAGAACAACCTGTGCTCATCCTCAGACCAGGCAATACCCTTTCGTCGTTCTTGATCTGCCTTCCCTTTGCTCCCTTGATCATGACTGTTACCTCCTCTCTTAATGCTTCCTCCATCATCACCAGCATCCTCAGGAGGAGAAGGGTAGGAAGGAAGTGGGACAAATCCTGATTCAATCCTACGAACATCTTCAACTAAAACCTCGTAATGCTCTTTAATCTGTTCAACACTCTTCCCTGGAACATCAGCAGCAATCTTCTCCCACTTCTCCTCTGATTCTTCATCTGTATAATAATTAGCAATAGCTCTCTCAAACGCAATATCATCTTCCCTACTCCACGCAGAACCATCACTAACTTCCTCTACAGTCATTATTTTTCCAATCAAACCTACAATTTTTACCCTAACCCCTCTCCAAAACAACAAGAATTTGTGTAAAGTTGGAGACTTTTAGCGTTCTAGAAACTAATCAGAGATCCAACGAGACTAGAGAAATGATATATATAGAGAGAGAGAATCTCGGAAGATTATATAAGAAGAGGAATCGGGAGAGGGAATCTAATTCCCTATAATTAAGGGCGATAAACCCTACAAAGAAAAAAGATATCTTTTTGGTGTACTCTTCTAGTGAGGAGCTAAGAACAGAGCAGCGAAGAGAGATGATCCTGTTCTGAAGATATAGAAATTAAAAGGGAGAGTGAAAAGGAAATGAAATTAGGGGTTTTTAGGAGAATTGCGACGAGTTGAAGGAGGAAGAGGAGAGAGAGTCAAAACGCCATTGTTGTTAAAAGAGGGGAAGTTCAAACAAAAATTAAAGAAACAGAGCGCCCACACCATTGATAGCTACAGTTTCTACACAGCTCAAGTTCGCTGTTTGTATGTCTTTTTATTCATTTTGTTTTTCTTCCCTTATTATTTTCTCTCTTCATTTTTTTTTTTTGTGATTTTCACTTTTGTTGGTAATTATTATGCTAAGTAAATAAAAAACTACTATACCAAGTAAAATTTTCTTTTGACCAGATTATATGTACCAAGTTATTTTACTTTTTGGTGAGTTTCCTCTACTTTGTTTTTCCACTTTCATAATGCTATAGCATGTGCAAAGATATATTTCTGGTGACATTTGGGGTCCTAGGCAATCATTGATGAATAATAATTACTTTTTTGTACTGTCTTGTTATCATTCTTGTTGTTAGACATATAAAGAATTACAGACTGTTTGGAAAATTGTTCAAACCAATTACAAGAGCTAATTTTAAATAACTAAAACATATAAGTTGCTTTCTTACCAGAAAAGCAAACATATAAGTTGCTTATGAACTAAAATTTCCGGTTTATGCAATATATGAATTAGTGGCTAGCAATTGACACTTGAAGCGTTTACAAATAGTGTATTCAGTTCAGTTGGTATGAAAATATTTGATTTTTTACAACCTCTCTTGATCTCGTAATGTTATCGGTTAGGTAAAAACTTGAAAAAATGGAAATAAACTCCAGAGGTGGACAAACAAGTCAGGGAAGATGGTGATGGGCGTCTTATCCATTAATATCCACCAAACCAGACCGGTCCCTTTCTCTATTTGTCCAATTCACAGGTCTGTGTACCCATTTATCTTTTCCTCTTTCTTATGCTTAACATATATGAGAATAGTCAGTCACACATAGATTAAGACTCTACCAGTTGCGACTTAATCACAATGATACCGACAACTACCATCTAGATATTTTTTTTGTACACAACAAGCCAAAAAAGAACCACATTACTATCTAAAACCCAAAACAGGAGCATCCTTTATTTCAAACATTTTGTAAGGTTTTGTTTGGCTGTTCCCAAAATGTGCTCTCAATAGTCATATAAGGAAACACTGAAAGAAAGTAGAGTAAATAAAAGAGAAAATGGATCTCTTTCTGATACAACTTGAACAAAGTTTTAAAATGAAACCATTTAAACAAATGCATTACCTTTATAGAGTCTGCTTCAGATTTTATTTCCATGGAGAATAATAGCAAATTCCCTGGAAAAAGGTATATAAGACTTATTAAGGACCAAATAAACTACAGAGCCTAGAAAAGTCACTTTACCATTTCACCAAAAAAAATCAACTTAGGTTGGGTGACCATCTAGATCTTTGTAATTTTACAACAGGAAATTAAAAGAGAGCAAGGATTGGAGATGCAATCATGCAAACCTGTCGTTAACAAGGGTTTTAAGCAGCAGCCTGTAGCAACTCCCTTTCAGCGCGCTCCCTGATCCTTCTCTCAAGCTCCGGCCTAAAGTGCCTTATCAGACCTTGGACGGGCCATGCAGCTGCATCACCCAATGCACAGATTGTGTGTCCTTCGATCTGCTTGGTTACCTCTTGAAGCATATCAATCTCTTCCAGCTTTGCGTTGCCAACTTTCATCCTCTCCATGATCATCCAGAGCCAACCTGTTCCCTCTCTGCAAGGAGTGCACTGCCCACAGCTTTCATGCTTGTAGAAGTAAGAGAGCCTTGCAATAGCATCCACGACATCGGTTGATTTGTCCATCACAATGACCGCTGCTGTTCCTAGACCTGATTGGACAGCCTTGAGAGCATCGAAATCCATCAGCACATCCTCACATACGTTCTTAGGAATCAAAGGGACAGATGAACCTCCAGGAATGATAGCAAGCAGGTTGTCCCATCCACCCCTAACACCTCCACAATGCCTCTCAATCAGTTCCTTGAGAGGGATACTCATCTCCTCTTCAACGGTACATGGCTTGTTCACATGGCCCGATATGCAAAACAGCTTTGTCCCAGAGTTATTCTTCCTACCAAAACTCGAAAACCACTCAGGTCCACGCCTTAAAATGGTAGGAGAAACAGCCACTGTCTCCACATTGGTAACAGTTGTGGGACAACCATATAAACCAGCATTAGCAGGGAACGGAGGCTTCAACCTAGGTTTCCCTTGCTTCCCTTCAAGGCTTTCAAGAAGCGCAGTCTCTTCACCACAAATATACGCACCTGCTCCAAAGTGGATGTAAACATCAAAGTCATACCCAGAACCACATGCGTTCTTCCCCAAGAGACCAGCTGCATATGCCTCTCTTCTCGCCTTCTCTAGATTCAAACGTTCATTCACATACTCACCCCTGATGTAAATATAAGCCGCACTAGCTCTCATCCCCACACCAGCAATCAAACACCCTTCCAACAACTTGTGAGGGTCATGACGCATGATCTCCCTATCTTTACAAGTCCCAGGCTCACTCTCATCAGCGTTGACAACCAAGTAAGAAGGACGCCCATCAGAGACTTTAGGCATAAAGGACCACTTAAGACCAGAAGGGAAACCAGCACCACCACGTCCACGAAGACCAGACTTTTTCATCTCATTAACAATCCAATCAGTACCCTTGAGCACCAAATCTTTGGTCCTATGCCAATCACCTCTCTTCATCGCCCCTTTGAGAAACGGGTCGTGGAGACCATACAGATTAGTAAAAATCCGATCTTCATCCTTGAGACCACCGAAATGAGTCTTCTCCGGAGGCGGAGGAGGTGGAGGTGGTTGTGGAGTGGTGGAAGTGGATGCCGCTTGGGTGCTGAATGATCTCAAAGCTGGAGCCAATCTGTTACTTCCCTTCCAAACTGATACTGCTCTCTGCAAACCAAGAATCCCCCTCACAGGTGCCTGTCATGGGATGCATAGAACATAAAGGTTAGTTTTTTCTTTTCACAAATATTTAAACGCGAAATAATTGAAAACAAAATCTATATTTCAACATTTAACCAAACAAAACATACAAAGGAAGTGAATAAACTCAATCTCTGTAAACGCATCGACAATCTCGAGCAGATCAAAATCAAGTTCCAAACAATCACAATCCGGTAGATCTATATATAATAAATATCGCATTTTGCAATCATTTAGCTAAAATTCGAAATAGATGCAACAGAAATCAAGTCTTAGATTCCAAAAACCCTAACATTTGCGATCGAGAAAAAAAAAAGATGCAAAACCTAGAAATGAAAATGAAGATCATCAAAGAGACTACGAGAAACAGATTTCTTACCATGGATACGAAATTTTGGCGACGAAATCGGATACAGAGAGACTTAGCTGTTCTTCTCTTTAATCGAGAAGGGGATATAAAGGAGGAGGAAGAAGTGTGTCGCGTGTACGCACTGAGTTTATGCCCACCTGAGTCCAACGAAACCTCAGATTCACTGTGGCTCAGATTAGTCCGCGTCTACTATATCTTATGGGCCTTTATTGGGCCTCACCTAAATAAATAGGCCCGTTAGCTTTAAAAATTGGTTTAAATATAACTAACTAAGACGCTCAACCGCCACACGCCGGCGACAAGAAGAAGCGGTGGTTCGATAGAGAGATAGCAAATCGTTATTTGGAGCCTCGAAGCGAATTTCGATAACCTCGCCTCCTTCGATTCTAGGGTTTCGTGATCTGATTTTGCTCGGGAGACTGCTTGAGTTTCTCGTCTTTTCTGGTAAGTATATCTCTATTAATTGAACCTTGTAATCTTCAGGATCAACGGTTTTATGAAAATCTCCATGCTTTGCTTTTGAATTCGTGTTACCAGTTATCCCTAGACACGAATCAATATAAGGAATTGTGAGCTTGGCTTCCTGATCTGGCGACAATCTGAATTGCTAAACCCTAATATTAAAGTGACTAACTTTCATTCCAATTTAATTTCCTGAAGGTTTGATTCATTGTAGTCTATGTGACTAAGATTCCTTGATGAATAAGAAGAATGTTTATTTGATATTTTTTGTTGACAATTGAGTTTACTGAATGTAGGTGTTAAACTCTATGGGTGAGTCTGTTGGATCAAGCAGCTCATGGGCTGCAATCAGTTCTTCCAACATTGGGTTTCAGGTATTTTTTGTTAAGCAGTGTTCAGTTATGGGATGTGTTTTTTTTTTTTTAAAATACTCTTAACTGGTGATTAACCAATTGTGTGAAATTGGAATGTACAGCTCCTAAAGAAGCAAGGTTGGAAGGAAGGCACTGGTCTTGGAGTCGCTGAACAGGTAAACCTCATATGTGATCGATTTATTTGTTATATGGTGTCTTTCTCCAGAATGTTAGACTTGTTAGTTGTATGAATAACTTGTTATTTCGAATTTCTTGTGTACTATCTTGCTGTCCCTTATTTGAAACTCTACCAGTGAATTCGTTTACGGAATGAAATCTGTTTTTTTATCTGCAGCCAACAACAAAAGATACACTCAAGTTTCAGTAGAAAACTTATGTTTTGAGTTATTTTAGAATCGCCCTAAAACGTTTGTGTTAACTTGCGTTCCGACTTAGGTTGATTTACTCTTGCGTTGTTGTTTCTAATGAGTCACGTTCATTATGAACTAGTTGCTGTATTTAAGTATTCATGTGTTTCTAAAAAGATTTGGTGTTTTTTCCACAAACAGGGTATATTGGTGCCAGTACAAACAGAGCCGAAAAATAACAAACGAGGACTGGGAGCTGTTGTAGTTGAAAAACCAACCAAGAGAAAAGCCGTGAAAGCTACAGATTCTGGAAAGGTATGTTTTTAAGCTTTTCATATTCAACAAGTAGAAGTTTGATAGGTTCCTCCAATGCACATGCCTCTCCAATCTCTCTAAATGCGTATATCTAAATCTTTTTCTTACTGTATAAAATTTTCAGGAGGAAAAAGTCTCTAAGCAATCGAAGAAACTTTCAAAGAAAATGCGGAAGTTGATGGAGCACGAAAAACAATTACAGGAAAAAGAATTCGAACGAGCCTTCTTCAGGGAGTTCTGGCCTGATAATGTATAAGATTGATGCTCAAAAATTGTATATGCTTAGTAGTCTTAGAACTCAGCTTTTGAGACTGTTCCTTAATCTACTCTTTTGAGTTCCAACAGCCCACAAACAAAACCAAAAATTATTTTTTTTACATTTTTAATATGATAAAAGAAAAGAGAATGAAATTATGTATAGACAAAGGAAAGAAAATGGTTTCCTTGCAAAATTCTAATTTGTATGTTCATGCAATGTGCCTCGCATTGCCTTTCTACGCATCTAAATATTGCAAATTTATCAGACTTACCAATAAAAAGAACAAGTATTTATCTGTCTGCTGATTTTTCTTTTTTGTCGACCTGCTGAATTCACTTGTACTGTGGTAGTAAAAGTAATTTTCTTTTCGTCAGTAATTTAATTTAATTTAGAATCTATTCGGTCAACCTATATGGGCCGAGGCCCAATTAAACAGTGTTCTAAATCATGCTTCGTCACCTACTCACTCACCTTCGGGGTATAGTACTCGATAAGCCGCTTCCGTACAGCTCCGCCGCATCCGAAGCCAAACACCAAAAAGCTTCCTCATCAAATGGCGTCCCTTCTCCTACCTTCATCTCGACTTCTTCTCCCGACACAAACTCAACACTACTCTCAACCATCACTCCTCCCTCGCTCCTCCTCCCCTAAAACACCATTCCTCGTCTCCTTACCCTCCCTCCGTCCCTCGAAACCAAATCACCTCTCTACTTCCGCCTCAGCCTCAAAGAAACCTTCGGAGATTTCCTCTACGGAGAACAAAAAACAAAAGAGTTCTAACGACGTGGAAGAAGAAGAAGAAGTAGAAGAAGATATGTTGTGGATTCAGGAGAAGGCATTAGACCTAGTGGAGTTCACTGGTTCGGTAACTCAAGCGCTTCCAGGTCCCCGAGTTGGTAGCAGCAAGTTGCCGTGGATCCTCGCTGTTCCGTTAGCTTACCTCGGAGTCACTTTCGTAACTGCTTTCGTGAAAACCGTTAAGAAGTTCTCTTCTCCTAAAGCTCAACGCAAGAAACTGGTCTGGTCTCTCACTCTCTGTTCTCTTTTCTCTAAAGAAAAAAATAATAATAGGGGAATTCAGTTTAATAAGTTGTTAGATGATTTTAGATGAAGTGAAAAATTTATTATGATTTTAACTGATCTGATCTAATAACTAAACTTATGAATTAACCGGTAATGATGATTCAGTGTCTTGTTTGAATTTTATCTCTCCAGGTGAATCAGAATGCAATGTTGTGTAGATCTATAGATGAGATGTTACAGAAAGAAGGAACAGTGGATAGCTCTGAGCTTAAGGCAATTGAAGAAAAGGTGTGAAAACTTTATGCTTTTAAAATCATTTAAATGCGGAACTTAATATGAGAATGATGTTTTTGGTTTTTGTGTATATTCAGACAGGGTTTAATATGGTGGAGATATTGAGGAAGTATATTCGTTATGCTTTGAATGAGAAACCGTTTAATCCTGACCTTGTTGCAAGTCTTATTCATCTCAGAAGAGCTTCTGGTTTGGAGGATTCTCAGATTCCTGAGGTTTTGAATGAGATCTCTCGTCGTATTGTTAAAGAGAAAGGTATGATTAATTAACAACATACTTCTCTTTAAGCTCTTCTTCATTTGTTAGAGTTTTGGCGTATTTGGGGTTTGCAGGTCCTGTTGTGATGAATATGCAAGGGTTTACGGAGAAGGGGTTCAAGAGAAAACTCGCCGTGCAAGCGCTTTTTGGGAAAATTTACTATCTTTCCGAGGTAATGAATTTGGGAACGTTACACTCTTTCAACATATATATGATGATCTGATTATGAAACCGACAACTATGCATAGAATGTTTTGTGTGTTGTTATGGATTATTCTAACTTTTTTCTCGGTTCAAACAGCTTCCTGACTTCTGCTCAAAAGACAACTCATTGATAGTCAAGGAAATATTCGGAGTTACAGAGTAAGTTCTCTCTGACAGTCTCAGACTTAAGCTTCTTAAAAAGTAGTAAGAATATCTTATGCTTATGCAATGTTCCTTAACTTGTTTCTCTACAAAAAAAATCAGTGAAGACGCAGAGAAGCTGCGGATACACGCCCTTGCTGAAGCTGGAGATATTGACTCACTTGAGAAAATGGTAGAAGTCGAGAAAATGGCTGATTCTTCCTCGGATATAGAAGATACAAATGAAGAAGACGACACTACTACTGTTACCCCTTAAGATATCTGTTCACCAACCAACTATAATACTAAAGATTTTTTCAAGGGCTCTTTTCTTCTGCTCTCTGAGTTGATCACCAATCGAATAAATTGTCTTTTGGTATAGAGACGGCTTGTGTATTAGGACTTCCGAGATGCAGTACTTATGGCTTATATTAATTGAAAATTTGTATTTGCCATGTAACCTCATACAGATATGAAGAAATATTCTTTATATAAGCTCGTATACGCTCAGATGTTACATACATATAAAGCCAATGTACTAGAACTCCTGCATCCGCAAATGGCTTCCGATAAAATCTTGAAATGAAACATCCTCGAGAGATACGTGTATCTGATAACATTGAGGTTACAGATTTCTGAATTGATTTTGCAGTTTCCCACCAATAAAAGCTTTCATCACACTGCCTCCTTGAGATTGAATGTTCTGACAATTTCCCTGGCGTGATCGTGCTCGTGGACCTCAACTAGTATTCTCTTTAACCTGCGGGCAAGGCCAGTGGTTTCAGCGTCGTCAAGTCCTGATTCAAGCCTTTTCTCGAGAATTTTCCTTAGTGTCAGAATACAATCCACAAGAGGTTGCAACGGCCGGCTGCACAATCAAATAAAATATTTTAGTATGTGTGTCGAAATTGCAACATAAATGGTAAATTCCTAATACGAGATGCACAAATCTCCATAGCCTGACCAATATACTCCTAAAGTTCCTCGAATTTGCAAGATCAAGTATGTAGTACACATCTTAGTCCTGATTCGACAGCTATACTTTCTTTAATCTTGCATTGGTACTAATGAAAAACAATATGCAGACGGATTGTAAACTGAAATGGAGAACGAGATGCAAACGCCATAAGATGTGACTACAATGATGTTTCACTAATATGAACAATGAGAACTGCAACGTGTGAGAAAGTAAACTCTCGTCTCTTGAAAGAAGTCATTATTACCTGTGAGTTCTTGTGACGCTTTGTCCTGTCCATACTCCAGACAAAGAAGCAACGATCTTTTCAGTTCTTGTCACAGCATCATGGATATTTGATGCAATGCTTCTGACATGAGGTAGGACTTTTCCAAACAAAAGCTCACTCAGAGCCAAATTCTCCAGCACTGGAAGCGCCAGAATGTCTTTCCACATGCATATATTTTTCATAAGACGGACTGATGTTCCAAACCTATATGCTGCAACTTGTGGGGCATTTGGTACAGCCTTCAATATCAGAGGATCCCATGTCGGAACCTAGAGAACAAAGAAAGGATCATAAGATATTATCAGTCCAGTATACTCATAGCAGACTCAACAAGATTTTATAAGGAAAGTAAATTCAAATTCATACCGCAATAGCTGCTATGGCTTCAATAAGACGAGAACGAACAGCAGAAAATAGTTCTGCTAGGGCCTCGCTTGAAGCAGGAACATAATTTGTCACCAAGGTCGTTGCAGCAACAGCATTTTTTGTCTCCCGGGTACTAAGTATATCCCAACAACGAACTATCTGATGGTGCAATATAGGAATCGCAACTTTCTCCACTAGCTCAGGGACAAGGTTGGCATCAGTATCATCGGGTGCAAAATCATCACCATCTTCTGGCTTACCATAATCAAATAATAACCCATGCCTGCAGACATACATCACGAGTCAGATTAGTTCTACAAATCCGAGGTAAACAATGGGTTTAGTTTACACGCTAAGAGACTGATGCAGTAATGTCTACTGGTAAATTTAAGTAAAGTGTGTTTTTGGTATGAGTTTTTGGACAATATAGAAGATGGAAATCATGAATAGCTTACCATTCCATGTCAAAAAAATCCACGTCTTGATGAAGAGGATCCCATTTCAAAAGCTCCAATCTAACATAAGGAGAAAAAATGGAAGGAACGGTCAAAGACATGTAAGCATCCCGATAAGTAGATGAATAGTCTCGCTTCCACTTTTCAAATCTCGCCTTCACCATTGAAAGCTGGGAAAATTCCTCAGATGCATCACTGAAGACCTTATCAGCACACATAAGAATCTTATCTCTGATTGCCTTGTATGCTGAAGTCTCGCTGTCACTCTCATCAGTGCTTGATTCTCCTTCTATTTTCGAAGAAGATCCATCAATCTCCATGGCTGATGCGCGCTTATTTTCAAATCGAGCTCGCCTTTTCTGTCGTGCAGCAGCTCTCCTTTCCACTTCCCTACGCTTCTGCAAATTTTCATCCCTGCCCAATTCATCAAGCTTAACTGGTTGAGACTGCTGTCTTATAGAAGCAGCGGCAGCAAGCGCAGCACTTGTGGCAGCAGCAATCACTGAAGTACTGCTTCCTTGTTTGTTTATAACTGCCATAGCTGCTTTCACGGAGGCCCCTAGCTCTATCATCTCGTCATTGTTATCTGCAATTCTCCTTTCTAAAATAGATGAAGCATGTTTTTCATTAAGGTCCTTCATCCGATCTTCAATTTCTTCAATGTAGGAACCCTTTTCCTGCGAAAGAAAATTTTAAACAGAAATTAAGAGCAATCTAGTAGCAGCATTTTTTATAGTTAAATTATTATACTGATCGAAATGAAAGCATCAATGAAAATATGTTAGGGGTATACGTTGTCCAGTGAACCCATACAGCTCTGAATATGAAAGACATTGTGTTGTAATCAAACTGCAAGTGTCAAAGGACATATGCGCCAAGCGTACCTAGCTACTTAGATGGAACTATTGTTTGGGCTCATCTTAATGTAGCATAGCATCTAATATTATCTAGCTACTTAGATTAAGAGCAAATAGATAAATGTAGCATACTATCTAATATTATCTAGCTACTTAGATTAACCGTATCTAGCCACTTAGATTACGATCAAACAGATAAATGTAGCATAGTATCTACTACTAATTACTTTCATTTTTCTCTGGGGACATGATCTCAGAGACATCAAGAGATGCACTAAGAAAGCAGATGCTAATGAACTAACAAAAGTAAAAAGAGACAACCCTGCAACATAAGCAATATGTATACAACTACAAGCACAGCATTACATGAAAGCGACAGCGTACCTGCATGAAGTCGCAGATAACAGAAATGAAGTTCCTGAGTTTTTGCATAAAGACATACTTGTCTCCAGCTGCAGATAGAGAACTTTCAAGAGCTGTGATACTCATCAACGAAGCAGTCAAATTCTCATCTGTCTTGCTAAGCGAGGATATTGTTCTTGCATGAGATTCCTGCAAAATAATTCAAATAATTGCAGTTCATCACAAACTAAATTCAGTATAATCCATAACAAAAACTCAGTCTCATAACTAGCCAATACCAAATAAACAATAAGAAAACCTCTGCGTATGAGCTATGTTTAAAAGTTCACGTCAGTTAATAATCAAACTAGAATAACATTCTACAGTGATATTAATTAACTAAATCCTAAGAGAAGTAGCTAGATTTCGTAATCACGAAGAAGCCAAGTTCATAAAGCAAATACCTTAAGCCTCTTAACATTGTCTTGCAACGCCTTCTTGGCAACCTCAGCTTGTTGTGACATTGGTAAAGTATCAACACTAGTAGCTGGACCAATGGTAGGGGACACAGAAACATTCGGCATTGGTGCCCCAGCATGATAAGCATACCTCTGCGGTTGCTGTTGTGGATGCAAAGGCACACCAATTCCATTACTACTCGTAATCCTATTAGTTCCTTCATCCATTCTTTTACCAATACCTTTCTTAAACTGCTCCTCCTCCCACAACTTCTCTTCTTCATCCTCATCCTCATATAAACTATCTGTCCTGGACTCATTAACTGTAAACACAGATTCCACATTACCTTTGTTCGACACGACAAAACCTCCTTGAAAATCCGCATCCTCGTCGCTAGCAACTTCATTAACAGAACGATTCGTGGTGCTACAATCAAGTGATATGAAATCAGGTGCTGGCGTCGAACGTGGCTGCCTCATCTTCTCCCTCTTAGCTCTAGCTTCAATCACCGCCTTCTCATAGAAGGCATCATCAGCCCCCTCCGCTTCCTCTTCCTTATTGAAATCCAAATCCGAAACCTGTCTAACCACATCCTTCAAGCTCTCCTTCTCTTGTTTCTGCTGAGGTTTGATTAAGCCTTTAAGCACTACCTTCGGCTCGGTACTTACACTAGGGCGAGAATAAGGAAGTGTCCGTGTGTTCCTTTGGAGCTCGAGGAGTGCCTCTTTCGTATAAGCACCCGCCTGAGGAAGAACGTTGGAAGACGGAGCAACAGTGGAGGAGGAACGATGTTCCACGGTGGAAGAAGAGTTGAGTCTGTGAGAAGATCCAGAACTAGCGAGACGCGAAGAAGATTTGCTTCGATCTCTGGCGTTCTTAGGCTTTACGATTACACGCGGAGGTCCATCTTCGTCCTCTTCGTCGTCGGCGAAACTGAGTAGCTTCTTCTTTGGTTCTGAGGCTGGGAGTTTTTTAGGTTTTGACGAGGAAGGAGCTTGAGACGGTTTCGGCGCGGCGGTTGCGTCTTTGACGTCGTTTTCGTCGCCGTCGTCGTCTCCACGTCGCCGGAAATTTCTAGCACGGTTGCTTCCCATTCTCTCTCTAGCAATTAGGGATTTTGCAATCAGGATCGAATTTATGAATAATCGTTAGTTTTTTGTGATCCTGACAATTATATGAAAACTAGGTGATTTTCCCGTGCTCATGCACGGACATAAATATTTATAAAATAAATATATTATAATAATTTATTGATATTTACTCTAAATTTTAAAGTAATTTAGAATTTGTAGGTATAATTTATATTAATAATATTATATTAATTTAATTATACGTTTAATTTTAGATATGTTATATTTTGTCAATTTTATTGTTTTACGGTTGATTTAGTTATCATTTAGATATATTAGATTCTATCTATTTTTTTAATTCAACTATAAACTTTTTTATCCTAAATATATTAAATTTTTGATTAATTGTCTTATTTGCATTTATTCCGGTTGTTATCTTAGAAATATAAGTATATCTAGTAAGATTATGTATAACTTAAGATTTTTTGTGCTTAGAAAGAAAAAAATAAAAACTAAACTGTCTGATTCTAAATTACTTACATAAGTAACTAATACATTTTTGGAAGCTTATGAGCACATCAATATTTACAATATTTAGATTGATTGGATGAAAAACTGAAATTGATTTTAAATAATTTTAAAAATAAGGATTCTGATTTTTTTAAGTATTTTGATTATGGTTATATTAAGTTCAACAAACATAAAAACAGAAAGTAAAAATCAAAAGAGTTATTAAGAAAACATATAATTTTAACAATTAAAATATATTATATCTACTTTGTTAAAATATATAGTGTTATGATATTTTAAAATAACTGTAGTTATTTAATCAAAAAAAAATTATTATTAAAATTTATTTTTAGTTTTGTTTTTAATATCTGTTAAAATATGCAGTAAAAACATTTATCGTTTCGAGAAATTATATTATATAAGTAAAATAGAATTTATAGGTTTGTTGTATTGTGAGATATTATAGTCAAATAATATACCAAAAAACAATATATATATATATATATATATTTCAAGAATACAAATTATAAAAAAAAATTCAATTAAACATATATCAGTTTATGTTACTTAATTATTTCATGTAATCATCTAATAAAATAGATAGATATATACCAAAAAATTAATTACTTGAATATATTATATATACGTTATTGTTTAAAATTATTTTTTTAAAGAAAAAAATATTTCTTTTTCTAATATCAAGGTTAGTTGTGTGAAATTTTTTATGTAATCACATTATTTACACATATTGTTTTTCATCTAAGAAGATATAGAGATGAAATATTTTATTACTTCAAAAGTATATTTTATGTTATTTAAAATATATTTAAATTAAATATTACTATTTTGTGAACTTTCCTTTTTTATGAAACCATATTTCTATATACTTATATTTTCGTTTTAAATAGTTTTGTAAACTTTATAAATGTTTCTTTTTTATTTTATATTGTTATTTGGAAAATTTTGAAAAAGAATAATGTATTTTTTTTAATTCATTAGGGGTATCATAGTAATCAACCATCGTGAAAGTTAACATGAGCACGACACATAAGAAAGTGACTTCTCAAATAATATTATAGGGATTGCAAATATTCTAAGGAAAGGCAAGGTGATTTTTTAAGAAAAACAATACGATAAACAAAATAATTTTATTGTTACAAAAAAAAATTATTTAATTAATTTTTATCTTGTATTGTGAATTATAATAATATTTCTATAATCACTAAATTTATTTTTTTATTTTTAAATCACATTCGATTTTTATTACTACTTTACTTAAAGATATTTTAAAAAAATAGATGAACTTTTTAAATTTTAATATAAAACTTGTTAAATTTAATATTTTATGATTAATTATAATGCAGTTGAAGTGGTTAAGTGAATAATTAATAATATTTTTATTTAGAAAATAATAAAAAGAAAAACTTATGTACATAATTACAAAAATGTCATTTATTAAAATACTACTCTAACCATCATATAAAAAATCATGTTTTGATCTTCACTAATCTTATATAGTTATTGATAAACTTCTTTTTCTGAAATTATAGTCTCAATTTATCCAGTGTCTAGAGACTCTTAATCATAGTATTGAGAAATTAAACTTTCACTTTGTAACATATATTTTGAATTTTTAACCCAGTGTCTAAATGAATTGTATAGAATTGGAAACGCTACCATTCAATCTTATATACAATGAATCATCATGAGAAGAAGAGCATGAAAGATGAAATAAATGTTGCAATTGCATCTTTTTGCCTTCACCACTTAAGAGTTCATAATTAAAAACAGCTTTTGCCTTCTTTCTTTTGATTCCAGTGCCAAAGGAAACAAATAAAAAGAGGTTTGATAAAGAAGAAACAACATAACTGTTAAATAGATTTAAAAAAAGAAAGAAAAGGTATCATAATCAGTTCCCATTGCATTGGTGAAGCACACCATTACTGCTACTTCCTTGCACTTGCTTCTCCTGTTTATGTGGTTTAAACCGGTCAAGTCCCCATATCCTTATAGTGCCATCATCACTAGCTGAAGCCATCATGTGAAGGTTCGTTGGGCTCCAGCTCACGCAGTTAACCGCTCCTGCATGTCCTGGTAGCTCAACGATTAACTTCCCTGTCGATCTGTGCCATATGTATACCTGCAAATCACGAAACATATGTGTGGACCAATGTTACCAAAACAGCAACATCTGGTTGCTTAATGTCTAAACTGGTTATGTTTTGTGTAGACCCTTAATACTATGCAAAGATTCAGATGACAGAGACTGGAACTCAATCATTTGACTATTCTGAGAATGATTCAGAGAACAGGCTAGATCATAACCTGAGAATCCTCGCTTCCACTAGCGATGAAACCTTGTTTATAGCCACCAAAGCATGATCTGATGAGGAACCGTGAACGCTTGTGGCCTTTGTATCTGGTCACAATCTTGGGGTCACCTTCAATACTCCAGAGACGGATCTCCTGGTTGATGAGATTCACCAGAAGATATTTGTTGTCGTTGGAAAGCGAGAACGATGTAATGGTGTCTTCCTCTTCTATCAATCTCTCAAATGACGCTTCCCTATCAAACAGGGATATCACAGAGTCCTTGCATACACTAACAAGCCACTTTCCATCATCGGTCATTGCTATATCTGAGACCTTTTGCGTCCTCTGACCTTTCCAGCATTCCATCTCTCTGCCATCTAAATCCCACATGCAAATGCTTCTGTCTGTCATCCCTGCGATTATTCCCTTCCCATCAGCATACCATCCGCAAGAAATGGGACCAATACCGCATTTCTCATACGTGTGAACGCATTCTCCTGAATCAACATCCCACCGTCTGATATCCTCTTCTGCTCCACATGTAAGAACTTGACGATCATCAGGACTCCATAATACCGCAGTCACGGGCTTCTGGTGGCCCACAAGCTTATGTTTCAGTGACATGTGCCCATCAGCGTTGATCTGAATAGTAGATTCTAAGTGGATTAGCAAACAGTTTGCTCCAACTAGAATAGGTAACGAATCAAAACCCAATTCAGGTGAGTACCTCCCATATAATTGCGGTCTGATCCTTGGAAGATGAAGCTAAATATCTGCCATTATGAGAGAATTGCAAGAACCAAACTTCATCGGTATGCGACTCCAAGATCTGAACCATTTACGTAGAGATTACTTAATTAACGCACACTGCAAGTCTGACTAAACTACAACATACAAAAACGAGGCCACATAGGTAAATAGATAATCAGAGAGGACAGTTAGTACAAGTGACTAGTAAAGAAAAATGTTATGCATAGGCAAAGACCGAAAAAGAATAGAGGCATCAGACTGAGAAAATTATCATCTTCTATTTCTTTCTTGATGACCTGTAATGAAGTGAAAACGTTTGCAAGAACACTGTATTGTAAACCTTTCAGCTAATTATGATATGCCATTCTCCTATAGTTTCGAGAAACTAACAAACACCATGAAACGACAACAACATGAAGGAAAAAGAAGCAACACTAAGAGATAAGAGCACTCTAACCTGAACAGTCTGAGAAGGGATTTGGTGCTTCCCGCATTGATGGTCAGAATACAAAGACAGATCACTATCTAGAGTATTATGGAAAACACAAGCATCCCGCTGAATATGAAGTGAATTCTCAACTAAACTCTCCAACCTCTTCTCTGGGATTACAACAGAAGCAGGAAGCAAGTTTTGCAGTTCCTCCAGAACCTTGGACCTTGAACTCACATTTTCTTTACCCGAACCCGAAGTGGAAGGTAATATAATAAGAGAGGAAGCGAGCTCATGAACACGCTTTGTATTAATACGAAGAGGCTCAATCTCGTTCCTCAAGGTGGCTAGCGCATCACCTACCTTATCAAATCTCAAAAGCTCTAGGAACTTTTGCTCTAGGAGCAAGAACGAAGCAGCTTTTACATCCTTCTCATCTAACATCCCGATTCTGCGCAACGTGACAACACTTTCATCCCATTTCCCTTCCTTAACCTGCTGCAGAAACGTCTCCACGAAGGAATGATGCAGAGGGATCCCGGATTCTTCCTCAAGCATAGCCCCGGTTTTACCATAACCAAGTGAATAAAGAGTCCTAGTGATAAGCCTAACGAATTCAGATTTTTTAATGACACCTTTGGAGCCTATAGTCTTAGTTTCATCATCTCCTTGGGAGGTGGTGAGAGGCCTTGCCATCAGGTCTCCCAAAGAGTTGGTCACACTACTACTACTACTACCTCTAACAGAAGAGTTACCGGAGGCGGAGGAGAAGCCGTTGGTTTCGTCGCGTTTCACACGTTTCAAAGGAGGTTCAGTATCCTCCACAACTCCCATGAAATTCCTAGTTCAGCCCATATAACTAATCTGCAGTGACAAAACCAAGCTTTGAGTGAGTGCACATAATAAAACCAAAGTAATGACCTTTTTGCCATAATGTTAGTTAAACAACACCAGAACAGTACAAAGATTCAACCTTGATCACAACCAGAGATATAAACTCTAAGTAGATCTACTAGCAAAAGACACCCATATCATCAAAAACAATATAACTAATCTGCAGTGACATAAAAGTGAGAACCAAGCTTTTGAGTGAGTGCACATAAGAAAACCAAAGTAATGACCTTTTGGTCATAATGTCAGTTAAACAACACAAGTTTTCTACTTGAATGCAATTAAAAATGTGCTAAAAAGAAAACGAGAAGCCATGAAAACACACAAAGAAAGACTTTAATTAGATCTACTAGCAAAAGATGTTGGTTAATTGGTTATAGTTATAGAAAGGAGACTAACATTCAAACCGTAACGAATATAATTAAACCAAATTGATCAAAAGACAATAAAAAGAGTTGCACTTTACTTTGTTGTTCGATCAGAACAAACACTTATCCATCGCTTCACTTCACCGATCAAGCAGTGAATTGATTTTAACCATAATAATCACTTGGGGAAGTTACACAATTAAACCACAAAATCGAAACAGTAACAGTAAACTCAATCCGCAGAATCATCAACATCAAAATATATATAGAAAAGAGGGCGATGAAGATCGATTAACGATCTATGAGGTGAAACAAAAAAGTGGGTAAGGGAAAGAAGAAAATATCCAATCTTACCAAATAAGAAGGCAAAAGCTAAGGTTTTGGCGATGGCAGAGGAAAGAGATAAGAGTTAATGAGGAGCCCAAGAAGAAACTAAATCGGAAGAGATGATGAAGCGGTGAGAATAGAGAAAGGAAGTTCAGAGAGAGAGAGAGAGAAGGGGATGGCGTTAAAGAGGATGAAAAGGAAAGATAATGAGGAAGCGACTCAACCCAACCCAACAAAAACAAATTATAAAAACAAAGGGAAGATAGAGAAGAAGACCACGAAACGTGGCTTTTGCATCATTTTTACTCTCTTTTTATAATTGTTGTTTTCTTAACCTAAACCTCATGGTAAAATGTAAAATCTGACAAAGATATTTGATGTTATGTTAAAACTCTGTTTTCTCGCAACAGATTTATAAAATGATTACAACAAACTCGTTTTGAAATATATAAAACAACAATGACAATTTCATCTTGCTGGATGATGTCACATATACATATGGCAGGGAACATGTGTGGTTTGGTGAATTGATGGTACTTATAGAACTTGAATTAAGACTTTTGATTCGAAACAAGCTTGAACCAACCAAACATTTTTCTAAAATTAAAATGATTAAACCTGAATATTAAAAAGCATAAACTTAATCTTCGAATGAAAGATATAATCTACAGATAGACAATTTCAAATATTCAAAGGAATCGATAAATCCATATATTTATAACTACATACGAATAATCGTATTAGAGGAGATCCGCTCTCGCATGGACTAACATGATAATTCCTCTTTTAGTGTTTCCAACCAAGCATTATTTCTAACATTTTGAAGATCTCAGGAAAATAAATTATATAATACACTCAGATCCGACTCAATGTTTTAGAAGACCCAATACATTGTTCATATAAAAAAATGAAAAAGATCTTAAATTTGAAAAACAAATCTTAAGTTATAACTAAAATTATCAAAAATATTTTGGATCATGTGCAAAAAATGAAAAAGATCTTCAACAGTACAGTAAAACTCAATCCTAGAGACAGATCTGAGTACATCAACATGGTGATTGAAGATTTCATGTATGCAATGTGGTGTATGATCAAGGTCCACAATATTCGTAGTAATAATGGGAGAAATGGTAACTCATTGATAGAATCTCATCTTGATAAGTGTTTTCACTCTAAATATAAAGCTCAGCATTTTGTTAACAACACTGCTCTCCCAACCAGTTGCTTCCTTCTCCCAACCAGCTAAAAAGCCCAAAATCATGAACCAACTAATTGGTCCACCATGTTCAGGCCCACATAGAAGTAACAGATAAGATCTCTCTAATGGTATTTATGTTTTTTTTTCTTTTGGTACTAAAATAGTAGAAGAAATGGCCCCTTGATAAAAGCCAAGAGTGAAAACAAAGAGGAGACATATAGGAATATGACCATTGAAATTCCCAAAGAACTAAACAAGACTATGTTAAAAACGTATAAAATACTTTTATTTATTGTTAATAGACCAAAAAAAATCCCATAAACACATATGGATACAAACAACCCAAAATTACAGACAACAAAGTAATACGAATCACATATCTCGATCCCAGGCATATTCCTTTGCTAGAGTAACCATCGTATACAATAAATTAGTAATTTCCCCATTTGCTAGTAGAAATCATGCATATGTAAACCAGTTGAGAGAAAACAAATGCCTCTAAATTTTACTAAGATATATACACTTTTTTGTTGCTAAAAAAATTACAAATAGGATTCAAAGAATATCCTTTATGAGATATTTAATTATAAAAGTTGAGATGACGTGGCAGTCGATACCAACTTGGTTTCATAAAAAGCGAATAATATATATACACTCCAAAAGCCAAAACCAGGAGTCATCACACAAAGTCCTAAACCCGCAAAACAAGCGGCGCTTTTCTCTTCTCCGACACGACAACAAATCCAACATCGGAGCTTAAAGGTAAAAACCTCTCACTCTCTCCTTCTCCAGTAAACCCTTTTCATCTTTGTTCCTGGATCCAAATCTCAGACAACTTATGTTCTTTTGTCTGTACCATTAGTCTACTTCCTTCTTCGGTCTGAATATGGATTTTGAGTAATCAGATTTGAAAAAAAGTTTTGTTCTTTCTATTGTTTTTGTTAATGTGTTACTTCCGTCACAGGTGTGTGTGAAAAAATGTCGAACATAGACATAGAAGGGATATTGAAGGAGCTACCTAATGATGGGAGGATCCCAAAGACTAAGATTGTTTGCACTTTGGGACCAGCTTCTCGCACTGTTGAGATGATCGAAAAGCTTCTTAGAGCAGGTATGAACGTGGCTCGTTTCAACTTCTCTCATGGAAGTCATGAATACCATCAGGACACACTCAACAACCTCCGCACAGCTATGCAAAATACAGGCATTCTCGCTGCTGTCATGCTTGACACAAAGGTAAAAGAAACAGTCTTTCTTTTTTTGCAAGACTCTTGTGGAAATAGATAAGGCTTAATTACTAGTTCAATCTTGAGTATAGACTTTGGTTGTTGTTAGTACTAATAAGTGCATGTTAGAGATTACATGTGTATGTATTCAATTTCTTGGTTACAAACCAAGAAATAAGAGGGGCATGAGCAATGATATATCAATCATTGAGCTTATAAACATGCTTAGAGGAATCATTTTTAGATTCTATCAGCATTTGATTTTTCTTTTTTGAATTTTTAGGGACCTGAGATTCGTACTGGGTTCTTGAAAGATGGGAACCCTATACAACTAAAGGAAGGTCAGGAGATTACTATCACCACTGACTATGACATTCAAGGAGATGAGTCAACGATATCCATGAGCTATAAGAAGCTTCCTTTGGATGTGAAGCCCGGAAACACCATTCTCTGTGCAGATGGAAGCATAAGTCTGGCTGTGGTGTCATGTGATCCAGAGTCTGGAACCGTTAGGTGCAGATGTGAGAACACGGCGATGCTTGGGGAAAGAAAGAACGTGAATCTACCCGGTGTTGTTGTTGATCTTCCCACCTTGACGGATAAGGATATTGAAGATATTCTCAGTTGGGGTGTTCCAAACAGGATCGATATGATTGCGCTTTCGTTTGTCCGTAAAGGTTCGGATCTTGTTAATGTCCGGAGAGTTCTTGGATCTCATGCTAAAAGCATAATGTTGATGTCAAAGGTACTTAACTATTTCAGTTTGCATTTTGTGTATTTACTGAGGCATGAGTCTTGACTTATGTCTTTGGGTGTTTTATGTTTTAAGGTTGAGAACCAGGAAGGAGTGGTTAACTTTGATGAGATATTACGCGAAACAGATGCGTTCATGGTTGCTCGTGGTGATCTTGGCATGGAGATTCCAATAGAGAAGATTTTCTTAGCTCAGAAGCTGATGATCTACAAGTGTAACCTTGCGGGTAAACCAGTGGTCACAGCCACTCAGATGCTTGAGTCAATGATCAAATCACCAAGGCCAACTCGTGCTGAAGCCACTGATGTTGCAAACGCTGTTCTTGACGGCACAGACTGTGTGATGCTTAGTGGCGAGAGTGCAGCAGGAGCGTATCCAGAAATAGCTGTGAAAGTTATGGCTAAGATCTGCATTGAAGCCGAAAGCTCACTTGATTACAACACAATCTTCAAGGAGATGATCCGAGCAACTCCACTTCCTATGAGCCCGTTGGAGAGTCTTGCATCGTCAGCTGTAAGGACTGCCAACAAAGCTCATGCGAAACTCATCATTGTGTTGACTCGTGGAGGCTCAACCGCTAACCTTGTAGCTAAATACAGACCTGCTGTTCCGATTCTTTCGGTGGTTGTCCCGGTTATGACGACCGATTCCTTTGACTGGACTTGTAGTGACGAGTCACCTGCAAGGCACAGTCTGATTTACAGAGGTTTAATCCCTATGTTGGCTGAAGGATCCGCAAAGGCAACTGATAGCGAGTCCACTGAAGTTATCATTGAAGCTGCTCTGAAGTCAGCGACACAGAGAGGACTCTGCAACCATGGTGATGCAGTTGTGGCGCTGCACCGTATTGGAGCTGCCTCGGTTATTAAGATATGTTTGGTGAAGTAAGATTCCAAACTTGCTTAAAAAAAACTCAAAATCTTGGCTCCTGATGATTGTTGGTAATCATAACTGAGAGTTAGTTTTGTTGCATGAAATAAAGAAAACAGTGTGATGTTAAGACATCTCTTTCCCTTTTATTCTATATAGCATTTCAAGAGTATGAGTCACAGCCTTACTTTCATGTCTCAGTGCTGACTTTTGATATATAACACTGTTTCTCTCATAAGCTTTGCTTATAAAAGATTAAGCTTTAAAGGTGTTACTAAGTAGAACATATACTAATCAAGAAAGCCATATATAATGAACGCATAAAGACAACTATGTTCCTTTCACAGATGTTTTGGATCATAAATACTCTTCTAACTTCTAAATCACCACTTGATCAGCCATGGGAGAGAATCGTACTGCACTCGGGAGTATGAGAAAAGCAAAAAATGTCGAGAACAAAGGGTACTATATAGAAGATCAGTAAATAAGAAACCTGATTTAACTAAGATCACCTGTTTTGAAAGGAGATGTTCCTTGAAGTTATATAAGGTCTTGCACCTAAAGTTATTTCTTCCACTGTTTTGTGATACAGAATACCGATTAGTGTCTGAAACTTGAACATGTTTAGACATGATTAGGGTCTGTGGGAGATGCTTACTCATCATGAAACTAACGAAACTCATCATGGAGGCCATAGTCATCATCCATGCCATCTTCGTCAAAGATGGCACTATAAAAAACGTATGGATAGAACAATATAACATCATAGACCAATTCAACAGCTAACTAGGCCATTTTTTTTCTTCTGAAAGTGATGTATGTACCTTTGATATAATATAATCAGCTTGTTCTTTTGCGTAATAATGCTCGGTTGGATGGATTTTACTGATAATGGGAAGCAATTCCACATCTGTTAACTTGTTAAGTACCTGCAGAGGAGTAAGAGGAAGTTATGTTATGAGATGCAATGGTAAACATGATGTGTGCTCTTAAATTAAGTACACATCATCATCTTTGTCAAGCTGAGCAAATAACTGCCTTGCCGGACCTTCAGGCAGGTCATGATAAGGATGCGTGGCATTGTGATTATCTTCTTCGTAGTTCCTCACAGTGTCAAAGAGTCGGTGGAAAAACTCATCGAAACCGATCTTACCATTTTTATCTGAAACTCTTTCTATGGCTACACTACAGAGTACAGTACCTTACTTCCTCCTTGCACAACCATAGCAGCAACTTAGGATTCTTGGTATCAGAAGGATGAAGAAAGCTATGTGGAGAAATTGACCAGCACGAACATTGATGAGAAGATATTTTTGTTTGAAAGGTTACTTCTATTCTAAACAAGACTAAAACGCTTACTCGTTGAACTCAGTTAAATTCAGCAGACCATCACCATTTGTATCTGATGCATTAAAATGCTCCTCCTTCCACCAACCAATATCATAGCCAAAGATTCGAAAACTCAAGTATGCATTTTTGAAGTATCATTCACCTACCTATCTGTAACATTGATTATTTTGGATTGATGATTTAGCTTCAAAACATTTGACCTTTTAGTCAGTCAAAATGAATAGTGTTCAAAAAAAAAAAGTTCAGTCAAAATGAGTATAATATATAGTTTATATTTTTTAACTTTAATTAAATATCACTATTAGCCATATTACCGCAGCTAATCTGTCTCTTAAGCAAAAAATTAGAAAAGAGATTAGCGTTGCACACTCATTGATAATCGAGCTCTTACCTTCCACTTGGTCCAATCTATTACCATCTCCTACCTTAACGCCTCCATCGATGCGCACACACACACACATGTGGATCTCACCGTCTCTTATCGATTCATTTTGCTTCACTTTCTCATTCGCAAAATCGCTTTATTCAGATTCCATCCCGTGATAGTACTCGTGCTCGTTTATAAATAAGTAGAAAAGATACCTAAGTAATCATTGGGTTTTGGAGATGGACAAGTATGACGTTGTTAAGGATCTGGGAACTGGAAACTTCGGTGTGGCTCGCCTTCTAAGGCATAAGGAAACCAAAGAGCTTGTTGCCATGAAATACATCGAGAGAGGCCGAAAGGTTTGTCCTTTCCTCTATTCTCTTACTGTTTTTTGAAGTTTTAGTTAGGGTTTATGATTTTTAGGGGTTTTGCTATTATAGAAAGTATGATTTTTTTAGTGAGATTTGGAGGTAAAGGTGAGAAATTTGGGGTTTTGATGATGATGATGATGATTTGGGTTTTGATTGTATCATGGTGACTGCAGATAGATGAGAACGTGGCTAGAGAGATTATCAATCACAGATCACTTAAGCATCCTAATATCATCAGATTCAAGGAGGCAAGTTTGTCTTTTTTGTTTGGGGATTTTTTTAGTTATAAAAGAGTTGTCGTGGGATCTTAGTTTGGTTTGGTTACAGGTGATACTGACACCTACTCATCTTGCTATTGTGATGGAGTATGCTTCTGGTGGAGAGCTCTTTGAGAGAATCTGCACTGCCGGTAGATTCAGTGAAGCTGAGGTTATTAAAAAGTCTTAGATTTTGATCTATTTCTTTGTGGACATTTACTTCTTTTTTTTTTATCTGTGTTTGAAAGTTTGTTTTTGATCTTTGTCTTTTCAGGCTAGGTACTTCTTTCAACAGCTGATTTGTGGGGTCGACTACTGCCATTCCTTGGTATGTAATATATTCAGTAAGCTGAAAAGTAAACTTTCCTGATAAGGTCTGTGACTAAATATGCATGTTTTAGTGAATTAGATTCTTTGTGAGTGTTAAAACTTGGAAGTTAATGCTTCAGTAAAAGGAATTGATGTGTAGATGTTTTGATTGGCCACTATTCTTGGCTTCGATTCTGTGATAAATTTTATCTTATAGTGAATCACTTTGGATCTCATTTTCCACTGTTGATGCTTTGTGGGTGATACTATTTCTAGGAAAATTGGGAATTGACTTGTTTAGAATCTATATTTCGTCTGCTGCATAATATGTCCTGACAACTCCTCTCTATTTTCTTCTGTGCAGCAAATATGCCACAGAGATCTGAAGCTTGAGAACACACTGCTTGATGGTAGCCCTGCTCCGCTTTTGAAAATCTGTGATTTTGGTTACTCTAAGGTGTGCCCCCTTTCTTCTTTGCTCAGTGGTCTCAATATCAATCCATAGATTATCATTATCTATTCACTCATCTCTTAATCTTATAATTATGTTCCTGGATTTTTATTCTCAGTCTGTTTTACTTTCTTGTTGTGTAGTCATCTATACTACACTCTAGGCCTAAATCGACTGTTGGAACTCCAGCATACATAGCACCTGAAGTTCTTTCCCGTAGAGAATATGATGGCAAGGTACACTACTCATGTCTTTGTCATACATATCAATTTTGTCATTAACACGTGATTGGTTGTCAAAGAAAACAGATAATCTTAATGAGAATTGAAAATTAAAAGACTGCTCAGAGATGCATATTTTTCATGATTGTCATACAGCAAATAGACTGGATTTTGTACTTATATGGCTGCCTTTTTGTAGCATGCGGATGTGTGGTCATGTGGTGTAACCCTTTATGTTATGCTGGTTGGAGCTTACCCGTTTGAGGACCCTAATGATCCAAAAAACTTCAGGAAAACAATCCAAGTAACTCAATCCATATTCAATTATCTAACTCACTCATCTTATTGCTCCAGTGTTTCAATAATGTAACAATTCAAATGGTATTCTTCAGCGTATAATGGCTATACAATACAAGATTCCGGACTACGTTCACATATCTCAGGAATGCAAACACCTTCTCTCTCGCATATTCGTCACTAACCCTGCTAAGGTACCTTTCAAGCTATATCTTATAAGAAGATGTTGTTACGGTTCTGATTATCAATGATTCGTGACAGAGAATCACACTTAAGGAGATCAAGAATCATCCGTGGTACTTAAAGAATCTGCCAAAGGAGCTGCTAGAGTCGGCTCAAGCAGTGTATTACAAGAGAGACAACACGAGCTACTCTCTTCAAAGCGTAGAGGACATAATGAAGATAGTTGGAGAAGCTAGGAATCCAGCTTCTTCTTCCAGTGTCAGCAAAAGCTTGGGATTAGGTGCTGAGGAAGAAGATGAAGAGGACGTTGAAGCTGAAGTTGAAGAAGAGGAAGAGGAGGAAGAAGATGAATACGAGAAGCATGTCAAAGAGGCACATTCTTCTTGTCAAGAGCCTCACAAGGACTAAAAGTAAAGAAAAAAGCTCTCCGTTGCTCTCACAAAAGCCAAAGGGAGTAAGTAAGCTACTTCGTACAGGTTGTTTCAGTTTTAGATTTCATGTCTGAAAACATTCTCGTTTCCTCAACTGTCTAGTGGTTGTCAATAAATGAAACATTTGAAACTCTCAGCAAGTGATTATGAAACATAAAGGGTAACAAAATGTCAATAAAAACGATGTCTTTGTTTGTAAATAGTAGTTTTTTACAAGGGTAGTAATTTATTGATTATCCTACAATATACACATCTCAAAGCAAAAGGAGCGAACAGCGTCCCGTTTCCCCATATTCCAAAAGGAGATTCTCCTGGTTTCTTCTTTACATTTCCGAACTATGGAAGAAAACTACGTGTCGTTCGTATCAGTTTTTACAACAATTAATGCTAACTACACACTGTTTTCTATCTAATACCTAAACGACATCATTTCGAACCCATTTATCTCCTTCAACCCTATCGCGAGTTTCCTACAAAAACCGTTAAAACCCTCCCAAAAACATTTGCGACTCTTCTTCCAACCTTATCCTCAAAACAACCTCTCCGGACACCGACGACGGGGAACTTAGTAAGTTACGGACATGCCATTGAAGTTCCCTCTCGGTGTACGCTTCATCACACACTCTCTCCCCTCCACTCACCTCGCCTCTTCCATGAACTCCGCCGCACGAATCTACTCCTTCCGCTCCGCTCCCGTAATCTCCAAGGCGCTTCTTCCTTCGAGGCTAACGCGCCTCGGACTCTCCTCCCGGGTCAGTTTCTCGACCCGACCCGAATTCGGGATCCGCGCGTCCAAGAGCTTGATTGAAGACGAGGCGGAGCTTAGTGATTGGGTTAGCGATTTGAGGACTAGCTCTGTGCGTGGGAAGTTCACTAGCGATGAGGATGACGCTGTTCAGGAACGTGTTCGTAGAAATGTAGAGAGGGATGAGAGTAGGGGTCCGAGGAGGGGGAGGGAAGGTCAAGCTGATAGGTTTGGTGGTTCAAGAAGGGGTAAGGAAGGTGAGGTTGATCGGTTTAGGAGAACCGGTGGTGAACCGGTTAGGAATAAGCGGTTTAGTGGTGGAGAAGGTGGAAGGAATGGTAGGATTCAAGGAAGGAGTAGTGAGGCGTCTTTTCGTGGGAGGAGTGAGAGGGATGTTGATTCAGGGTTTAGGAGAGAGAGAGGTTTGGAAGCTAACAAAGGTTTGGGGAGACAGCAAGGAAGAGCTTTGAGACGGGACGAAAGTGATGAGGATGAGAAGAGGGGAGTATTGGGAGGCATTGATGATTTGCTTAGTGAAGATAGTAGTGATGAAGGCAGTGAAGATGAGCAGGTTTTTGTTGGGAAAGTAGTTTCTGCTAAGGGTTTGGAAGCTGATGAGCCAAGGAATGATAATGCTAAAACTTCAGATTCTTACTTGTCTAAGACAAGGTATGTTTTTGTATTTGCTTATTAGTTTCTACTGTATGTGATTTAGTGTTGTTCGATTGATAATAATTTCTATGGTTAATGATTTACAGATTTGATCAGTTCCCTTTGTCTCCGTTATCGCTAAGAGCCATTAAGGATGCAGGATTTGAGACTATGACTGTTGTGCAGGAGGCTACTCTTCCTGTCATTCTCAAAGGTTGATTTTTCTTCCTTTATCATGGGAGTTATTTGCAAGGCAGGAAAAAAAAACACACCCATGATTTAAAAATGTAGTGGTAATTTCCAATTGACAGAATCTACAAGCTTTTACTTAGCTCTAACGAATATGTATTTGTGTATCGTTGTTCATGATTACTTAAACTTCCCATGACTTTCATTGTGTAGGTTGATTGATTGTTCTAAATTCCTCTTATATTTACTTTTTAACTCTTTGGTTTCTTCCTTGCTTGTTTTTTCAGGTAAAGATGTGCTAGCCAAGGCCAAAACAGGCACTGGGAAAACCGTTGCATTTTTGGTGAGACATTCTACTCTATGGGTTATGAATATAAATTGGTCAGTATTTGTTCTTATCGTTTCTGTTTGTATTTCAAGCTTCCATCAATTGAAGCTGTTATCAAATCTCCACCTGCAAGCCGGGACAGTAGGCAATCCCCCATTGTTGTTCTTGTGGTATGTCCTACTCGGGAACTTGCCAGTCAGGCGGCTGCAGAAGCAAATACCTTGCTGAAGTATCACCCATCTATTGGTGTTCAAGTTGTGATTGGAGGGACAAAGCTTCCTACAGAGCAAAGGCGTATGCAAGCAAATCCTTGCCAGGTAATAAGAGATTAATTTTGCAGCTTCATGTGTATTTGCAAAGTTCATTCGGAGCAAGTTTTGCACTTCATTTAAGTTGTGCTTCTAAGGTGGCTGAGATTCATGTGTCGTCATTTATTGTCTGATAATCACATGGTTTGAACACTCTCAGATTCTTGTGGCTACACCTGGAAGGCTGAAAGACCATATCGAGAACACTTCTGGATTTGCCACAAGGTTGAATGGTGTGAAAGTCCTTGTGCTTGATGAAGCTGACCATCTCTTGGACATGGGTTTCCGAAGGGATATCGAGAGGATTATCGCTGCTGTTCCTAAGCAGAGGCAAACGTTTTTATTTTCTGCTACGGTACCTGAAGAGGTTAGTATCAATTTCTTGCACAGATGTCTCTCATTTTTGGGTTGGAATCTTGAATTGTCTTTTTCTGGTGTCAAGGTCCGCCAAATATGTCATATTGCTCTGAAACGTGATCATGAGTTCATCAATTGTGTTCAAGAGGGATCTGGGGAGACACATCAAAAGGTAAAATATTGCTCTCTAGGCTCATTTGGATGAATAACCTGCCATATGATTTGGATATTATAGGTTTCTCATGTCTGTTTTATCTTACAGGTCAAACAAATGTACATGATTGCATCACTGGATAGACAATTCTCGCTTCTACATGTGCTTCTGAAAGAACACATGGCAGATAATCCAGACTATAAGGTAAAAGAAAAAAACCTTGTTCCTGGAATCCCGATGTGAAGCTCACCAATGTATTTCTGAATAGACACGGTCTCCGTCTCCTTCTTGTTGCAGGTTATTATTTTCTGCACAACTGCCATGGTTACAAGATTGGTTGCTGATCTGCTTGGCCAGCTAAGCTTGAACGTCAGAGAGATCCATTCTAGAAAACCACAGGGTTACAGAACCAAAGTCTCCGACGAGTTCCGCAAGTCCAAGAGTATTATCCTCGTAACATCAGATGTATCTGCTCGTGGTGTCGATTACCCTGATGTGTCACTAGTCGTTCAGGTAAACCATGTAGTAGTTTTCAATCAGGGACTTATACCGCCACAGCGAAAATTGATCCCTCTTACTGAAGTTGTTACTGTTTATATGTTGGTTTTGCAGATGGGACTGCCATCAGATAGGGAACAATACATACATAGACTTGGCAGAACCGGGAGGAAAGGTAAGGAAGGAGAAGGTGTATTAATGTTGGCACCATGGGAAGAGTACTTTCTGTCATCTGTTAAAGACTTGCCCATCAACAAGTCTCCCCTACCTCCAATAGACCCTGAGGCTGTGAAAAAGGTAAACTTAGACTTAAACTCTAACGCAAATGCCAATGTTAGAATTGTCTCATCTCATGACACAAACCGTTTTGAAGTCAAGCTATATTTTTAAGAGTATTGAATATTGATGGGTGGGAGGAACTTATTGGTGTATATGATGAATTCAGGTGCAGAGAGGGCTTAACCAAGTGGAAATGAAGAACAAAGAAGCGGCCTATCAGGCATGGTTAGGCTACTACAAGTCGCAAAAGATGATTGCTAGAGACACGACCAGATTGGTGGAGTTAGCCAATGAGTTTAGCCGCAGCATGGGACTCGACATGCCACCAGCTATCCCCAAAAACGTTCTTGGCAAGATGGGTCTCAAAAACGTTCCTGGTCTTAGAACCAAGTAGAATCTAACTTCATCCAATGTTTTGCTTTTTGTCGTATAAGGGCTTTGTAAGTGTAAACTCTTGTCATTCTTGCAAACACTTGATAAAAGTCTGTTAGATTCTTCACTTGTATTCAAACAAACCAGCTTGACTATCCAAGCAGGCCTGTCTCATTCTCTGAGAAGCTAAAATAATTTATAAAAAGGCCTTAAATCCAGACGGTTTTTGAAGAACTGCTTCAAATAAAAATTCTAGACTCAAAAAAAAAAAAAAAAAAAAAAAAAAAAGGTGTTCAAAAAAAAAAAAAAGGCCTTAAATCTTTAAAAAAAAGCCCTAAATGTACCTTGCATCCATCAACATTCATACGTTAAGGCGTTTCAAATTTTAGAAAAAGGAACATTTTAAAGACATGGCAGCAAACTACATGCCGTTTTGCAGTCTTACCCTTAAAAAGCCTGTCCTTATTTGTGTTTCCCTATAAAACCTCACAAAACCCTAACTAACGACGGCGGGAATTTGGTAGTTAACATCCTTACAGGTTAAGGTAAGCGGCGCTTGAAGTTCCCCTTTTGCTCATTCTCTTCCCACCTGCCCCTCTCTCTCGTTTCCATGACTTCCGATGGACCCAGTTCCGGTAAGAAGAGACGAGAGATCCGCGCGAAAAATTTAAAGAAGCTCGCGGGCAGTGGAGTTGAATCGGGAAACAAAAGGGTTCCAAAGAGAGCAAGACCTGTTGATGTTATTGATGTTGATGTTATTGATGTTGATGATGATGAGCCTCTTGTTAAGAAAGTGGCTATCACTGTAGAGGATGCTGATAATAAGCCAAAGACTTCAGATTCTTACTTGTCTAAGACAAGGTAAAGTAGTTTAGAGACAAGGATTGTCTTGAGTTTAACTCATAGCTTCTATTACTAACAATTTCTTATGTTTAAATGGTTTTTTTTTTTGCAGATTTGATCAGTTCCCACTGTCTCCCTGGTCGCTAAAAGGTATCCAGGATGCTGGATTTAAGACAATGACTGTCGTGCAAGAGGCTACTCTTCCTATCATTCTCAAAGGTGAACACATTTGTGCTCTTTGGAGCTGCTTATAAGGCAGAAAGATAAGGGTTTGGGATTAGGTTTAGCATTTATATAAAAAATGCAGAAACTTGTGTAGTGTTTTTTTTTTTTTTTTGTAAATTGCATTCAACTTGTGCAGTCTTTCTTCCAGCTTCCTCTCGTTGAAGCTTTGTTTATTAATTCCTCTAATGTATCTTCTTGTACTTTTGGCTTTACAGGTAAAGATGTGTTAGCCAAGGCCAAAACAGGCACTGGGAAAACCGTTGCGTTTCTGGTGAGACTTTGAACCATGGATATAAGTTTGTTAGTTAGGAACTGTTCTGGCGTTCTTTTGAGATTTGATCTTATTTTTTTATATGTTCAAGCTTCCATCAATTGAAGCTGTTCTCAAATGTCCACCGGTAAGCCGAGATAATAGGCAACCTCCAATTAATGTTCTTGTGGTATGCCCTACTCGGGAACTTGCTTATCAAGCTGGTGCTGAGGCAAGGATTTTGCTCAAGTATCATAAATCTATTGGTGTTGAAGTTGTGATTGGAGGCACTAAGCTTTCTTCTGAGCAAAATCGTATGCGAATGAATCCTTGCCAGGTAATAAGAGATTTCTTTTGCCCTCCATGATGTGTATTAATACTCAGTTAAATCTAGATAAAATCTTGCACTTATTTTAGGCTCTAAGATTGAAAATGTTACCTGTAGAGTTGCATATATTTTTTTTTGAATTGATTTGGTCGTTCTTTGCTTAAACATTACATGGATATGGTTTTCAATTTCTTGAAATGTTAAATTACGATTGATAAGGCGTTAAAGAATGTATGCCCCTTTAAATGTTACGATTGTTCTCACAGTTGAGCTGTGTCTCCATATTTTGTTTAATAATCACATATTTGAACACTCTCAGATGCTTGTGGCTACACCTGGAAGGCTCATAGACCATATAAACAACACTATTGGATTTGCAACAAAGTTGAAAGGTGTGAAAGTACTTGTGCTTGATGAAGCTGATCATCTCTTGGACATGGGTTTCCGAAAGGATATTGTGAAGATAATCTCCGCTGTTCCTAAGCAGAGACAATCTTTTCTATTTTCTGCCACGGTATCTGAAGGGGTAAGCGTCAGTTTCTTGTTCATTAGGCTCCTCACTTTTGGGTTAAAATCTTGAATTCTGTCTTTTTTTGGTGTCAAGGTCCGCCAAATATGTCATGTTGCTTTGAAACAAGATCATGAGTTCGTCAACTGCGTTCAAGAGGGTAGTGGGGAGACTCATCAAAAGGTAAAAGCTTGTCTTTTAGGCTCATTTAAATGAATGGACTGCCGTATGGTTGGATGTTATAGGTTTCTCATGTCTGTTTTACCTCACAGGTCTCACAAATGTACATGATTGCATCACTGGATAGACATTTCTCGCTTATATATGCACTCCTTAAAAAACACATTGCAGAGAATCTGGACTATAAGGTAAAACTGTTTCTCTAATGCAGTTGTTAGTCATCTATGTATTTCTTAACTAACACAGGTCCTTGTTGTTGCAGGTAATTATTTTCTGTACAACTGCTATGATTACAAGATTGGTGGCTGATCTGCTTGGTCAACTAAGCCTGAACGTCAGAGAGATCCATTCTAGAAAACCGCAGAGTTACAGAACCAGAGTTTCTGATGAGTTTCGCAAGAAAAAGAGTATTATCCTTGTAACATCAGATGTATCTGCTCGTGGTGTAGATTACCCTGATGTGTCACTAGTCGTACAGGTAAATCATTCCTAAGTTTTCACATATCTTGGAATTGACTTCAACTACAAAGTTAAGCGTTTCCACTGAAGTTATTGTTGTGTATATGTTGGATATGCAGATGGGGTTGCCATCAGACAGAGAACAATACATACATAGACTTGGCAGAACCGGACGTAAAGGCAAAGAAGGGGAAGGTGTACTGTTGTTGGGACCTTGGGAAGAGTACTTCCTGTCATCTGTTAAAGACTTGCCCATCACCAAGTCTGCTTTGCCGCCGATAGACCATGAGGCTGTGAATAAGGTAAGCTTTATCAGATAATACAGCGAACATACATGAATCTGTTACTCAACGTCACATTTCATAGCACAAACCTCTTAAGTATCAAAAGAGAAGATTTTCCAAGAGTATGTGACTCTAGTAGGTACTGATGGGTGTGAGAAACTTGTTGGATTCAGGTACGGAAGGCGCTTAGCCAAGTGGAAATGACGAACAAGGAGGCTGCTTATCAGGCATGGTTGGGTTACTACAAATCTCAGAAGAGGATTGCTAGAGACACGACCAGATTGGTGGAGTTGGCAAATGAATTTAGCCGCAGTATGGGACTCGACACACCTCCAGCTATCCCTATAAATATTCTTGGCAAGATGGGTCTCAAAAACGTTCCTGGTCTTACAGTTGCTCCCGGTTTTGAAAAGAAAAAATGGAAAAGAGATTATCGTTCCAAGTAGATTTTTTTCTTAAAGGAATGTGTTGTTTTAAACTTGATTTCTTTTTGATGTATCAACTCTTGCTATGTTTTCAACACTTTGATTTTCTCATTATTAAAAACAAGTCCTATAAAACTTACACTCTTTGATTGTAGAGCTTTTTTTGAGCTAAAACAAAGATGTTATGTCATAGAAATTCGTATGGCCTCTTGTTATTCCTGCAACACATAAAGAACCTATGAACTTGGTCTTTACTGAAAATGGCCAAGGTAAACAATTAATTTTCGAACATAAGCAGAAGATGATGTGCTATATAGAACACAAATGGCAGCATACTGGGGAGAGTAATTAAACTTCTATTTATCCGGCAAAGTGTATGTCACAGAAGATGATGAATGGCAATAGAAAAAACAAAAACCCAACACCATCTTTCCCATACGAAAAGACTATCCTTTTCTTTTTGTAAGTTGTAAGGCTCCTACCAATCCTAAAGGAACCAGAAAGAAAAACGAGACAAGGCATGCCAGAAGTGGGTAATTTCAGTTATGGCTGCAACTGCAAAGCTTTTCTTATGTTTAGTCCTCTTTCCACTTGTTAACATATCTCTGGAAGGCACTAGCTGGATTTTCATGAAGTGGAGCTTTTACACGGCTCGATCTCCTCACCACTGCTTCTTCCATTTCTATGTTGTGAGCAATGTCTTTGGCCCTCTTTTGTAGTGTAGAGCTGCAAATCACAAGCCATTACCGGGATTTAAAGCCATGACACAAAAACAATGCGACGTGTGTATAAGAAGTGTTACTCTATCAAAGCGAGCATTGAACATGATTAATAATGCAAAATAGTAGTGAGAAGCTCTAAACTGACCATATCCTGTCATAGAATTTCTCAAGCTGCATATGTAATGACAGTTCCCTCTCTCCTTTACGGTTTAGTGATCCCATCAAAGCATCGAGCTGGATTTCAAGATACAAAACACACAAGTTTGAACAAGATCTATGCAATTAAATGACCAAACAAAGAATTGAACCATGTGGCTTGATGATACCTCTTCCTTGGAGGTATAATATCCCCATTCTTTGCAATCGGAATCCTCAACAAATATCCTCCCATTGTTTCGGAACCACCAGTACCTGTTGTAGTTCCGATCTTTACCCAAAGGGTTTGTACGTATGACTATTTTCTCCATCTCTCGTTCATAATATTGCCTCTGCATACAAAAAAAAAGTTCAGTTAATTGGTCAAAGCACAGGTGCATAAGCAAATAACCGCTTATCAAACATAGTTATGAGAGGGAGGACTCAACCCTCTGTTCGGGACCCCTCATTTCTATTCCTTTCTCATCTTCACTTGATGATTTTCCTCCCTGCTTCTCCTCTTCCTCTTCCTCTTCTCCCTCGTCTGATTCCGCCTCCTCTTCTTCCTCCTCCACCTTCTCCTTTGATGTGCTTTTTGTATCCGTCATCTGCTTTTTGTGCCTTCTCAGATAGACATTTCCCATAAGCCTATCCCAACCAAGAACAGTTATAAGCTCAAAAGTAATCTGCTAACAAAATGTTCTGCTTATGCGTCAACAATATAAGCCAAACCTTTTCTCTGACTTTTCAGGTTTTTCTGAAGAAACAGACCCGTTTTCCATCTTAATTTCCCCCTCACTGCTCTCTTTCATTTTGCTGTCTTCGCTGCTTTCAACTACTTGTGCGCTGTTTTTCTTTTTCCCTAACTTACTATTGGCCAAAACTTCAGCTTCCTCGCCATTTTTGGAGCGTTCTTTCTCTTTTCTTTTATGTCTGGCTTCCGCCAATGCTTCTTCTCTTCTGGCAGCTCCAAGGGCATGCCGTTTTTCAAGAAGCTCTTCTACTTCACCCTTAAACAACATTGTTTCAGCTATCTGGTTCACTAACTCCCTTAGGATTTTCAGTTTTACATTGGGGTCTAGTAGACCATAATGTCCCCGTTTGATCGTTCCAATGTCACAGCACAGATCAGGGATGTCAACAGAGTCCAAGAAGTCACATAAATACTCTGTCCATGTGATCAACGTTATCTGATAAGATAGAATAAAGCAACAAGCAGGCCATTAACCACAAAAGAAAACTAAAAAATAATCACAACGCTATGTTGAATGAGAATAGGATATTACTGTACGACCTATTTTGTCAATCAAGAATATGATTTACATGAGATGAAGATCTGACCTTTGACTTGCGACTCCTTCTCTTTAAAGCTTTGAAAGTATCATCGCCTTCATTGATAAGGAACCGGAAAAGACAGGCATGCACTTCCATCATAAGAACCAAATTACTCTCCTTGTGGCAGACAGCATTTTCTAAGTCCTCAAGAGAAAATCTCCATAGATGCAGCTGCCTACCAAATGAAGAACAGAAGTCCCAGACCATAAGAAGATCCCCGACACAATCAATTGAAACACTAAAATCCCGCGAGGGAGAAGGACGCTGAGTGATATTAGCATCATCAGGTTCCTGTGGCAACAGTAAATCTTCAATTGGATAGTTGATAGGCTCTTCCCCGGAGTCATTAGCCTCTGGAAGAAAATAAGAAATCAGTATAAAATTATACAAGAAAGACAAAATCTCTTTGTTTCCACAAAAAGAAACATCGGCTGAAAATGAATTGCAGAGCTACCTTTATCTGTCTCCTCTGCAACATGGTTACCATCTTCTGCTCTCTTTCTTTTTCCCTTTTCCCTTCCGGTTTTATCTTCCTACAGTTAAGCGATTAGTACATAGACCAATTATTAGGCAACGTTAATGTTGATGACTTTACATCTACCTGCTTTCTTTGCTGAACCATTTCACCATTCTGAAAGACATACTTGTTCTGAAGTTCCTTGGGAATATTTCTAGTGATTCCATGCGCTTTAGCCAGATATTCATTAACCACCCAAGGTATACTGTGACATGTGGACTCCCGAATGAAAGACTTGAGAAAATTTCTACTAAATGGAAACTTCTTCCATGAAAGATCCTCCCCAGACAGAACTACCTTCTCATTTATTTCCTTGTCTTTGTCAAGGAAGCCTACCTCATACTGAGGTTCATTATCCCCATCTGTTACTATATTCAAAATTCTGCAGGGATGAGATTCTCCATCCCTGTTTCCACACAGCTCAGCACCAGCGAAAAAGCAGTTTTGCAACTCGGCCACTATTTTGTCAGCAAGATCTTTCAATGATAGTGTACCTTCAAAAAAAGGAAGGAAGGAATCAGACACAGTTGTATGTGAAGAATGAACCATGATCGAGGAAGGGTTAAAGAACTTACTGAATTGGATGATACGTAAAGCAGGAGCAACTAGCTCTCTGGGCAGAGTTTGAACCTTCTTGTTTGCCAGTTTTTCTGACTCCAAGGCCTCCTCGTAGGTCAAACTAGTTTTCCCAGTAGATTTACATGTCCAAACTCGCTGGCGATACAGATTCATTCTCTTCAAGTACATTCTATTCTATGTCAAGCAAAACAAATGGTTTTGACGCGGCACGTGCATTGATAAACATGAACAACGAAGCAAGCTTTTAAAAGATAATATGAATGCAGGTTGTTCCAGAATGAACATGTTAAAAAAATAAGTTAAAAAGACGTCTCTTCTTTCTCAATTCATAAACCAAAAACAGCTTTATAAGAAGAAGGAAGGATACTGATAGTCTCGGAAAATCTCCTTAGTGAAACGAACTTGATAAACAAGTTCATGTGGCTGCAAGTTCTTCGGTGGCTCCAGTAGTTTATGTGGCTTCTTTTTCAGTAGAGGCATCTTTCAAAACGGCAAAACAGACCTGTGGTGTAAATAAAAAACAAAAACACAAAAACCTGAATGTCCGTCTAACAATCATAATCACTTTAAGCGTAATCATGGTTAAAAACATCAATGAGATGTAGTAATAATAACAAATGGACGCAACAGAACAGGTCATCAAAGCACACAAATGTTAAATCTTTTAAGAGTGTTTCAGTCACATTCAACAAATACTTAAACAAAGAAGAAGAACAGATACTCACTGGGTAAATCGTAACGCATAGCAAATAATTAATAGAGCTGATTCGAATTTCAAACGTCTGATTCAACAAACAGATAACCATAGAGAGAACCAAGTCGGACATGCGAGAGATCATGAGAAATAAATGTATTTTTCCAATGCAGAAAAACCGAGATAGCACTAAACCCTAGAACTAACGCAATTCCCAAATCGAAAATTTGCAAAAGATTGTAACCAAGTTCAGATTAATAATCAAAGGAAACGGAAACAGGAAACAACTAATCCAAAACCCACAAGATCGAGAAAACGATAAACACTAACATGCGCCGGTTTCGGACAATCCCGAAGACAACCCAGAAGACGAAACCGACAGAGAAACACAAAACAAAACAATAACAAAGCGTATCATATTCAGACAGGGACGAAACAAACACAACCATCATCAATCACACGAATAAAAGAACGTAAATTCCAATGCAAAAATTGACAATGAAGAGGGGAAGAGGATCGATGTTCCCGCCAGTTAGAGGAACAATCGGTGAAGAAATATTAAACATCGAGAGAAGAGAGAAGGGACGCGGATCTTACAATGAATGTATGAAATTCAGAATGCGCGTCGTCGAGACAGGGAGAGAGAGGTTGTCTCTTGGAGAAGCAAAACAGTTGTTTTAGATATCTGGTCTCTCTCTCTCTCTCGCTCGCTCGCTTGTTTGCTCTCTCTCGCTTCTAAGCTGTTTGGTCCTTTCGTCCTTCCTAATGGGAATGAAAGAAGGAAAACTCATTAATATGTACACGTGTGTTGCTGTTTTGGAGCCAATTTAGTTATTTCTTTTCCCTATTATTTAATCAAGCCCATATTACATCCACTTACTGGGCCTTATGTATTGTGAATTGGGCCTTTATGATTTTAATTTTGTCGTGTACTATTTTTTTATGACCTTGTCAACGACTACATATGATATTTATCAAGGTAACTTGCCCAAATACAAAATTACAAAAAATATTTTAGTCGATTTCAACAGCCGGATCTTTCAGACAACGGACTTTACGGTTTGAGTTTCCCGATGGTTCGGGCCTTTACTCCGGGCTCTTGTCTCCGGGAAGGGATGATTCCGCTACATCGTCTTCGCCGGCTTCTCACCGGGGGTCTCCCGGTTCCGTTCGATCATCGATTCTAGGGGTCCTCTGCTTAATCGAATCTCCTCTCCAGTCTCCGATTGATTATTCCTCGTCTTCGTGTAGGTTGATTCATCTTCAAGCTTATCATTATCTTCAAAGACGTTTGGTTTGCATCTAGGAATCTCGGAGGTTTCGGTTGGATTGATGACGGTTGAATTTTCTGAAGCGATGATCTGTCAGATTTGGCTCTCTGGTTGGTCTAGTTGAGAACGCTTCAGTTTTGAATGGGTATACGGCTTCGCCGTCGGTGGAGGTCCACCGTGCATGCTTTCTGGCACCGGAGGAAGGTGGTTGTCTCGCGTCTTGACGCGTGTATTATTGATTGCTGGGCAATCAGTCACGTGGTGGAAGCTGGACAGTTCTTTCCCCAACAGTTTTCGTATATGGGCTGTGAAGCCCGTAGTTAGTTTTTGTTTAGTTTGGCCCTTAAGTTCTAGTCTGTTCGTTTCGGCCTTTGTTTGTAAAGTTTGTTTGGGCCTAGCCTTTTTGGGCTTTGTCCTCAAAATTATAGAGGAAGTCGATAGTCGATCTATATTATATCTATATTATAAAAGTAGACTTTCTAGGTTCCACAGCGCAGCACGTCAACAGTTTTGTGGGTCCCGTAGATATTTTTTAAATATCCATAGTCTTCGTAAGATAATCACAAACAATGAAATACACTTTAGCTAAGTGGTATAAAGTGTCTAACTAAGTATACAAGATCGTGGTTTCAAACCAAGCAGCTATCATGTATTTTTGATTTTTTTTATTTGAATTATTATCATATGGATTTTTGCTTACAAGGTTTTTATGTTTTTTTAGCTTATTTTATTAAAGATCAAATTACTGGATAAATCTTAAATCTTAACAAGTTCAAACCCAAAATAGTTAAAAATGAATTGAAAACGAACAACAAAAAAAAAAAAAAAGCAAATCTCACGCGGTTGCCTACGCGGATGGCTTAAAGAACCTTAAAACTATCCTATTATACAATATAGCTCAACCCAAAAATAATAAAAAAATAAATCCAAAAACGAACAAATCAAAAAAAAAAAAAAGTGAATTCCACGTGGGTGCCTACGTGGATGGCTTAATGAGGCTTGAATAATATAGACTAGGAGCTCAAACCAGTATAAAAATAAATAAAAAGCAAGTCTCACGCGGTTGCCTACGCGAATGGCTTAAAACACCTTAAAACTATCCTATTATAATATAGCTCAACCCAAAAATAATAAAAAAATAAATCCAAAAACGAACAGACCAAAAAACAAAATAAAAGTGAATTCCACGCGGGTGCCAACGTGGATGGCTTAATGAGGCTTGATATAGATTAGGAGCTCAAAAAGTTAAATCATTACACATATTTCCTAATATATATTTTCAAAAAAATTATATGTGAGATAAAATAAAAAAGCAACAAAAATTAATTATTTTCGTTATTTATTAAATGAATATTTAATTTCTCTTACATTTTAATAACTACTATAATTTCATTGAAAACATTCCTCACCACCGATTCCAGACTCCGGCGAATGGATTCCCACAGTCGATGACGCCGTAGATAAAAATGCCACATCATTTATGAACAAAACTCAAACTTACAAAAAACCATATATAAAAACCTATCTAATGAAACTTAAACAAAGAATATTAACTTAATTAATGTTATTTTCAAATTGATAAATCGTTTAATACAAATATAAATACTATAAATATAGAATTAAATCAAGTTTTGATCTATGATATAAAAAATATTTACAGCAAAAAAAACACATACTTTTACACACTAAAAACTATATTATAGCATAACTATTCCTATAAACCTTACTTCGTATATAAATAACATTTAACACATTCCCAATATTTTTCAAAAAATTGTATGTGAAATAAAATAAAATAAACAACAAAATTTAAGTATTTTTCGTTATTTATTAAATGAATATGTAATTTCTCTTACATTTTAATAACTACTATAATTTCCTTGAAAACATTTCTCACCACCGACTCCAGACTTCGGCGCATGGATTGCCACAGTCGATGACTCCATAGATAAAAATGCCACATCATTTATGAACAAAACCCAAACTTACAAAAAACCATATATAAAAACTTATATAATGAAACTTAAACAACGAATATTAACTTAATTAAGGTTATTTTCAAATTGATAAATCGTTTAATACAAATATAAATACTATAAATATAGAATTATATCAACTTTTGACATACGATATAAAAACATGAAATTTTCCATTTCATTATTATTTGGTGTCATTTGAAGAATCCAATAAACTAACAATGAAAAAAAATACACGCAAACATAATGATTCTGGCCCCGCGCTTACGCGGGGAGTATGCAACTAGTAGGAAGAAGATGGGGGAAAAAGATGCTTCTACAAGCCTTATGTCTGTTAGGACGTCAAAGAATTCGGCGAGAAAGTTGGATCCGTAATAGCAAAGGAAGGCACCAGAAGCTTTGACGACGTCGTACAGAAGCGACCTAAGCCACGGCGCCTCCGAGATATGTCTAGCGCAGAAGTTTTCAAGCGTTTCTCTGATGGTCCAGCGCCTTGGGAGGAGAGGAGGTATGAATACAACTGGAGAAACTGCCATCGCTCGGACCAATTATAAAAAAATATTTAAAAGATATAATATTATAATCATTCAACCAATTATAAAAAAGACTATAAAATCTGATTGGTTGAACAGTTTTCAATAAAGTTAAAAATTAACCTTAAAATCTCAAAAGAAACCTTAAAATCTTAAAACATCATATATTTTGAAACAATTTTAACCTTCTATAACATCATATAATTTGAAACAGAGGGAGTATTAGAAAATGAATAAAAGTAACATATTTTCAATCTATGATCTATTATGGCCTTCAATATAGTATCAATTTTGTTTTATACATGTAAAGCTAGCTACCTCCAGCAGTCCGGTCCAATATTTCTGGATGAACAGTTTTCAATAAAGTTAAAAATTAACCTTAAAATCTCAAAAGAAACCTTAAAATCTTAAAACATCATATATTTTGAAACAATTTTAACCTTCTATAACATCATATAATTTGAAACAGAGGGAGTATTAGAAAATGAATAAAAGTAACATATTTTCAATCTATGATCTATTCTGGCCTTCAATATAGTATCAATTTTGTTTTATACATGTAAAGCTAGCTACCTCCAGCAGTCCGGTCCAATATTTCTGGATGTCCTAAGCAAAATTCTAATATGTTATTTTTATGTTTTATCTAACATTATTATATGTGCATTTAGGATATAAATTACAATAAAAATTTGTTAATTGTTTCGATTTTTTTAAAGCAAAATTTGTTCACTTCAATAAAACATATTTACAATCAATTTATCATATATTTAAAACGAATAAAAATACAAAAAGAAGTCATTTACAACTAAAGCATACAACCATGACTTATTCGCGTTTTTATTTCAACCATGACTTATACACTCTATCTTCTTTACAATCGTTTTAAAATGGGGATGGAGAGACGGAAAGCTCCATCTCGTCAAAGTAATCGAGTGCCGAAGGATACATAACGGCGGCCCTAATGATTACGTTCACGACATAGAGTGTATTTCGTTTTTGAATTTCTAGGGTTACGTGTTTGGATCATGATGTGCAATGTATTCGGTTTTTGTTGATTTGTAATGTTGAACGTCGAAAGGTTGGAACTTTAGTTAAGGGCTTGTGTTTGATTCACATTTTGTTTCGTTATATTTGTCAATTAGATCATTTTGAATTTGGGTGAGATTAGGAGAATGAGCTCAAATCCTATATTATATTTTGCTTCTTAAGATGATTGAGTTGGTGTTTTGAAATCTTATGATCATCATCAATGTGTATGTTTTGAGTGTGTGATGTTCACAATTGAAACTGCAACTGGATGAATGGAGTCACCTGGATCAATTGGATCTTGATTCAGTAGAATGCGCCGTTGATGAAAAAGTGGAAGAATTAAAACTATTTTCATACAATTAACTATATAACAATACTTTTAAATATTATCACAAACATTAAACTACATTCATCATAATTCTACTAAATCATTTGCAAATGTGAAATCTCTTATTTAAAAATACAATTATTTTTTCTATACGCTTGTTCAAGAAATTTATTAATAAAAGTTTTATAATAATGCTAAACTTTTTACAAATATCCTTATTCAAATTATAAATTCTGTTTCATATGAATACTACAAAAAGTTTTTAATATAAAAAAAATACTGGAAATATATATTTTTAAGATTGGATGTCCTAAACGACTGTAGAGTGGCTTGCCCTCTAGACCGGCCCTAACCACCATAAAAACATATACTATTTACTAAAAATACCTCAATAATAAGTAAAATGTTTTAAACATCGGTACCAAACTCGTGAGAGACGAAGAAGCCTCGATGAAATGCATATCACCAACACGTATTTTATATGTGGTAGTTACTTCTATCAAGCGGACAATATCTCTCCACGTCATCACTTCCTCCGTCCTTAAAAACCAAACCTCCCTCCTCCTCTATATTTAATATCCTCCTCCTCCATTGTTACCGGCA